CTGCTGTAATTATACTGTTGTTATAGGAAGTAGTAATTTCCCTTTTTAGAAGGATTTCTCTGCACTTTATAGAATAACATAAAAACTATCTTTGAAGTGTATTTTATCTTTATATAGTTTATTTGCAAGAGTATTTTCCTAATATTTCACAGGTTGAATGTGCATTTTTTGGAACAAATGATGGCTTTAAAAGATAAGCATCCACATTTGTAAACTTAGCTCTTTTTAAAAAGTGTGAAGGTCTAACTGATATGTTGGTAAACATGCATTATAAACTTCAGCAAAAAGTTTTCTTTTTTTTTTGAGAAAATGGGACTTGTGCCATGGGCCTCTTGGTCATTTGTACCAGGTCATCCACTCAGAGCTGTGATTGGCCCCACAATGGCTTTTTTTGCCAGTGTAAGGGCTGTGGGAATGGGCACTAATGGGTCTCTTCTAGCAGCTTGACGGTAATTGACGTGTCCGCCTTTAAAAACACAAGGATATACATAATCCAGTCCTTATTTTTAGCCAATGAAAGTAGAAATATTTAGTGTATTTTTCTAAACAAATGTATAAAAATAACTTAATATGAAGTATTTGTACCAAACATGTGATATTTAATAATTTTTATTTATTTATTCTTTTTTGCATCAAAAATTTCTACCTACTTTCAGTACTAAAGATCTGAAGATCTACTAAAGGCTTCAAAATGTGCATAAATTGTTTCTGGGGTGTGTAGTATCACAAGTAGTTAATACAGCGCGGTTAAGATTTACTCTGCCTACTTAAGATGTGTTTTTAGCAAAGTATTATAGAAGCAAGAGCTAAAATGTTAGACTGTTTTAAGCTGCTGTTGGAGTGAATATTTGTATCTATATGTGTTTTATTTATGACAAATTTATACAATAGGGAGCTTCTGTTTTTGTGACTCTTTTATATCATTTGAGGATGGTATACACCAGAAGATGGATTCTGCTCTCAGTTACATCAGTTTAAATTTGCATTAATTGTAAGCAAGGTCAGAGTCTGACTCTCTTAATAATTAATTAGTAATATAGTATAACAGTGCCTACTAGCACTTTGGTCCAGAAGGTTGTTGATGTAAACTTTTGGGGATTTTTTGGGTGTTTGTTTAAGGATAAACTTGGTCTATAAAGTCTTAGCTGTAGAGCACTTTAAGCAAGCCATTTACTCTTTTTGATTTACACAATTGCTAAATAGTCGTACAGGGTTTTTTGCACTCAAGCACATACCAAAATCTGTTTTTATAATATGATCTTCTTTAATTTGGTTCAACTAGTCTTCCTTTTGTGTATATAAATAATTTGGTTGTTTTGAAGCAGGCTGGAAAGGATACATGGGAAGGGGAGCTTTCCTTACAAATTTTTGGAATGTTGATTTATCTAAATCAAAATAGGTCCAGATGTTGGGGAAAAAAAATATGAGTTGTTGCCCACATATAAAATGCCAGTTTATAAACCATTATACCAACTTTAAGTGGAATAGAATGGTTTGTACAAGGGATTTGTGGATACCAGCTCAGAGCAGTCATTTGTGCTCAGTTCTGTCAGTTTTCATACAAACTAGAATATGCATATCAGCCACACATATGCTTGTACATTTTTTCTGAATGTTTGCTTTGATGTATTCTGTATGACACGACAGTTGTAAAAAAAAAAAAAAAAAAAAAAGGTATTAAAAAAGATGTTCAGAGAAGTAAACTACGTATTGCAGTGAGAGTGTTGTCTTGAATCATGCTGTCTTAGAGCTGCTTTTTGAAATTTCACTTAAGTTTCTGCCAGCTTGTATAGTGGTAAGTATATGTCACACTGACAGATTTTTTTTGTTTGGATTTCAACTACTATGAAGAGATGAGTTTGGACTTCAAATTGTGCAAAAAACCTGAGACAGTGTATGTAGTAGTAAAAACCAATTTTAAACACTGCTATAATACGAAAGTTGTAATGATCAGATTCAAGCACAAAATTTGCATGTAATTAATTACTTCAGCACTGTTTTGGGTTTCTCCAGGGCACCAAAGCCATCATTTCAACTTTATGTATGTATGTGATATGTTCCTGGTAAGGTTAAATCAGCTTTTTAGATATGACTTTGCCAAACATTCTAAAATGTATTTCAGTGAAATCAGTGAAGATGATATGCTGTGATACTTTTGGCATCTGGGGCTAGGAAGTAATTTCTGAAAATGATACTTATGTGGATGTTCTCACATTTTCAATTCCAAGTTTAGGGAGAGCTTATCAGGAATGCCTAATTGTATCACTCTTTATAGTAGAGAATGAGAGCTGAACTTCAATATAGAATATCGAAACTTCTAGTTTTGATCTCATATGTTTCTGAAGAGATCAATTAGAAATGATTTTTTAAAAATAGTATTTATCACTTAAAGAGTATAAGCATAGTGTATCTATTTAGGTGAAAAGTGGTAACTTCTAATTGTATATCTAAAGTTTCTAACTTCAGATAAGTAGAAATGGAAATCTTAGAAATTACCAGCTTACAGTATAATGAATTAATGGTCAGGCATGCAGTGATTTGGAGAGCTGGGAATACTGAGATTACAGCGTTCAGGGGCTTTCCTGTAAATTATTAAGTTGAAAGTTCAACAGCTTCACTTTCTTAAACTTTTTTTTCCTCAGAGAAAGCAGTCTTTGGGATAAGAATACTTCAGATGTTGCTTCTGCATATATTTTTTTACTTCATTTATTTAAAAATTGAAATGTATTTATGTATCTATTAAGGTTATTTGCACAAATTAGAAACCTAAATTTTGCTCTTTATGCCCCTCTCAGTTTAAGTATTCTAGTATAGCTGTTGTTCCTGTCAGTATACATTAGAAACTTTTAAAAGGGGTGTAATAGCTGAATAAAGGAAATGTCTGTGTCTGAAAACTAACTAGAATGTGGTAAAATAAATCTCTCAGTGGTATCATGGCTATCCACTGTCACAGTTATTTTTCTCAGGCTGCCACATGAGAAGTGTTAGTAGAATCCTCCATAATAGGATTTATACAGCAGCTCACAGAGCTTTGTTAAAACATTTTTCTTTATGCATCAACAACCCAGGAAACATGAACACCAAATGCCTTCATAGACATACCAGTGGCAGTATATTCTAACTTTCTAACTCTACCATAGATTTAATCTTTAAAGAGAGCAAATACCAGCTTGTAAAATTGGAAGTCCCGATATTTGACCTGAATATAAGAAGTAAATAGTTAAAAATGTTTATTTGTTTCATTCAGAGACTGCCTAACCTATTGTCTCGAAAAATGTTATTCTTTAGGGAAGTGTTCTGTGAAATGGAATATTGAAGCTCTAGGCTGTGACTTTAGCAATGTCACTCTGTATTAGCATTCGCTTAGTGGTCTTGTGGAAAAACACTGGCTCAGCTGGTTGGCCTGTAACATTATCTATTAAAGCCGTGTTTCAGCAAAGCCTGTATTTTAAATCCTATTTTTAGTCATGTAAGTGACTCATCTGCCTAAAGTTAGGTGTGCTTGCTTAAGCACTGTGCAGAGTTGGACCAGAGAGATACTGACAGAATGAACTTGCTTACACTGCCACACCAGTGTGCTTCTCTCTATCAAGTAAGTATATCTAATACTCAGAAGAGGCCATGTAAGACTGAGATTCCAGTAGCCTTTGTGAAGAGTCCATCTGCAGATCCTGGCTGTCACTTTCTTCTGCGGTGACCAACTAACTGGAGGATTTTTAGTGTTAATTTTATTACATGCCCGTGTACATGAGTTAGTTGTTGGTTAAACAAGACTGTAGCTGTGTATTTTTGTGTCTTGTACTGACTTTGTTAGTTGAGGTTTTTTTAAATATCTAATGAAATGAGAATTGGAAACCTTCCTGAGTTGTTTTTTTTTTTCTTAGAATGGTTTAAAGATTAGAATGAACAGCCTTTTCTACTTCATTTTTATTATTCTTTTTTACTTTCCTCCCTAAGAAAGAATTACCGTGCACTCTTAAACTCTTTCATTTTTGTTTCTAAATGTCCCTGGTTGCATGACTTGACAATCATAAAGTTGGGATTTTGTCCTGACCCAAAAGCTTTTGTCTTCTGAAATCCTTACTTTTACTTTAGTCCTTCTGTCATTCTTAGCTTTCCTGCATTATGTGGATAGATACTGCTTGATAATGTATAGGTTTATAGGAAATTATAAAAAAGAATTGGGCTTTTATAGTGAGTCTTTTTGGACTTGGTTTTTAAACATTCTACCTGCTTTACTACTTCTGATAAGCTTGAGCCTTTTTTATTTTTTTCTTAGTAGTAATGGTATGCTGCATAGTGATGCATAGTGTTTGCTAACTAATGCTCCTGCTACACTTAGGAGAATTTTCAGCCCCTGAAGTGTTGCATTGCTCTGAGTGTGTTTTCTCTCAAGGTTTTTCTACAGACCAGAGTGAATTCTAGAAGCAGAGTTACACCTTGGACCTCGATACTCTTTTTCCCACAGATAATGAAACTTGGACCTGGCTATGTGGTACCTGTGATTCACAACTCCCACCCCCTCATCCCCTCTGCCCAAATGTAAAGGCAGGCTTTACTCTTACAGGTATGTCAGCTGACTTGAGGAATGGAAAACTGGTGGGACGTAGGCCCTTAATAACCCATGGGAGGTCCAGGCAATTAGGGTCAACTAGTCTGTACTAGTTGCAGATGCCATAAAAATAGAGGGTATAGAGGAAAGTGTGGAAATAACAGAGGGATAAGAACAGCACAATGCTTAGATATGTGCTAGAATTTATCCTTTGTCAATGAAGAACCTTTGATGAAATTTTTTTTTTAAAGAGACTTTTTTCAAGGCTGACTGGAGGCCAGGTTGTTTCTGATAGCTACCTGGTTTAACAGCTAACAACAGTTAGCTACCTGGTTTACATTGGAGAATTGCATTTCTCCCCCATCTTTTTTTTTTTCAGCAACGCTTTTTCTGTAGTGTAGCACAGGAACTGTAAAAACAGCGTAATAAATAAAGAAGGAGTCACAGATTTTATGGTGCAGAAAGCATGCTTTATTTCAAATGAACAATTCTCAAGGAGGTTCAACAGCTAATAAGCTCTATTACTACATTAGGAGAACTAAAGCAAATTGAAGTGCAGGGCGGTATTTAATGTTGGAGCAACAGTTTGTTTTCAAACTGTGGTTCATTGCTTAGTTGCCCGGAAGCGACTACAGGGTGTCTAATTCTACCACACATACTCAATCACTGCACCCTATGAACCTCCGAGATGGGGTACTGCTGCTGCACTTGAATACCTAAATAGCTTTGTTGATTAAGGGGATGGCCAGGTGATGTTACTTTTTCAAAAGCTATTCAGGCAGTCAATATGTCAGAAACAGTACACACTGGATGAACAAAGTGCTGGCCGCTTGCACTTTGTCCAAAAATTGTCAGTCAGGTATGGAAATAATGACATAATCAGATCCAATGTAAAACATTAAAGCAATGCTTACAGGAGGGTAATTGCAAACATCACCAATGCCTTACATTTCTGATTCAACATAAATATTTGTGCATGTATGAAATACTACGCACAGTATCATCTCATAGGTGTAGGTAGTCTTCAACAGGGAGACTCTCTACCTGTTGAGGCATTCTTAGACATCAACAATGAGTTGAGGCGCAGAAATTAGTTAAATGTTGAGCAGGGTAGTCGTTTGCTAGGAAACTTTCTCCTGCCAACTGTTAGTTCCAAAAGTTACGTTTCAAAATGTCATAAAATAAATGGTACAAAACTTTATAACCGTTAACTTCGGCTATATACAGTATGTACATGTCAGTGAAAAACGTGTTTTAAATTCTTAAGTCAATAATGACTATAAGTCATAATGTATAGCTCTGGACTTTGTCTCATTCAGGTAGGTAAAAAAATATTTTTTCTTTTCATATTTACATAATCAGATATTTCAGTCCATATATGAATCACTTGTAAAAAAACAAGTGTAAATAATACATATCGAACTCTCTAATGTGATCGAATATTAATATTCACAGTGGCAGAATCGGTACCAAATTCATTTCCTAAATTCAGGGTGTAAAGTCCACCGTCGTTCTTCTGGACATCCATGATGATCAGAGTGGTTAGATCTTCACTGGTTTCAATGTGGAATCTGCCTTGCTGGTCCTGACTGGTTATTTTTCTCCCTCTGCAGTACCATGTTATTTCAGGAGCAGGGTCACCCGAAAAGGCACAGGACAGTGTAAGAACTTTTCCTTCATCAATGCTGATATCGGATGGGAGAGCTTCAATTTTAGGTGGTACTCCTTCATAAAACAGGAGAAGAAAAACCAAGTTAGTCTGATTCCACTAAGCCATGCAGCAGCTTCACTCTGAGGACTACTTCAGGATAGCTGAAGCACTAACTCTACCAATAATTGTAATGCTCACCTCTCAGACCTGATTTGAGCATTTTACTAGTTGAACTCTCCAGTTGAGCCATACTAGATTTCCCCATAATACTGCTGGAGCTCATCTCTACAAAGGATTCTTTCATGGAGGACATGCTTTTGGCAGACATGCTTTCAAATTTCATTTCAGTCATGCTGCTACTGCTGAAACTGCTGAATGAAGCCTCTTGTTTAGAAGAAGCCATTTGAAAGGACTGAGAAGAAAAACTTTCGTGCATGCTTGCGTCGCCACTGGTCTTCAATACTACCTCTTTTGGAGGTTCTTCAATTAGAGCTGAGGAGCATTGCAAACATAGAAGGAAAAACCAACAACATCACATTAACGAACAAAGTCATGCGGTTCTCTGTGGTTAATTTTACAGAAATGAAGAGACAGCATACATTGCTTTCAACGGCAAAATGCAGTGGAGTATAAAATTGTTTTCAATCATTTGGTTCAAGATGTCTAAGTCACAAACAGTAATTTAGAAAGGAAACAAGTAGGCAATGGAAGGTACTGGTATGTATGAGCTTGAAGGAAAAACATACATACTTAAGAAAAAACAGGTTATCACACTCTGTTTATTAGAACCATTAGACGTTAGAATTAGACACTGAGAAATTGTGTGTTCAGTTCATGTTTGTAGAAGTTGTGAAGCATTTCCAAGTTCTTACAAACATGGAATAGTAAAGTCTGTATTTCACTGCATTGTTCTGTAGTTATAAAAGGCAACAGAAAAGCTAAATCACTGCAGCTTTGCCTTAAACCCAAACACAGTCATACAAGCAAATCATAGCCACCCCTTGATGCTAGGAGCTGGGATATGGTACAACCAATAAAATACTAAACCCAGTTCAGTCAAGTTGCCATAAAAAATTTTAATTGCGGAATTTCTTTGTTTTATCGGAACAGATTCTGCTAGTAAATGACGAAACAGTAATTACCAGCACCAAGGGTTTAACATACTTATCCTAGAATGAATGCTCAAATACTCATAGCTTTCTCTTAACATGCATCTGTTGATATAATAAAGCACGTATGTGCTCCTCTGTGAGTGTTAAAAAGATTTATAATGCTGTTTTAGTTCTGTATATATAAAATACAACAGAAAAATCAACTTGTTAAAATACCTAAGTCAACATTATCAGTTACTTTTATCATAAGTCATTTTAGTAGACACATTACAGCAAGAAGTTGTGATTATTCTGAACACAAGACCTGGAGAACAAACTTACGGAGTACAGTCAAAGATGCTGTGGCAGAGCACTGCCCATGGTAATTTTTTGCCTTGACTGTGTATTTTCCAGTGTCACTCACTGCTGCATTTCGAATCTCAAGAGAATATATATTTTTAGAGCGAGTTACTCTGATATGCGATGAAACTGCAATCTGAGGAAGGAAAAAACCCGATTTAATTAAGATCAGGTTTATGAATAATTCTATTTTTTCAAGTAAATATATTAAATGATTACTTACAGGCTGATTATTCTTTAACCACTCAATTTCAGGAGAAGGATCCCCAGAAACTTCACAGGTGAACAACACGTCTTGTCCTTCGTTGACATTTTGAGACTTAGGCTGCATGATGAATGCTGGTTCATTGGAGCGCTCTTTAGAGAAGGTCAGAACATACTGGCATTTAATAATGCCTTCATCAGTTTTACCCTCACAGGTGAGTATACCTTCTTCTTTACTACTGGCCTTTTTGATAGTTAGTGTGTGATCACTTCCAGAAACACCGTATCTGTAATCCTCTGAATTTCTCAGCTCCATTCCATTCAGCACCCATTTTACTTCAGAGGCACCGGGAATGTTGGCCTTCAACGTCACTTTCTGCCCTTCAGATACTGTCATTTTAGTTGAAGAAGCTTTAATTTCTGCTTTCACTTGCTTGACATCTTCAGTAACAACTGACTTTTGAATGACTTCTTGAACTGCGGATTTCTCTTCAGTTGCCACTACTTTTTTCTTTTGGGTAGAAACTGTAAGCAACTCATCTTCTTTCTGAACTGATTTATGAGATTCAGATACACTTCTTACCTGGGAATGGATATTTTTAAATACTTGGCCAGTGAACTGGAAGTTAGTTTTTGAAACACCTCCTTCCCCAATAATTTCACAGGTGTATTCTCCTTTATCAGATTCCATGAGCTCATGGATTTTGAGCTCATAAGTGCCATCTGCTGAATAATGAAACTTGAAATGATGGTCTTCTTTCAGTTTTTTACCATCCTTATACCAAGCCACTTCTCTGACACTTAAAACATTGCTTTCAACTGCACAGGATAACTTTACCTTATCTCCAAGAGCTTCTGCTTTCAGATGCTGTTTTATCTTTGGTGGAGAAGCAGCTGGTAATTGTACTTTTTCTGTTGGTACTGTTTTGTCTCCAGGTGGTGACTTAGCTTTAGGGGGACTGCTGATGGGTTCAGGAGATTTCACTCGTTTAGGAGACTTAACTGGCTCTGGAGACTTTACACGAGGCTCAGGAGATTTGATCCTTGGAGGTGATGTAATTGTTTTCTCAGGAATTTTTGTTCTTTGAATGGTCAAAGTAAAATGCGCTTCCTGTCTTCCTTCAGAGTTTTCCACTACAACAGTGTAACTCCCTTCATCTGACATCTGGACTGAAGAAATTTCAAAGGTAGACTTGTACTGTGTTCGTGTTACTTGGAAGCGCCTTGAAGAAACAATGGGTTGACCTGCACGGAACCAGGTTATTGTTGGTGCTGGTTCACCATCAACATCACAGGAAAATCTCGCAGTCTCCCCTTCAGAAACTGTGATTGATCGTGGCTTTGTAAGGATTGTTGCTGGTAGAGTGCTTTTAAACGCCTTGTGTACAGTCCTTTCTTCCAATGATTTTTCTTCAGCTGCAGTGACTTTTTCTTCAGAAGCAGCGTAGTGTTCATAGGATAAAAGTGATTCTCTTGTTGCTGACATTTCTGATTTGACCTCTCTTACTGAGGAACTTGCTTCTGTAGCAGATGCTTTCTTAAATGAGGAGATTGCATATGCCTCTGTTTTTGTCAAGTCAGGTAAAATTGCCCTTGGTACTTCTTCATCTCTCCTCTGGGAAGAGTATGTAGTGTAATCTCCTCCAGTAACATCCAGCGTTGCATAATCAGAACATTCTCCTTTGTAGTTTGTGCATACAGCCCGGTACGTTCCACTGTCATCAATGTGGCAGTCAAGAATCTCTAGAGTTAACACACCACTGGTATTAGTAAAGTGTATCTTACTGCTCTCCTGGAGCTCAATGCCATTATGGTACCATTTCACTTCAGCAGTTGGTTTTGACTGGACATTTAGAATAAACCTGGTATTATGGCCGCACGGTACCCGGTGTGAACGCATTCTCAGAGTAATGCGAGGAGCATGGTCAAGGGTGAAAGGTTGCTGGGTCAGAACTTCATATTTCCTTTCCATAGTTTTTTGAGTTTTCAAAGCAGATTTCATAGACTCATATCTAGAAAATATATCAAATCTTGCCATCCTCTCAAACCGTGAGAGAGATCTTTCACTAGAAACTGGGCTAGGTGAGCGTGGTCGAGTTCTCTCTGGTGTTGGGGATCTTCTCTCACTTTCTTCAGGAGGCCGTGAGCGAGGTCGAATTAATTCAGATACAGGACGCATCAACTCAATGTAAGTTGGAGAAAGGGATCTTCTTCTCCTTAATAGTCTAGAGGGAGGTGAAAATTCCCTGTGAACATGTTGTACCATTTCTATTTCTTCTTCTTCTTCTGATGCGATCTCAGTTATTTCTCTTTCCCTCCTTCTCCTGAGTCTACTCTTTTCTTCTTCTGCCATATATTTGAGCTCACTCTTGTATTCAGAGAGTCGTTGAGCAGTGCCAACAGGACGGAGCAATTCTTCATCCTCCCTCTCATCCATTATTCTTTGCTTTTGTTTAGGTGGTCTGTAGGCAGCCCTGTCATGGCGTTGACGAAGTTCTGCATAGCTTGCACTGGTCTCAGCTTTAGTTGGGATGTGATAGCTTGAATACCTCAGCTCTCTTTTTCTTTCTTCCTCTGAACTGACCTGTGCTCCTGCAGTAGAATACCGAAGGGCAGAGAGTTCAAAGCGTGGGGGGCTTCTACTTGGTGGGGAAGCAGAAAAGCCTAACTCCAGCTCTTCTTCAAGGCGCAGTCTTTCCTCTTCAGTTCTCTTCATGGCTAAGTAGTCGTCTATAGGCATAAGCAATTCCTCATCAGACAAGTCGCCAAGCGATCGCCTCCTTGGCCTATAGTAATATTCATACTCTGGAGATGGGGTACGCCGACGGGCTGGCCTCACAATTTCAAGATCATCTTGTGTTAGCTTTGGTATGCGCCACTTAGGCTTGTACTGGTCAGAAATACGTGGCAGTGGCATCACGTAAAATTGTTCCCACCTGGAAAGACGTATGCGTTTCTGGCGTTTCTGAACAGTCCTCTCAAGTTTTCCTGGCATTTCATACTGGTCTCGCAGCCTCTTGTACCACTTCATGTCTGACAGAGGCACATAGTGTTTAATATTCTGATCTTCCTCAAGAGCAGCATGTTTGCGAGGCTCTGGGACCTCGTATGGCATGCGAAGTCTTCTTTCCTCCTTCTTTTCTTCTTCTTTCTTAATTTCATATTCACCTTTGACAGTCTTCGAGCTAACAGCTGGTTTATATAAAATAGCAGCTTCTCTGAGAGCCTCTTGTGCAGTTTGTGTCAGTGGAACAGCTTCAACCCCAGCAAGGATTTCTGCCATTCGTAGGGTCTTGTCAATTTGCCTTTGTACATGCTTCTCCCGCTCTTCTTCAGTCTTGTACTCACGCTTGACATATTTCAAGCGTTCAACTTTTAGATAAGCCTGACAGCTTGTAGATCCAGCACTGTTAGTAGCTGTAACTCTGTAATAGCCACTGTCTTCTGGTAAAGTATCTCTGATATGCAAAGCATAATAATCTAAACCTTCATGAATTATATCAAAGTTGGGACCAAAGGATAGAGGTTGACCATCTTTCTCCCATTTCAGCGTTGGTTTTGGTACACCAGATACCCTGATCTCAAAACGGACACTTTGGCCTTCTTGACATTCAGCATTTGCCAGCAGTCTTTTAAACATTGGCCTGAGTGTGGCATCTGCTGGAGGTGGGTGTGGAATCACAGTCAGCTTAGCTTTGCAGCTGTCTTCACCAAATCTATTGCGTGCCACTATACTGTATTCAGCATCATCCTCTTCAGTGACATTATTGATGACTAGTTGATAAAGACCCTTGTCTGATTCAAAAGTATACTTCCTGTCATCATCACCAGGTTTGATTTTCTGGCCTGATTTGAACCATGTTAAGCGAGGTTCTGGGTGAACTGTTATAGTGACTCCAAACCTGACATTTTCTCCGACATATGCAGTGCGGTTGTACAAAGGCAGAGTAAATTCTGGTGGATGCTCTAGTAGTCTCATAGTATCAACCCGTCGTTTCACTTTTCTAACAGTTCTGCATCTGTAGTGCTCAGAAATTTCCCTCACACCTTTAACAAAAAGTTCTGCATAAGAGCTGTCTTCACCATAGTCATTTACTACTTTGCATCTGTAGGTACCATCATCTGATTTAGAAACATCTTTGACATACATGGTTGCCACGCCTTCTTCATATTTAATTTCATATTTCTCATTGCTTTCTAATTGTCTCATGCCAAAGTACCATGTGACTTGTGTGGACTCATCATAGTTTTCAATCGTGCATACATATTTGGCGTGCCCTCCTTCTTCTGCAACATTATGCTTTATCTGCCCAGCAATAGGCCCAATGTCTATTGGAGCAACTTTGACTTTAGCAACTGTTATGCCTTTCTGGGATCTAATTGCGCCTCCACAGGAAATGCGGGCTACTGACACAACTGTGTTCCACTCCTTCTTTACTAGAGTTTGGTAGTAACGCCTGTGCCTCAGGGTCTTGATGGCTTTAGTGCTGGTCTTCTCTGTCTGCTGTTTTAGCCACACATGATTAAGAGCTTCAGCAGCTGTCATCCGAGATTTTCTTTCTTTTACTAGTAGACGATCAATGAAGTCCATGGCCTCGACGCTTATGTCTTTGAATGCTTCATCATCAAAGCTGTATTCAGCATTTAGAATATTCTCAATAACTTGTTGGTTGGTTTCAGCAATGAAAGGATTAAGGCCACTGAGAAGTATGTATGTTAGAGCACCAACTGACCACATGTCAGTAGCTGTGCTGACCAAATCATGGTGATGTACTTCAGGTGCATAATATTCAGGGGCAGTGAACTGGAGTCTAAAGCTGTCTCCAGGCCTCAATTGTCTGGCTTGACCAAATTCAACAATTTTAACTACAGAGCTTCTTCTTGTGAAGTAAATAATATTGTCTGGTTTAATATCAAAATGTCCAATGCTATTGCGATGTAAAAATTCTAGTGCATCACAGACCTGGCGCACATAACTTACTATTTCTCTTTCATTAAGTTCAAATGAAGGTGTGCTGATTCTTTCAAAGATGTCAACTCCAGAAATGAATTCAAATATCATGACCAGTTCTTCTAGGCTCTCAAATGATTCATGAAGATACAGGATATTTTGGTGCCTAGCAATGTTTAGAATGGAAATTTCTTTCTTTACCAAAACTTGGTCAGCGCCCTTTACTTTGACAAACTTGGCCAGGTAAGTCTTTTTTGAAACTGCCTCAACACAGCGGTGTGCAATGCCAAATTGCCCACGTCCAAGCTCTTCTGCGATCATATATTTGTCATATAGTTCTTTTGTAGAACAGTGAGCTGCTTTAGCTGTTGTGACTTCTCTGGTCTCATCAACTTCTTCATCATAGTTCATTACTCTAGTCTTATCTTCCTTTGTTACAACTGGATCAGTGGGTTCAGAAGGCTGACTTTGGCCAAACTTGTTTTCTGCAATTACACGGAACTGGTAGGTGGTCTTGCCAAATAGGTTCACCACTGTGTATCGTGTATCACGAGCTTGTGCAACACGAATCCATCGCTCTGCTGTTGTAGCACGTTTCTCAACAGTGTAGTTTATGATCCTGCTTCCACCATCTGTAGCTGGTTCATTCCAGGTTAAGTTGACTGAATCCCTTGAAATGTCAGTTACCTTTAGACCTCTTGGTGGATCAGGCACATCAGCCACATCTAATTCAACTGTTTTTTGATCGATTCCAAATCTGTTTTTGGCACAAACGATGTAAAATCCTGCATCTTTTCTGTCAACACCATTTGGGAAAACAAGAGATGTGAATGATCGCGTAACAATGACTTGGTAGTGTCCATTAGTATCAATGAGATCTTGTCCCTTCTGCCATGTGATCACGGGGGTAGGCTTGCCACTGAATGGAATCTTGATGCTCACTACTTCCCCTCGGAGGGCATGAACAGCTCCCATGCCTTCCAGGTTTTTGGGCAAGTGAATCTTTGCAGGAACTGCAATAGAAAGAGGAAGAGAAAACAACATGTGACCAAAAGCACATGAGAAGAGTACCTATAGTCTAAATATTCAAAGCTGAAAAAGAATTTGTCTTATTAAGACCCTTCATTCACCTTCAACATCCAAAGAGGCAGTGCCAGACACAGATCCTCCTTGGTTGGTAGCTCTAACTTGATATACTGTGGCATCATCATCTGTTACATTTGTGATGACCAGCTGGTAATATCCACCCTTGAATTCCTGTATCTTGATCTTTTCCCCATCTGGCATAATTTCTTTGCCCTGTCTGTACCACTTGACAATTGGCTTAGGATGACCGGTGACTTTGCAGACAAACGTGGCGTTAGCTTGGAATTTCACATTCAGATTCCGTAGTTCTTCCTTGAAATGTGGAGCTTTAATGGGTACATCAGATTTTGGAATGACTGGTTGGGATACCTCACTCCACTCACTTTCACCACCAAGGTTTTCACATTTTACACGGAACTCATATTCAAGACCTTCAATAAGATCTTTCACAGAGTAGACTGTTTCACGGATTTCATCTGTTGTTACAGAAATCCACTTGTTTTGTTTTTTCTCACGCTTCTCAAGATAATAAGTTCTAATCTTTGCACCGCCGTCACTTGCAGGTGGCTTCCATGAGACAACACAGGAATCCTTTGTGATAGCACTTGCTACTGGCTGGCCAGGTTGCCCTGGTTTTTCTGTAAAGAATAAAAAAGTTCAAAAATTGTAGTGAGCTTGCCTTACTAATTAAATATAGGATGTGCTGGTTTGACTGGGGTAGAGTAAATTTTCTTCCCAGTGGCTGGCATGGGGCTGTGTTTTGGATTTGTGCTGAACACAGGGTTGATAATATAGAGGCATTTTTGTTATTGCTGAGCAGGGCTTACATAGGGCCAAAGCATTTTCTGCTTTCTGTACTGCCACACTGGCAAGGAAGTTGGGAGCTGGGAGTGCATGGCAGAATGGGAGGAGACACAGCCGGGACAGGTGACACCAGCTGACCAAAGGGATATTCCAGACCATATGACATCATGTTCACCTGCCTGCCCATGGGGAGCAGTGAGCTCATGTCTTCTTTTGCTTTGCTTTGCTTGTGTGCACGGCTTTTGCTTTCCCTATTAAATTGTCTTTATCTCAACCCACAGATTCTCTAGCTTTTTACCCTTCCAGTTCTCTCCCTGATCCAGCTGGTGGGGGAGTGAGCAAGCAGCTGCGTGGAGTTTGGCTGCTGGCATACAGGAAATGATACTTTGGCCTCCACTTACCAAATGGAGGCTTTATGAAAACCACTGATGAGACCTCCAGTGCTTCACTAATGCCATATGTATTCTGAGCAGAAACACGGAAATAATAGCCTGCATTTTCCGTTAGGTTAACAATTCTACAGGTTGTGCCTGAAATGCTTGAAGATACAAGCTGCCATTCTGTTCCTTCCTTGGCTTCACGTTTCTCTATGATGTAGTTGGTTATCATAGCACCTCCATCATCCTCTGGTGGTTTCCAGCTTATCACCACAGAATTCTTCAGTATAGACTCTATAACAATTGGCCCTAGTGGTTTGTCTGGTTTATCTGTACAAGAAAAAGCACAACATTTTTAGTTCTTTTTCCAATCAATATTTGAGAAAATATTCTTCAAAAATACTGAAAATAAAATTAATTACCTTGTATTTCCACATTAAGTACAGTGTCAACCGTTCCAAATGTGTTACTGAGTTGTACTTTATACTTCCCAGCATGAGTCTTGTGCTGGACATTCTTAATAGCAAGATGAGTATAATGTTCTGTGTTCTCAATAGTAACCGTTTCTGATCCTCTTAAAGGTTTGTTGCCGTGGAACCAGGTTATTGCTGGTACTGGTCGGCCAATATACACAACATGAAGGCGGAGGGTGCCACCTGCACCTGCATAGTATTTTTCTTTCAATGGGAAGCCAGGGTGGAACTGGGGAGGAGCCTGCAATAATAGTTTGCCACTAGTTTCAATTTCTCCGACGTCATTGGTAGCCATACAAGTGTAGAGACCTTCATCCTCTTGTTCATCTGTCAGTACTGTCAGTGTATGATTGCGTCCATCAGATGACATTTTGTATTTTCGGCTTTGCACCAGTTCTTTGCCGAAGCGGTACCATTTAATATCAGGCAAGGGTCTCCCAACAATCTGGCATGTGAGCTGAGCCGCCTCACCCAGTTTAGTTGTAACATCCTGCATTTCTTTTTTGATGGCAGGTGCTTCTCCAGCTATGACAAAGAAAATCATGAAAATAATGATGATTATTATCAAATTTTTCTCTCATAATGTATTACTGGAAATTAATTTTCATTTATACTTCTTCTTCTTAAACCTGAAAGACTGTTCTTTAGAACAGTCATGTTGGCAAATAACATGTAAAACAAATAGGCAGCATGTTAAGTGCAGCACCATGGTTTACGAGACACAGAAAATCACAACAATATCATAGCAAATGTGACAATATGTTTTTTGCTTACATGTTAATTTAGTTTTCACTGCCATAGCAGTCCTCCGTGGTCTGCTGAGGCCAGTCTGATTTTCTGCAAAAACACGGAACTCATATTCTGTAGCCTCTAGTAAACCTCCTACTGTAAACTGCCTGTCCTTGATGCGTTCCTTATTGCATTTTTTCCAGGTGCTTTCTCCAGACTGGCGATATTCAACCCAGTAGCCAAGGATCTCTTTGCCACCATCACTTTCCGGTCGTTCCCATTCTAATGTAATGCTGTCCTTAGATATAGAAGTGATCTCAATTTCTCCCGGTTGGCTTGGTTTGTCTGAAAATTAAAAGAGATACAGAAAAGAAATTTCTCTCTAAATGCCACAAAGTTGCTCTTCACAAGATCTGTTAATGCAGACGTTTTCTTACCAAATGGATCCTTGCATACAACTGGTTCAGAAGCAGGACTTGCTTCACTTTCACCAATGTCATTTTGAGCAATGATACGGAATTGATATTCAGCATCTGGAACAAGTCCTGTGACTGTGTACATTGTAGTAGTAATCTGTGTCTTATTATGCCGGACCCATTTTTCTGTAGATGTCTCTTTACGTTCAATGTAGTAGCCAGTTACACGAGAACCACCATCATCTTTAGGTCTGGACCAGGACAAGTTGACAGAACTCTTTGTAACATCAAGCACTTCAGGTGGATTGTTTGGAGGCTCTGGAGGATCTATTAATAATAATAGCAAAAATAATAGAAACAATAGTGACATAGCATTAAAACTTTTGCATTTATTGTTGCACTTTTAGATCATAATGTAGTAACTAATTTTCTGTTTGTTTGTTTGTTTGTTTGTTTTAAGTCTAAGAAGGAACTTACTTAGAGGTGTCTTTGGTACTGCTGGTTCTTCAGATTTGAGAGATTTGCTAATGCCGAAATGGTTTTCAGCAGAAACACGGAAGTGATATTCCACATTTTCTTTGAGCCCTTTCACCACCAGTGATGTCCCTTTCACTCTGGAGTCAACGGTGTACCAGGCAGTCTTTGGTACTTCTCTTCTCTCAACAATATAACCTAGGATATCTGCACCACCATCATCTGTAGGAGGTCTCCAGCTTACTCTGACAGAACGAGCTTGTATATCATCATACTCCAGTGGCCCTTCTGGAGGATTTGGAATGCCAATCACTCTGACTTTAATATACACAGCTTTTTTGCCACACTTATTTTCAAGTGCCAAATCATAGGTGCCTGAATCTTCTCTTTCTGCATCTTTGATCACAAGTTCTGTGTGAGTCTCAGAAGTCGCAATCATGGCCCTCTTGCTGATGTCCTGTCCTTCTTTTGTCCATTTGCATACTGGGATGGGCTTGCCCTTAATGGGTATTGTAAGCCTGATTACTCCACCTTGTCTCACCATGAGACCTTCTTGGTATTTTTCATCAAGTTCATAGTCAGGATATTCTGTAAACAAAATTGAGATGTCATGCTATGTCTGTTTTACAGATAATATCATACCTGTTTTAGGCAAATATTTTTTTAGGACAACTTTCAACAGAATTTAAGGCTTGAAGTGTCTTACCAAGCATTTCTGTTATTTTGACTGTTCCTGGCACTTCAGCAGGTTCTCCTGGCCCACCAGCATTACAGGCTAGCACACGGAATCTGTACTCTGCACCCTGGGGGAGATGTGTCAAGGTGTATTCACGAATCTTGGTTGGCGTAGTATTGCATTTGGTCCATTCAAATTGATCAACCTTCTGCATCTCAATTAAGTAACCAGTAACTTTAGAACCACCTTCATCTTCTGGTGGACTCCAGGCCAGGGAGACAGACGTTCTTGTAGTATCAGTGACTCTTGGATTCTGAGGTTTACCTGGAGGAGCTGGAAGAGAAGACCAGATAGGTTGTAGGGGTTTTTTTTAAATGAATATTTAAAATATTAAACAAATGCTAACTTGCAACATATGATCTGTAATAAGTCTATAATCTATTTATATAGGAAAACTTGAATGAAAGATTTTTACTAATATTTTCTCTGTTTTCTCCGGTTAGAATCTTATTTAATAACACATCCAGATAAATTTCTGAGTTAGAAAAAAGAGTAAATTTTACTAGTGTCATCCCTTTTTGCCATAATGTTCCTAATGTATGTAGGAAAGTACTTACCAATTGGATCTCTGGCAACAGCAGACTTGGAAGGATGGCTGGGTTTCCCAGTGCCTCTGGCATTGATTGCTGTGACTCGGTGTTCATATTCCAATCCTTCGACCAACCCAGTGGAACGGTAACGAGTCATAGTAACTGGGACTTTATTTACACGGATCCATCTATCTGCTCTAACTTCTTTGCGTTCCACGATATAACCAGTGATCTGTGAGTCACCATCATCTTCTGGAGGATACCAAGTTAATGTCATGCCATCTCGAGAGATATCAAACACTTCTGGAGTGCCAGGAGGACCAGGAATACCTGTAAAACAGGACACAGAATTAGTGAAGAAATCAAATTATTTCTTTGATTATCTTTTTATCAGCAGATATCCTAAGTACTTTACAAATTAGGTCAGCAAAATACTCCTGGCTTTGTAATGGGGTAAAGCAATTTTTCAAGACTAATAGTAGACATGAGCAGAAAATCCAAGTTTGCGATTCACATTTTGTGCAGTTCATCTATCTACATAGATTTATGAATGGCATTTTTCACCAGAAATATAACAAGATTACTGTGCATCAGACGGTAGCATTTTACTTGGCAAAAGGAAGTAGCAACATCCAAAAAAATATAATCTATGCATGGGTATATAAGCCCATTTAAATATATATTTTTATTTTTAAAGTAGAGAATAAACAGAATTTCTGACTTACGGATTCTGCTCTTGCATTCTATAATTTCAGACTGTAGGTAAGATCCGATTCCAAAGCGGTTTGTAGCAGCTACACGGAACACGTATTCTGCACCTTCAACAAGTCTGGTGAACTTAAATGTTGTTCTAGTTACTGACTCTGAAACTGGCAGCCATCCAGGACGGTGAGCGTCACGCTGTTCTACCACATATCCACTAAGGGTAGCTCCACCATCCAGTTCAGGTGGATCCCAGGAGATGGTTACATAATTTGAATCAACTTCATCAATTCGGATAGGTCCAGTAGGTGGTCCAGGTTTGTCTAGGAATTAAAAAAGAAAATTAAAAAACAAGTGGAAAAAAGGAATCATATTGCTCATGTAAAAGTTCAAAGTTCAAATGGAGAATGATCATGGACATTTATTTTAATGAATTCTTACCAAGGATTATAACCTTTAGTGTATCGGTAACTGTTCCAGTTGTGTTCTTCAGTTCAAGTGTATACTCTCCCGTGTCATGTATGGTGGTCTCACGCACAGTTAATTTAGTCATTTTGGCAACAGTCTCCACTTTAATGCGTTCTGATTCTTTTAGTTTAGAACCAGCAAAGAACCAAGATGCAGTTGGAGGTGGTCGTCCTTCAATTGGAATGGCTAACTCAATGGGCTTGCCGGCAGGTACGTGAATTGTCTTCTGAGGTATTCCAGCAAAGTCAATTGTTGGTAGAACTAAGAAAAGAAATTAATTTATATTAAATTTATATTAAATTGATTTTAAATACTTGTTTTATAAATATTCATTTGGTGTAAGCTTCACCCTATTATTTGCAACAATGGACACCTACCTTTTTGGTCTTGGACTGTTACTGCAGTGACAGTCTCTCGTGGTTCTGACACGCCTTTCTGATTCTGTGCTCTGACCCTGAACAAGTACTGTTCGCCTTCATTGAGAGAGATAATTGTATGTTCGTAGACAGTAGGCTTCAGTGTCACTACCTTCAACCATCTTTCTGTTCCAGCTTTGCTGGCCTCAATGACATAGCCTGTCAATCTGCTGCCACCATCATGGAGTGGTTTCTCCCATGCAAGAGTAACAGTTGATTTAGTGGTGTCAATCACTTCGAGTTTTTGTGGTACCATGGGGACATCAGATACTAGTACTGCATCAGATGTTTCACAAGCTTCACCAATGCCATAAATGTTTTCTGGAAGTACTCTGAAATAATACAAAGCTCCTTCTAGAAGTCCAGTAACTCTATAAAATGTTTTGCTGCATTTGGTAGTCACAGTCTTGTAAGCTCTCATGGAAGCTTCACGTTTCTCAATTATGTAATTGTTGACTGGGGCTCCACCGTCAATGTTTGGAATATCCCAAGTAAGTGTCACAGAATCTTTTGATGCTTCCTTAACTTTCACTGAAGATGGTGGACCAGGTGTATCTAAAACAAAAAACCCAACAAACATTTTTTTTTCTTTTGGATCCTTTCATTTTACAGTCAATGACTGCTTCTGCATATAACAAAAATTCTGTGATTTGATTTAGAAACTAGCACAGCTTCAGACACAATGTATTTTTCTTTGTTTCTCTGACTTCTCAAACATGTTCTTTAAACTTCTCATATTATTTAAACTGCAAACTTCCTTTGGAATTCAATGACACTTATTCCAGAACAATGAGCACGAAGAGTGGTGGAATGCCCATATAAAATTGTAGCAGTACTTACCATACACTTTCACAGAAATAGTTGCAGATTTTTTTCCTGATTGATTTTCAGCCTCGATGATGTATTTTCCAGCATCATACCGATTAACTTTGTCCACAATAAGCAGAGTGTAGCTGTCTGTAGTGTCAATAATAGCTCGACTTACAAGGTCAATACCCTGCTTGCTCCATGTGATTACAGGAGCAGGTCTGCCAGATACAGAGACCATCAGGCGGAGGGAACCACCAGCTCTGACTGTAACTGTCTTCTTCAGATCATCAGCAAGCTCAAGCTCAGGTATTTCTGATGAAGGGTATAAGAAACATGGAATTAATTATTCTTTTAGTAGTTCTAAAGGAAAACATAGTTATTCCTCAAAATGGACAGTAAATTTTCAAATTACCTATTCTTTCCACAGGTTCTATTTCTGCTGATGATTCACTAAATTCACTCATACCATTCACATTTGTAGCAGCAACTCTGAATTGGTATTTCTGGTTTGTTTTAAGACCAGTCACGGTGAACTCAGCATTCCTCAGAGTGGCGGTTGTATGTGGTCGATACCACTGTTCACTACCTTCTTCTTTCATCTCAAGAACATAGCCTAAGATGTCAGCACCACCATCATATGTGGGCTTTGACCATGCTAAACTTATGCTGTGCTTAGTAGTATCCACAACTCTTGGAACTGAAGGTGATGCAGGGGTATCTTTGAAAAAGAAGAAAATACGTTTCACATTGGTGCAGATAACATTTTATAGTCAAAAAATATTTTCAAACAGCTAACTCTGGGAAATGTATTTAAGATGAAGTATAACTCTTTTTAAGTTTACTCTTATACTAACTAGCTCTGTGACTTTTTATGTGGTTATGAATTTCTTATTTGAAGAGTCAATGTGAGTTTATACTCAAATATTATAAATAAATATTAAAATATGTTTTAAATATGGTAACTTACATGTTGGTTCTTTACATAACATGTACTGTGAAGCTTCACTAGGTTCACTGTTTCCAGCAGCATTCACTGCAGTGACACGGAATTGGTACTGGCACCCTTCCATGAGACCAGTGACTTTCAGTCTGGTATCATAAATGGTGTAATCTCTGTTCACTCGCGTCCAGCGCAGACTTTTCTTTTCACGTTTGTCCACCAGATAGTCCTTAATCTCACTGCCACCATCTGATTCTGGTTTTGACCACTGAATAATGATATGTTCCTTGCCGACACTCACTTCTTCAGGAGCACCAGGCTGTGTTGGAATAGCTATTTTTTTTAAAGGTGAAAAAAAATATTATTTAGCACGTTGTTTATCTATGGGAACTATTTTTACAAATTCTGATACTGAATGGAAGGTAGTAACACTCACTGAAAGCATTCCTGGCAATCACAGGTTCTGATTCAAGTGGAACACCTGGTCCATATTTGTTGACAGCTCTCACACGGAAGATGTATTCATTATTTTTAATAAGTTTTGTTACCACAGTGGATAAAGTCTGGCATTCAGCCTCAACGATAACCCAGTGAAGTCTGCTGGTTTCACGCCTTTCTATGATATAGTGAGTGATTTCTGCACCCCCGTCTTCCTCAGGAATGTTCCATGCCAGAGTACATTTCTCTTCTGTTACTCTGCTAATCATGATTTTGCCTGCACATGGACCTGGTGAATCTGCGTAGGGATCAAAATAAGTGTTGTAATTAGTGGCTAAGGAAAAGCATCTCAGTCTTATTTAAAAGAACGTGGGGTTTTTAGTATACTAAGTATGAATATTAATCATGGGATACATACCAAGCACTTTGACGAGAACAGAAAGTTGTTTCATTCCACTGGCATTTTTAACTGTTAGGGTATATTTTCCACTATCACTTCTGTCACAGAACTTGATAATTGCAATAGCTCGTTTGCTGGTGTATTGCAGAGATATCTTTTCACATAGCTCCAGTTCCCTGTCACCTTTGGACCAGAAGACTTTTGGTTCTGGTTTCCCACCAACAGCTGCATCAAGAACAAGATCCGATCCAGCCCTAATGCTCAAAACTTCTCCCTGCAGTCTGGCATCAAGTTCGGCCTTTGGTGGTGCTGGAAAGAGAGATTTGAAAAAAAATTACATGACAGTACTAAAAATAGGACATTATGTTTTTAATTGTTCCAAGTGAATATTTCTTACAGTATTCGTCTTTGCAAATGACAGCACCAGTTGATTCAGATCCTTTGCTAATCACACCAGCAGCATTCTTTGCTAGTACACGGAATTCATAGGCTTCATCTTCACCAAGAGCTGTCACCGTAAAAAAGTTTTCGGAGACAATGGTATAATTGCATTTCAGCCAGCGTCCATCACCAGATTCATTATATGGTTTGCGCTCTATAATATATCCGATAATTTTGCTTCCACCATCATAAAGTGGGGGTGACCAGCTCAGTGACACTGAAGATCTGGTGACGTCTGTTACTTCTGGTCTTCCTGGTGGATCTGGAGGAATAAAACAGAAAAAATGAGAAATGCAATTCTATTTTAGTTTAAGTAACAATGTAACTGCAAAAGTAGTACTTACCAACTGGATTTTGAGCCACTACAGGTCTGGAAGCTTCACTAGCTTTGCTAACACCTGCAGCATTTAGAGCATAGGTTCTGAACTGATATTCTAGGCCTTCTACCAACCCTGTGACTTTGTAGTTGCATTCACAGCATGGCACTTTGTTCTCTTTCACCCAAAGAATGGTATTGCGCTCCTTCTTTTCCACCCAATATCCAATGACTTTGCTGCCACCATCATGATAGGGTTCCTCCCAGCGAATGGCCATGGCAGTGGCAGACACAGAATAGACTTCTGGCCTTGAAGGTGGGCTTGGTGGGACTAAACACAAAAAAGATGGGGAGGAAAATATTAGTAATTAGAAATTCCACAGTCAGAGAAAAGAACAAATTTTGAGGAGTGTCTCACTTACCAAATGGATGCTCAGCAACTACTGTTTTTGATTCAAGCGGCTTGCTGACACCAAATCTATTTTCTGAGCTTACTCGGAAACTGTACTCTTGGTATTTTGTGAGATGAGTGACTTTAATCTGTGTTCGTTTCACACTGGAGTTTACCAGCTGCCATGCTGTTGTGCCAGACTCGCGTTTCTCTACAATATAGTTTGTAATGTCACTGCCACCATCATCTTCAGGTTCTTTCCAGGTCAACACACAGGACTCAGCAGAGACAGAAGATATTTCAATTGGGCCAGTGACAGGACCTGGTCTTCCTATGACTACCACTGTGACAGCAAATGTTTTCACACCAGCAGTGTTTTCAAGTGTAAGGTAGTATTTACCAGAGTCACCTCTCATACTGTCCTTTACAGTCAGTATGGTTCTGTCTTTTGTTGTCTTGATAGTCACTCTCTCAGTTTCCTTCAACCTCATCTCCTCAAGTTTCCATGTCACTTTTGGAGTTGGGCGCCCACTGATTGGTATATCAATAGTAAATGTGCTTCCAGCCTTGCATGTTATGAGCTGTCTGCTTATATCACTGAGATCTGCTGTTGGTTCAATTTGTGGCTCCTTAACAATAACAGAAGAGAAAGCTTCCCTTGGCTCACTGTAGCCGGCATCATTCTTTGCCTTCACCCGGAACTCATATTCAGTGTTCTCCACAAGGCCTTCAACAGTGAAAGTAAGTTGCTTGGTTTGTCCAGCTCCAATCCAGGAGTCAGATCCTTTTTGTTTCATTTCAAGAAGGTATCCAGTAATACGGCTACCGCCATCATGATCAGGTTTAAGCCAAGCTAAAACTACAGAAGATTTGGTTGTATCAACAATATCTAGTCTCTTAGGTGGAGCAGGTTCTTCTGTGGCTACAACCGGTTCTGTTAATTCACAAGGTTCACCTACACCATATTCATTTTCTGCTGACACTCGGTAGTAATATGGCACACCTTCTGCCAGATCCGTGACCTTAAAGATCTGTCGAGTGCATTTTGAACTCACTACTTGCCAGCTACGACGACTTGCTTCACGTTTTTCCACAACATAGTGATGGATACGAGAACCTCCATCCAGAACAGGAGCATCCCACATTAAAGTAATAGATCCTCGAGTCACATCTTTAAATGTAATAGGACCTGGTGGACCAGGTGTGTCCAAAACCTTGACAGTAAATGTAATAGACTTACTTCCACTGTTGTTTTCCACAGTAAAGACATACTTGCCAGCATCATTTCTATTGCATTCCTCCACAGTCAATGTGCTGAAGGAATCAGTTGTTTGAATGTCAGCACGCAAGCTGAGATTAGCATCTGCTTTGGACCACACTGCAGTAGGAACAGGCCTTCCAGAGAAGGCAATAAATAGACGAATGCTTGCACCTGCTCTTACAATATGAGTCTGCTTGAAGTTTGCATCAATATCAATTTCAGGTGCAGAAAGCCTGTCCACGGTTTGGACTGAAGCAGGAACTTCACAACTCTCTCCTTTGCCAGCGCCGTTCACAGCACTAACTCTGAATTTATAGTGTTCTCCTGCCTCCAAATCTACAACAGTATATTTAGTAGCGATAACAGTCTCTGCATTGACTTTCTGCCATGCTTCAAGGTCAGCTTTGCACATCTCAATGATGTACCCAATTATTTCCATGCCTCCATCAAAAACTGGCTTTGTCCACTCTAAGCTTACACTAGTCTTTGATGTATCTGTCACCTTTACAACATTAGGAGCACTTGGTGGGCTGACTGGTTCTCTACATTTAATCAGCTTTGAAACATCACTTGGAGGTCCAACTCCTGCAGCGTTTTCAGCCATGACATGGAACTCATACTCATTGCCTTCAATAAGGCCAGTTACTCTGTATCTGTTCTCAGTAATGGGCCTCTTACTGGAGACTTTAACCCAGCGCATGCTCTTCTTTTCTCTCCTTTCAAGAATATACTCATTTATCTCGCTTCCACCATCTGACTCCGGTCTTGCCCATGTAAGTGTGATACTGTCTCCTGTTACGTTGGTAGGCTCTGGAGTTCCTGGTGCATCAGGAAGAGCTGAAAAAAAAAAAAAGTCATTAGAAAGACAAGATGGTAACTCCATAGATGTTTGTACAGAATGAGGTGGAAACTTACTGTAAGGTATTTGTGCAATAACTGGATCAGACTCCAATGGTCTGCCAACTCCAAATTTGTTCACTGCAGAGATGCGGAACTGGTACTCATTGCCCTTAATTAATTTAAGTGCCGTGTAGCTGCAAGCTTCACATTTATCTTCAACTAATGCCCAAGCGATCCTGCTGGTTTCACGTTTTTCAATTATGTAGTGAGAAACAGAAGCACAACCATCATTAGCTGGAGGCTCCCACCATAATGTGACTTTTTCTCCAGTGATGTTTGTGAATCGTATTGGTCCACCAACTTTTCCTGGTGTGTCTGCAATATTAAAGGTTCAGAGTTATAAACTTCCTGACATTAGAATAAAATACTATTTTTAAAAAGCATGCTGAAAGTGTTTGGTATAGTACCTTGTACTCTGATGGTAATATCTTCTCGTTTAGTGCCTGATGCATTTTTGGCTTCTACTGTGTACACTCCACGATGATCCCGGATAGCATCTCTAATGAAGATTGTACTATATCCAATAGCTGTAGTAATTTCTATATTCATTGTTTTCTCTATCTCTTTACCATCCTTAAACCATGTCACTTTAGGTACTGGACGTCCTTTGATTAGAGCTTTAACTCTAATGCTTTCTCCAGCTTTAACAGTAAGGCCTTCAAAGTGCTCAGCACCAAATTCAATTGTTGGAGCAACTAAAAAAGGAAAATATAATTAAATTTGCATGCAGTAAAGTATTTTTCTGGATACTCTTCTAAATGTACAGATTGTAAAAGCTTGTAATATATAGAATTCTTTCACTTAGAAAATGGCATTCTCTAAATAGCAGTTATTATATGAGCTATATACTTATTTTTCCTGTAAGCATCCATAAGTACCTCGTATTAATGATAGATGAAAAATGCTCTTCATATGTGCTGTTAATAGTATGCAAAGCCACCTGAGACCCATTTCAATTTCTAAGTTATTCAATCCATCAGAATATTACAGTTTATGCTTTCTTTCCAATTTTGCTGCTGTTATTTCTGCTTATCCAAGAGAAATGTAGAGTGCCATGCCTTTCAGCAATTGATTATGTATGTCTGCCAGATTTGGCTCTTTAATTTAGACCTTCCCATCTTGGAGTGCAAACATAAATGTTCTGAATTGAATGGAAAGATCTCAGTAACAAGTTCTTTGCCCATTGGCTTCCCATTTCCTGTCAGTACAGCCAGAACTCTATCTGGCTGCAGTACCCAAATACAAGTGTATTAGAAAATAATTCTTACCGTTTTCATCTCTGGTCATGATATAGCCTGAGGACTGTGAAGGTGGGCTGATTGTACCAACAGCATTTCTTGCAAGCACTCTGAATTCATATCGGTCACCTGCACTGAGTCCCGTAACCGTATACTGGCATTCACTGACATCAGTAAAGTTACACCGCAGCCAACGGTCTGTTTTTCCCTGCCGTTTCTCAATGCTGTAAGCCACAATCTTACTGCCTCCGTCACGCAGTGGGGGGGTCCATTTCAGGGTGACTGTTTCCCTGGTGACATCAATGTAATCAGGAGTACCAGGTGGGTCTGAAAGGAAAATAATGAATTATTTTTATTACTGCTTACCATAGTCTACAAGAATAGAATTTTCTTGGATGAGTGATTGATCATTCACTTACCCACTGGAGAGACTGCCAAAGTAAATTTGCTTGGCTCACTAGCTCGGCTTAGACCTGCAGCGTTTTCAGCATATACTTGGAACTGGTAATCCAGGCCCTCAAGCAGTCCAGTAATCCTGTATTCTCTGCTAGATATTAATGCAACATTAACCTTCTGCCACAAAATACTGTTTCTTTCCTTCTTTTCAACGTGGTACCCAGTAATCTCTGAACCACCATCAAAAGCAGGAGCATCCCAAGATATTGTCATTCCATCAGCAGTTACATTGTATACGACAGGCTTGCCTGGGGCACCTGGTGGTCTAAACTGATGCTTTGCCACAACATCTGCTGAGACAAGAGGTGGGCTCACTCCGTATCTATTTTCTGCACGCACTCTAAACTGATATTCAGTGTCTTTAACAAGGTTTGGCACTTTGAAGGTTGTTCTTGCAGCGCTTGAACACACCAGCTTCCAGTTCATTTGTGAGGTTTCTCTCTTCTCAATACTGTATCCAGTAATTTCTCCTCCCCCATCATCCTCAGGAGCTTCCCATGACAAAACTACACTATCTGCTTTGATTTCATCTAGTCTTAAAGGTGCTTTTGGCTTAGATGGAGGACCAAGAGTGATAACAGTAATTGTGAATGATTTTCTGCAGACTACATTATCAAGAATTAAAGTATATTTGCCACCATGCTCCTTTTTCACATTCTTGATGCTTAAGCTTATCTTGTTTTCAGTTTTCTTGAAACGAAGTTGTTCTGTTTCTTTAAGAGGGAGGTTGTCCTTGAGCCAGCTCATTGACGGCTTAGGTTTACCTTTATAGGGCAATTCAATGTGCAGGTTATGTCCAATTCTTACTGAAATCTGTCCTCCAGGAATATCAGAAAGGTCAGCCTCAGGTGTTATTATAAGTTCCTTCACTGTAATGGGTCCAACAGTAACAGAGTCACTCATGCCTTTTTCATTTTTAGCAAAGACTCTGAATTCCATGACAGAAAGCTCTTTAAGTTTTTCAACTACAAATTCACAGCTCTTGCTTGTGCCTGCATATGTCCACTCTTTCTCTTCCTGAAGTTTCTTCTCAATAACATAGTCTGATATAATGCTACCACCATCATAGTCAGGTTTGCTCCACTGCAATGTAACAGAACTCTTTGTAGAGTCTTTCATTGCTAGGTCTTTGACAGGTCCGGGTACATCTGCAGCTTTCACGGGTTCAGATGTCTCGCAAGGTTCTCCCAGTCCAATTTCATTTTCAGCAAGAACACGGAAGAAGAATGCAGTCTTCTCTGACAGGTTAGTTATCTTAAAGGTGGTATTTGAACATTTTGTTGTAACAGTTGACCAGGCCCTCTTTGTAGCATCTCTTTTTTCAACAACATAATTTGTTATTTCAGAACCACCATTAATAAGAGGGGGCTCCCATACCAGTGTAACTGTTCCACGAGAAACATGCTTAAGCTGCAGCTTCTGGCAAGCAGAAGGTGTGTCAAGTACTTTTACATTCACAAATGATGATTTTGCTTCTCCAACTCCATTTTCAATTGTAAGGACATATTTTCCTGTATCGTTTCGGGTAACTTGAGGAATAATAAGTAGTGTAGATGATTCTGTGTTCTGAATTATATATCTTTCATCAGTTCCAAGATTCTTGTCACCCTTTCTCCATGTGACTGTGGGAGGAGGTCTTCCTTTAAATGGAATCATTATTTCCACATCTTCACCTGCTTTAGCAACAATAGATGTCCGGAGAGCAACATCCAGATCAATCTCTGGTGCCACTGTGGAAATAAATAAAAATCAATAATACTTACTTGGAATGTAAAATAAGAAATGGTTTAAAAAAAAAAAAAACCCAACCAAAATCCCCACAGAAAAATGATGAATCACTAAAAAGTACAGTACCAAGAATATCTTTAGCTTGAACAGGTTCCATCATTTCAATAGGCTCTCCTTGTCCAGCACAATTCACAGCAGAGACACGGAAATAATAATTAACACTTGGCTGAAGGTGTGATACAACATACTCAGTTGTTCTCACTTCTCCCTTAGAACTGACTACAGTCCATTCTTGCTCTTCACCTTCCCTTTTCTCCACCACATAGTTGGTAACTGGACTTCCTCCATCATAAGTAGGTTTAATCCAGCCAAGGGTGACAGATGTCTTGGTTGTATCCACAACCTTCAGCTTTGTTGGTGAGCCTGGCTTATCTGTAAATGATAATTTAGGGGGGAAAGACACCAATCAGAATCCATATTTACAATTAATCATAAAGAGGAAGAAAATATGCCCTCCATTACATTGGTGCAATCCCACACTAATTGCTCATTGTTCATTGATTTCTAACCAACTGGAAATACTGCATGTTGTATCTTACCAATAGGATCTGCAGCTTTGTAGAAGTCAGAAGCTTCAGAGAACGGACCTTGTCCAGCTGCATTGACAGCACAAACTCGGAAATGATATTCGCTGTTTTCAGTCAGACCTGTTACTTTCTGTCTGGTGTCCCGAATACTTTCTTTAGTAACCTTGAACCAACTCAGACTCTTCTTGTCACGCTTCTCAAGAAAATATCCTGATATTTCACTGCCTCCATCAGCTGTGGGCCTATTCCAGACAACGGTCATAGAATTCTTGGTTATCTTTGTGACTTCTGGTACACTAGGTGGTCCAGGTGTAACTGATTAAAAAATGATATGTCAGTAGATCAGTACTAGTTACCGGTAATACACAAGACAATTCAGTAGTGTAAGTTATTTTATATGTTTCTTACCAAATGAATTTTTGGCTATAACAGGTTCAGATTCGAGTGGATCACCAATTCCAAACTTGTTCACACCACGGACACGGAACAAATATTCATTTCCTTTGATGAGTTTTGTTGTAGTTATGATACATCCCTCCAGTTTTTCAGAAATTAAAGACCAAACAACCCGACTTGTCTCCCGCTTTTCAACAACATAGTGTGTTACAGGTGCACCACCGTCATCTGCTGGTGGGTCCCACATTATTGTAATCTTTTCAGCAGTGACTGTCTTAAACTGTATAGGTCCAGTTGGAGGTCCTGGCTTGTCTGTGAAAGGCAGAAGAAAGAAGATGTTAAGTATTTATTACTGAGGTATTGTTTAATAGTAAAATGCAGTGACATCTCAAGACCAAGTGTCATACCAAGTATCTGTAGTCTAATGTGGGCTGATGCTGAACCCATAGCATTCTTTAGTTTTAATTCATAGGTGCCACTGTTGAGTCGATTTGCATCCTTGATGAGTACAGAAGCAAATTCTGTTGTGTTTTCAAATGACACTAGTGCACTGGTTTGTACCTCGTTGCCATTTTTGAACCATTCAATTGTGGGTATAGGCTTGCCTGAGATGCCTAGTTTTAGCTTAACTGAAGTTCCTGCTTTGTATTTCACCACTTCTGTATATTCTGGTGGCACATCTATTTCCGGTGCACCTTAAGAAAAAAATAAGAGTAAGTTAAAAACATGCTTATTTTAGCCCTGTATTTAATAAAACACCATAATAATAGTACTTTATTTAAGATAATATTTACAGACATTTGATAAATACAGATCAAATATAGCATATTTAAAATTATAAACCTAGACCAAGCTAAAACCAAGACAAGACAATCGCATGTATAAATATAATCACTTTGGCCATGGGGCATGGGCAGACTTCTGTTGCTCAGAGAATAGATACCGTAAGACTTTAAAAGTGCAGATACAGCCAAAGATGTTCATTACAATCATGCCCAAATGCTCACAGTCATTCAAGCTTCTTGAATCAATCACTGTAAACTAGCCTGCCATATTTAAAAGACTATGTATCTACAAAATGGTACTGCCTTTAAGCTTTCTGGTACCGCAAAATGATACCATTATATCATTGCAAAACACTTACCATATGTATCAACACATGTGATAGGACCCACAACATCGGAGGGATTACTGATTGAACCAACGGCATTCTTAGCAAAGACACGGAATTCATACCGGGAATTCTGTGTCAGACCAGATACTGTGAACTGAGTCTCGATAACATTGGTGAAGCTTGCTTTTGTCCATCTGCCATCTGGAAGATCACGTTTCTCTACGATGTATCCAGTGATCTTGCTACCACCATCAAATGCTGGCTTCTGCCAGGAGAGAGTGATAGCGGTCTTGGAAATATCTGAAGCACGGACATTTCTTGGTGGTTCTGCAGTAGGAAGCATAAGAATATTGCCAATGAATAACAGCTGGTTTGAATATTGGCTTACTGTACAGAACAGACTATCATAGGGGAAACAAAATGGTTGGGCTTCTTTATTTTCCACAGAATACATACCGCAAGCATCAATTGCAAGGACTGGATCAGAAGCACGACTTGCTTTTCCAATGCCAGCTGCATTTTCTGCATAAACTCTAAATTCATAGATAAGGCCAGCGCTGATGGTGGTGACTTTGAAATGAGTGGTACGAATAAGGGTCTTGTTAGCCTTCTGCCATAATATGCTATTCCTGTCTTTCATTTCCAAGTGGTATCCGATGATAGCATTACCACCATTAGTGACAGGTTCATGCCATCCAACAGTAATACTCTCTCGGGTGACATTAGTGACCCATGGTGTAGAAGGAGGGCCAGGGGTAGCTGATGATATCAAAAGAAGTGGTTAATTGTTAACAAAATTACATTTTCAACATCAGAGCATTAAAACATCAACTTATACCACAAGAAGCATGTTACTCACTGTAAGGAAGCTTGACAACCACACACTGTGAGTCTATGTGGTCACTGATGCCAAAGCGGTTCTCAGCTTTGATGCGGAATTGGTATTCTTCTCCTGTCGTGAGCCTCATAACTTTGATAACAGTTCTAGCAACAGTTGCAGACACTTCAGACCAAGCTGCAGTACTTGTCTCTCTTTTCAGTACAATATAGTTGGTAACTTGACTTCCACCATCATAAGCTGGTGGTTGCCATCTGAGTGTTACACTCTCTTCAGTGACATCGCTCAGGACAACAGGACCAACAGGAGGACCAGGTCTATCCAGCACAACGATATTAACAAATGATTTTGTGGTGCCACTTGAATTGGCAGCAGTAATGTCATATCTGCCAGCATCAGCAGCCACACTTTCTTTAAGGTTAATGACAAGACTTTCTGCAGTGGTTTCTGTGTTGAATCTCATGGTAGGCTTCAGTGGAACACCATCTCTAGACAGTGTCACCTTTGGCATTGGTTTTCCAGAAATGGGAATTTCAACTTTCAGGTTTGATCCTGATCTAACATATACAGTGTTATGAGGGAAGCCTTTCATGTCAATCTCAGGAGATTCTGAAAAACAAAACCGTTTCAAACCATTAAAAAAATGTTCTGTCTTTTAAAATATGGATGCAATTGAATGTGTATCATCTTTTGTCTCATGTCAGGAAGCATACCTAATTGTTCTTTAACTGTAACAGGGAGCAGAAGTTCCTTAGGATCACTTAAACCAGCTTGGTTTTCTGCATACACCCTGAAGAAGTAGTCAGTGTTCTCCTTAAGACCATGGACAACATGATGAGTTGTCTTTACAACTGCACACTTAACCCATTTTTGCTGTCCTTTCTCCAGAGCTTCAATGAGGTAGCTCACAATTCTGCTTCCACCATCATGTTCTGGTTTTAGCCATGATAGAGAAACACTGTCCTTTGTGACATTTGTTACTCCCAGTTTTTCTGGTGGGCTGGGTTTTTCTGAGGAAAAAAGTGCAACAGATTAAACAATATAGAAAGCATTTACTTTTTATATTAGTAATTACACAGGAATGCCATCTGGATCAAATTTATATATTTTACAAATTTGTGTATTAAAAATACTTTAAGTAGAATGCAAGAATTTAAAATTTAAGCTATTATTTAGCCCTTTTTCATTTGTTAAACCACAGACAAACGTACAAAAAAAATTACCCATTTTACTGTTAGTGGATTTAAAACTTTTTTACATTATTCTGAAATAAAAAGTTTAAAACAAAAAGTTTAAAACATATTAAGTATTAACAAATATCTTTTCATAGTAAGACATACCTGTTATTTTTGTTCCCTCCTTGGTCTCAGAAGGCACTCCAACACCATACTCATTTTCTCCAGAGACCCGGAAGTAGTAAATGCCGCCTTCTTGCAAACCAGTCACTTTGTAGGACAGGCGATGACAATTGTTTGTCACAGTGACCCATGCTTTTTTGCTAGCTTCTCGTTTTTCAATAACATAGTTCTTTACAGGTGCTCCACCATCATTTTCAGGAACATCCCAGGATAACACAGCAGATTCTTTAGTTATGTCTTTTGTTGCAATATTAGATGGTGGGCCAGGAGTATCAAGAACTTTGACAATTAAAGTCAATGTAGCAGTGTTCAGGATGTTTTGCAGTGTTAACGTGTATTTTCCAGAATCATTCCTTGTTGCTTTTTCAATAGTGAGAGATGTACAATTATCTGAAGTGTCAATGCTTGCTCGTACACGGAGATCAGTGTCTGCTTTGTTCCATGTTACATTTGGGACTGGTTTGCCTCTGAAAGGAACAGTCATTGTGAATGATCCACCAGCCTTTACAATTAAAGTCTTCCGCATTTCACTGTCAATATCAAAAGCAGGTTCTTCCTCTCTTTCTTTTGCCAGCTGAGGCTCTGAAACATCACTTGGTTCACTGACACCCATTTTGTTAATGGATTTCACTCTAAAAACATACTCAGAGCCTGATACTAATCCACTTACAGTATATTCTGTGCCTCTTAAATTCTGAATAGCTGTTGTCCAGTCAGTTTCATCAGTTTTCTTGTATTCAACAGTGTATCCTGTTACTGGGGCACCTCCATCAAACAGTGGCTTTGTCCAACCAATTGTGATATTTGACCTTGTAGAATCCATAATCTTAGGTTTAGATGGGGGTGATGGCAAGAAGATTGGATCTTCTGCTTTAATCAATGGTGTGGTTTCACTTGGGAGACTGAGGCCAGCAGCGTTTTCTGCATAAACCCGGAATTCATATTCACATCCTTCACGGAGACCAGATGATTTCACTCTTAAATCATAAACTGGCTTTTTGTTTACACGAATCCATCTTAGGCTGGTTTTCTCACGCCTTTCAATTACATAGCCAGAGATCTCACTGCCTCCATCAGACTCAGGTCTTGCCCAGCACAGAGTTATCGAATCTTTGCTCACACTAGTAATCTCTAAAGATGTAGGTGGACTTGGAACTGTAAATGGGTCTAGGGCTTTGACAGCAACACTTTCTAGAGGCTCACCAACACCATATTTGTTTACTCCCATCACTCTGAAAATATACTCATTACCCTTCAGTAATTTTGTCACTTTACAGGATGTTGTTCTAAGCTCTCCTTCACAAAGTGTCCATGCAATTCTGCTGGTCTCACGTTTTTCCACAATATAATAATCAATATCTGCACCACCATTTTCTTGAGGGGGTCCCCATGATAAATGGCACTTTTCAGCAGTAAGGCCTTTTATTTCTAATGGGCCTGCAGGTGGGCCAGGTCTATCAAGTACTTTGCAATTAATTGCCAAAGATTTTGTTCCTGCAACATTTTGTAATGTTAGTACATACTGTCCTGAATCACTTCGGATACAGTCCTTAATGGTTATTGCAGTTGTAAAATCTGTTGAGACTATTTCAACTCTAGCTTTTCCTTCAAGTTCCTTGCCATCCTTTGTCCATGAAACCACTGGTATTGGCCGACCTGCAATATCAGCATTGACTTTAAACACTTCTCCAGCTTTCACAACTACAACATCCCTGAATTTGGCATCCATCATAATTCTTGGAGCCTCTACATCATCTTTTACTGTCACAGGTCCAGTTGATTCAGATGGCTGACTGAAGAGTCCAGCAGCATTCTTTGCAATCACACGGAATTCATATCGCTGGTCTTCTGTAAGTCCACCTACATCAAAGTATGTTTCTTGCACATTAGTAAAATTACATTTTAGCCAGCGACCATCTGGTATCTCTCTGCGTTCAATAATATATCCTGTTACTTTAGCTCCACCATCATATTCTGGTTTAGTCCACTTCAGTGAGACAGATGTTCTTGTAATATTAGTAACTTCTGGTTGACCGGGAGGATCACATGGATCTCTTGCAGCAACTGGTTCGCATGATTTACTGCATTTGCCTATTCCAGCAATGTTTTCTGCATACACACGATATTCATACATCAGTCCTTCATCAAGACCTGTAACTTTCATTTGTGTATCAGTTATAAGGCTCTTGTTGACTTTTGTCCAAAGAATGCTGCTTCTTTCCTTACGCTCCAAGTGATATCCTAGTACTACGCTACCTCCGTCATTAACTGGTACCTGCCAAGTTACAATCATGAAAGCTTTAGTTGCATGTACCACATGAGGAGTACCAGGTGGACCCGGAGGCTTAAATGGATACTCTGCTACCACAGAAGGAGAATTAGTGTAAGTGCTTTTCCCGTAGCGGTTTTCTGCACAAATACGGAACTGATATTCAGATCCAGTGACGAGTCGAGATACTTTAATTGATGTTCTTGCAACTGCTGCAGATACCACCTCCCATGTTGTTGTGGTAGTGTCTCTCTTCTCCACAATGTAATTGCTAATATGGCACCCACCATCATATTCTGGAGGTTTCCAAGACAGTGTGACACTATCAGCACTAACTTCATCAATATGAACATCAGTTGGTGGCCCTGGTCTGTCAAGAACAACTACAGTTAAAGAAGTTGTTGTTGATCCAGCAGTATTTGAAAGATGTAATTCATAATGTCCCAAATCTTCATTTGAAGCTTCCTTGATGGACAGCGAAGTTGAAGTCTTTGATGTCTGAACATTTACCCTGGTTGTCTGTTTTAAGGGATTCCCATCCTTCTTCCAGCTAACAGTTGGAAGAGGTCGCCCTCTGAATGGAACATCAATCTTAAGATCATCTCCAGCTTTCACAGTGAATGTGTTGAAAAGGAGCTCAACAGATGGCTGGATTTCAATATCTTTTGCAATGACCGGGACACCAAGTTCTCTTGGATCACTTTTCCCTTTTTCATTAACAGCAATCACTCTGAAACTGTACTCTTCTCCCATAGTTAATCCTGTTATTGTTGCTTCTAATGTTTTCACCTGTGTGCATGCACTCCATTTTACACTTCCTTTAGTTTGCATTTCTACTACATAACCAGTAATTTTACTGCCACCATCGCTCTCTGGTTTCTCCCATTTAATGGAAACAGAGTTGCGAGTCACATCAACAAGAATGACCTTTGCAGGTGGAGAAGGTGGTTCAGACACCTTAATTGGGTCAGCTGTTTCTGCTGGTAAGCCAACCCCATATTCATTTACAGCTAGAACACGGAAGTAATAACTACATCCTTCCTGTAGCTGAGTAATCTTGTAGGAATTCTTAGTGCAGTTGTTTGTAACTGTGGCATATGCCTTTCTTGTGGATTCTCGCTTTTCAACTACATAGTTGGTAATTTTAGCTCCGCCATCAATAAGTGGTGGTTCCCAGGCTAAAGCTACAAAATCTTTTTTCACTTCTCTGATTGTCAAGTTTATAGGTGCACTAGGTGTATCAAGCACTCTGACATTAACAAAAGCTGATTTTTTGCCACTGTTGTTCTCTAATGTAAGATTGTATCTACCACTATCAAATCTATTAACATTGTCAATGACCAGCATTGTATAGGAACTGGTAACTTCAATCTGAGCTCGCTCACTAATTGTTCCTTCTGCTTTCTCCCATTTAACTTCAGGTTCTGGTCTACCTTTGATGGTGACAAACAAGCGTAATGTACCACTAGCCCGTACAGTGACTACTTTTCTGAGATCTGCATCAAGTTCAATTTCAGGAGGTTCAACCTTGTCCTCTGCTAAGACTGCACCAGGTATAGTAGCAGGTTCTCCTACTCCTTCTGAGTTGATGGCACAGATGCGGAAGTTATACTCCTGGTTCTCTTTTAGTTTGGTCACGGTGAACTGTTTTGCTTGTAGACCTGTTGGTGGGGTGCAGGTAGTCCATTCATCAGCGGCAGCTTCTTTTACTTCTACTACATATCCCTTAACAGGAGCACCACCATCATAAATAGGTTTACTCCACGCAAGGGAAACTGATGACCTGGAAGTATCTGTAACCTTTGGATTGGTGGGTGGACCTGGTGGATATAATACATCACAAGCACGGTAGAAAATGGATGGTTCACTGGGTTCCCCTACCCCCGCAGCATTTTCAGCGGAAACTCTAAATTCATAGAAATGTCCATCAGTAAGACCTGTTACTCTGAATCGCAAGTCTGTCAGCCTTTTCTTATTGCATTTGGTCCACCGGATACCATCTTTGTCTCGTTTTTCAAGTATGTAACCTTCAATCTCAGCTCCTCCATTGTCTTCTGGGCGACCCCATGTCACCACCATAGAATCTTTTGTGATTGCTGAAACTTCAGGTGTTGAAGGAGGACCAGGGGGTTTGTATGGATTACGAGCCACAATTGGTTCAGATTCCAAGGGCTCTCCAATTCCGTATTTATTCACTGCCATTACACGGAAAATGTACTCATTGCCAGGAAGGAGTCTTGTTACTTTGAGGTTAAGAGCCTGCACATCTGTTGCTACTTGTGTCCATGAAAGTCTGCTTGTCTCTCTCTTCTCAACGATATAATGTGAAATACTAGAACCACCATCATGTAATGGTGGAGCCCATGACAAGTAGCATTTTTCTGCAGTGACACCTGTAACCTTCAAAGGTCCTTCTGGAGGTCCTGGTCTATCGAGTACTTTTACAGTGATTGGTATAGATTTGGTGCCACCAACATTTTTGAGGTTGAGAGTATAGTGACCTCCATCTACTCTTATACAGTCTTTGACAGTGAGAGTTGTTTTCTGAATGGTAGATTTAATTTCCATTCTTGCAGTTGCTTCTTCAAGGTCTTTACCATCTTTTGACCATGAAATGTCAGGAATAGGTTTGCCATGGATATCAGCTTCAAGAACAAAGGTTTCTCCAGCACGAACAACAATGACATCTCTGTATTTGGGATCTAGTGAAGCCCCTGGTGCTTCAATTTCATCTCTGGCAGTAATGGGCCCTGTACTTTCAGATGGTTCACTCAAGCAACCTGCTGCATTTCTGGCAATTACTCTAAACTCATATTGTTGGTTTTCAACAAGACCACTTACTGTAAATTCTGTTTCCAACACATTTGTAAAGCTGGCTTTCATCCAGCGACCATCTGGTAGTTCTTTCTTTTCTACAATATAACCAGTTATTTTGCTTCCGCCATCATATTCTGGTTTTTTCCATTGCAGTGTAATATTACTTCTTGTAACAACAATGGCCTCTGGGCGGCCAGGTGGGTCACAAGGATCTCGGGCAACGTACAGTTCTGATACTTTGCTGACTTTGCCAATGCCAACAATGTTTTCAGCAGAAACTCGGAACTCATATTCAAGACCTTCTTCAAGGCCGTCTGTTTTATATTTGGTGTCGGTAATGAGTGACTTGTTCTGTTTTGTCCAAAGAATGCTGTTCTTATCTTTACGCTCAAGATGGTAGCCAAGAACTTTGCTTCCTCCATCATTAACTGGTTCGTGCCACTGTACAATCATATGATCTTTGGAAGCTGCTGTTACAAATGGGGTTCCAGGTGGTCCAGGCACCTTGTAGGGGTATTGCACAACAACTGGTTTAGAAGCCAAAGGAGAGCTCTTTCCATATCTGTTTTCAGCAGTAATCCTGAACTGGTATTCAGTACCTGTTTTAAGCTTTGTTGCTTTGATAGTTGTTCTTGCAACAGTTGCTGACACAATGCTCCAGGTGGTAGTGCTTGTGTCACGCTTTTCTACTATATAGTTGCTTATCTGACAGCCACCGGTATAATCAGGTGGATCCCATGATAAAACAACAAAGTCTGCACTAACTTCGTCAAATCGGACAGGTCCTCGTGGTGGGCCAGGCTTTTCCAGTACAATTATGGTCAGGTGCTCTGTTGCTGTACCTGCTGCATTTGTTGCTGTTACTGTATATTTACCAAAGTCTTCCTTGTTGCTTTCTTTAATATGTAAGATAGTTGATGTTGTCGTATCCTGAATATTTAATCTGGTTGTCTGTTTCAGTGGCTGCTCATCTTTTGTCCAAGTAATAGTAGGTTTGGGTCTACCTATAAATGGTACTTCTACCTTTAGATCTTCTCCAGCTTGCACGCTGTATGTATTAAACATCAGTTTGAAACTTGGCTCAATTGTCAAGTCTTTAGCTATCACAGGAATTCCAAGTGCTCTAGGATCACTTTTCCCTTTTTCATTGTAGGCAATCACACGGAATTGATATTCCTGTCCTGGACTCAAGCCAGACACCACTGCATTGCACGTTTTGGACTCACTAACAACACTCCATTTTTCTGTTCCTTTAGGCAGCATTTCAACAATGTATCCCAAAATTCTGCTACCTCCATCATGTTCAGGTTTTTCCCATGTAAGTGATGCACTTCTCTGAGTCACATCAGTGAGTAATACTTTCCCAGGAGGCAGAGGTGGCTCTGAGGCTTTGACAGCATCCCTGGTTTCAACTGGAACACCAATTCCAAATTCATTTTCAGCCATAACTCTGAAGTAATAAATTGCTCCTTCTGTAAGATTTTCAACTTTAAAACTTGTCTTGCCACACTTAGCACTTACATTTGCAAAAGCCTTCCTGGTTGACTCACGCTTGTCTATTACATAGTTCTTTACCTTTGCACCACCATCAATAATGGGAGGTTCCCAAGATAATACAGCAGAATCCTTCTTTATATCCTTTACCACTAAATTTTGTGGTGGTCCTGGTGTGTCCAAGACTTTAACTGTAACAAATGCAGATTTAGAACCACTGCTGTTCTCCAACTTAAGAATATATTTTCCAGCATCATTTCTATCACAATTGTCAATTGAAAGTTGTGTGAAGTTTATGCCTTTTTCAATCTGAACTTTTTCTGTGAATTCACCTTCTTCTCGGGACCACGTGATGTCTGGTGTTGGTCGTCCCCTGAATGGTATGTGAATCCTAGCAGACCCACCAGCTCTAACCACTATCCCCTTCCTTAGCTCTGAATCAATATCAAGTTCTGGAGCTTCAAGTTTGTCTTCTGGTTTAACAGTGCCAGGAACTGATGCAGCCTCTCCTACACCAATCTTGTTGAGAGCACACACTCGTAATTTGTATTCTTGATGTTCAGTAAGCTTTTTGATTTCAAATCGAGTAGCACGTATACCTGTTTGTGGTGTAGCAAGCGACCATTCATCTTCATCTGCCTTACAGATTTCTACAAGGTATCCCTGGATTTCACAACCACCATCATAAATAGGTTTACTCCAACCAAGTGTAACTGAACTTTTGGTGGTATCCACAACATGGGTATTTGTAGGAGGGCCAGGCTTGAACATAGGGTCACAAGCTTTAAAGTAAGGAGAAACTTGGCTGGGTTCACCTACTCCAGCAGCATTTTCAGCAGAAACTCTAAATTCATATTCATGATCCTCTGATAATCCTGTAACTCTTAATCGCAAATCTGTAATTCGGCGTTTATTGCATTTTATCCACCTGATGCCTGCTCGGTCTCTTTTTTCTACAATGTAACCAACGATTTCACTACCACCATCACTCTCTGGCCGGGTCCAGCAGACAGTCATAGAATCCTTTGTGATGTTGGTAATTTCCAAGGCCTTTGGTGGTCCAGGAACCACAAACGGATTTTTCATCATCACTGGCACAGATTCTAATGGCTCACCAACTCCATATTTGTTAACTGCCATAATACGGAAGACATACTCATTTCCTTCCAAGAGTTTTGTTACTTTCAGCATTGTAGGTAAAACCTCTGAAGCAACCACAGTCCATGCCAAGCGACTAGTTTCTCTCTTCTCTACAATATAATGAGAAATATCACTGCCACCATCATGAAGAGGAGGAGACCATGCCAATGCACATTTTTCAGCTGTGACTCCTGTCACTTGGACTGGGCCCTCTGGAGGTCCTGGCCTGTCCAGGACTTTTACGTTTACCGTTACTGTCTTTGTTCCAGCAACGTTAGAGGCTTCTAAAATGTACTGTCCACCATCAACTCTAATAGCATCTTTTACAACTATTAATGCACTGAAATCTGTGTTCTTAATCTCACATCTAGAAGTTTCCTCAAGCTCTTTATCTCCTTTGTACCACTTAATGGTTGGTAGTGGCTTTCCGTGAACATCAGCATCAAGTCTGAATGTTTCACCAGCATTTACAACAATTGTGTCTTTGTACTTCGGATCCATTGAAATTCGTGGAAGTTCAACTTCATCCCTTGCTGTTATTGGACCTGTACTGTCAGAAGGTTTGCTTATTGCACCTGCAGCATTCTTTGCAATTACTCTAAATTCATATCTTTGGTCTTCAGTAAGCCCTGTTACAGTGAACTGAGTTTCAATGATATTTGTGAAGCTGGCTTTCATCCAGCGACCATCTGGTAAGTCACGTTTCTCTACAATATAACCAGTAATCTTACTTCCACCATCATATTCTGGTTTGGTCCATTGTAGAGTAATAGAGCTTCTTTTTATTATTATAGCCTCTGGGCGACCTGGAGGATCACATGGATCCCGAGCTACGTAGCACTCAGAAACTTTACTTGTTCTGCCTACACCAACAATATTTTCCGCAGAAACTCGAAACTCATATTCAATTCCTTCTTCGAGGTTATTTGTCTTAAAACTTGTGTCCTGAATAATAGTCTTGTTAACTTTAGTCCATAAAATGCTGTTTTTCTCCTTTCTCTCAAGATGGTAGCCCAACACTCTACTGCCACCATCATTTACTGGTTCATGCCACTGTACAACCATGGAGTCTTTTGTAACTGTGGTCACAAATGGTGTGCCAGGAGGTCCTGGTTCCTTGTAGGGGTACTGTGCTACAACTGGTGCAGATTCCAATGCAAAACTCTGCCCATACCTGTTCTCAGCAAATATTCTGAACTGGTATTCTGAACCAGTTTTCAGTTTAGTCACCTTCAGTGTAGTTCTTGCAACAGTAGCTGAAACTGTTTCCCATACAGTGGTTGTTGTATCTCTCTTGTGAACAATATAGTTGGTGATTTGGCAGCCTCCTGTGTATGCTGGGGGATTCCATGATAGAGTAATACTTTCTGCACTTATTTCATCAAACTTCACAGGCCCTACTGGAGGGTCAGGTTTGTCTAGAGTTATAACGTCAATAGAGGCAGACTTTTGCCCAACAACATTAGCCACGGTGATTTCATAAGTACCACTGTCCTCTTTGCTAGTTTCCTTAAGATTCAGTATAGTGAGATCAGTTGAATCACTTACGTTGACTCTTGTTGTCTGCCTTAATGGCTGGCCATCTTTTACCCATGTAACAGTTGGTTTAGGTCGACCTGCAATTGGTATTTCTACTTTCAGATCTTGTCCCACTTGAACACTGTAACTGTGAAAAGCAGGTCTTACATCAGGTTCAATCACTAAGTCTTTGGCAACTATTGGAACTGCAAGTGCTCTAGGATCGCTCTTACCCTTTTCATTTACAGCCATTACTCTGAAAAGATATTCTTCCCCTTGAGTTAGGTTAGTAATAACTGCTTCAAGTGTTTTTACACGAGCACACTCTGACCACTTCTCACTACCCTTTGCTTGCATTTCAACAATGTATTGTATGATTTTGCTACCACCATCATGTTCAGGTTTTGCCCAGCTTAGTGAGACACTGTTTCTTGTGACATCATCCACTGTTATTTTCCCAGGAGGCTGTGGAACTTCAGCAACTTTAATTGGGTCACTGGTTTCTGCAGGGAGGCCAATTCCATATTCATTCTCAGCAGAAATTCTAAAGAAGTAATAGCAGCCCTCCTGAAGTTGATCTACTTTCCATGAAGTCTTGTGGCAGTTTGTTACAACAGCTGCATATGCCTTTCTTGTTGCTTCACGTTTTTCAATAATGAAATTCTTTATTTTCGCTCCACCGTCCAAGAGAGGAGGCTCCCATGAAAGCGAAACAGAGTCTTTAGTGATCTCTCTGATCTTTAAATTAATGGGTGCACTCGGGGTATCCAGTACTCTTACACTGACAAAGGCAGACTTTGTTCCACTGCTGTTTTCCAAGGTCAGAGTATACTTTCCAGTATCAAATCTGTTAACATTGTCTAGAACAAGGGAAGTAAAGCTGCTAGTGGTATCAATAATAGCTGCTTCTCTGATGTCACCATCTACTTTACCCCATTTTACTTCAGGTGTTGGACGACCTCTGATGGGAACAAACAGTCTTAAAGAACCTCCTGCCCTCACATTTACAATCTTCCGTAATTCCATGTCAAGGTCAAGGTCTGGTGCCTCCATCTTTTCTTCTACAATAACAGAACCAGGAACGTCTGCATGCTCTCCAACTCCTGCTTTATTAACTGCACATATGCGGAATTTGTATTCATGTTTTTCCACTAATTTTTCTACTTCCATGTGGGTATTCTTAATTCCAGTTGGAGGGGTACAAATTGCCCATTCACCATCGCTTACATCACATTTTTCCACAATGTATCCCTGAATTTCAGAGCCACCATCATAGATAGGTTTACCCCATGAAAGGAAAACGGAAGATCTTGTAACATCCACAACTTTAGGATTATTGGGTGGACCTGGCTTGTAAATAGGATCACATGCTTTGTAGTAAGTGGAAGGTGGGCTTGGTTCACTAAGACCAGCAGCATTTTCAGCTGAAACTCTGTACTCATAATCATGATTTTCTATAAGACCAGTCACTCTGTATCGTAGTTCACTGATCAGGCGTTTGTTACATCTTGTCCAGCGAACACCTTCCTTATCTCGTTTTTCAAGAACATAACCTAGGATTTCACTGCCACCATCAGAGGCTGGCCTTTCCCATACAACTATCATAGAATCCTTGGTAACGGCTGTGACTTCTGGTGCCTTTGGTGGAAGTGGTACTGAAAATGGGTTCTTTGCGAGTACTGGTTCAGATTCAAGAGGTTCACCAACACCGTATTTATTTACTGCCATGATGCGGAAAACATACTCATTTCCTTCTAAAAGTTTGGTAACTTTGCAATTTAGGGTTTGCACATTTGAGTCAACAACGGTCCACACCAAGCGACTGGTTTCCCTTTTTTCTACAACGTAGTGTGAAATATCACTACCACCATCTTGCAGTGGTGGTTTCCATGACAGTGTGCATTTTTCAGCGGTAACACCGGTAATCTCAACAGGTCCTTCTGGTGGTCCAGGTCTATCAAGAACTTTGACGTTAACAGGAACCTTCTTTTCACCTGCAACGTTCTTTGCCAGTAGGACATACTGACCACTGTCAACTCTAGTGGCTTCCTTCACACTAAGGCTTGTTGCAAAATCGGTACTTTTTATTTCCATGCGAGCAGTGCTTGTCAGCTCACGATCGCCTTTTAACCACTGAATGGAAGGTATTGGTTTACCATGAACATCAGCATCAAGCTTGAATGACTCACCAGCGTTCACTACAATAGTGTCTTTGTATTTTGGATCCATACTTATATGGGGTGGTTCTACTTCATCTCTTGCTGTAATTGCCCCTGAGCTCTCAGATGGTTCACTGAAAACACCTGCAGCATTTCGTGCTATAACACGGAACTCATATCTCTGATTTTCGACTAAACCAGTTACTTCAAACTGAGTATCAATTACATTTGTAAAGCTTGCTTTCATCCAACGGCCATCAGGTAATTCCTTCTTTTCAACAACATAGCCTGTGATCTTACTTCCACCATCATATATAGGTTTCTTCCACTGAAGTGTTACTGAGCTTCTTGTGACAATTACAGGTTCTGGACGACCTGGAGGGTCACATGGATCACGTGCAGTATAGCATTCAGATCCTCTACTTGCCTTTCCAATTCCCACTATGTTTTCTGCATAGACTCTAAACTCATATTCAAGACCTTCCTCAAGACCAGTTGTCTTAAATTTGGTATCTGGAATAGGTGTTTTATTCAGTTTAGCCCACAGAATGCTGTTTCTTTCTTTGCGCTCCAAATGATACCCAATGATCCTGCTACCGCCATCATTGACTGGTTCATTCCATTGTACCACCATGCTGTCTTTTGAGGTATTTGTTACAAAAGGTGTTCCAGGTGGACCGGGAACTTTAAATGGGTATTGGGCTATGATTGACTCTGAAGTGAGATATGTACTCTTCCCATATCTGTTTTCAGCTGCGATTCTGAACTGATATTCACAGCCAGTCTTTAAACGACATGCTTTTATAGTTGTTCTTGCAACAGTAGCTGACACAATGTGCCAAGTTGTGGTAGAAGTGTCTCTTCTCTCTACAATATAATTATTGATAGAGCTACCACCATCATATTTGGGTGGTTCCCAGGAAATGGTAATACTATCTGCTGTTACTTCATCTACTTTTACTGGTCCAGTTGGAGGTCCTGGTTTGTCAAGGACAACAATATTTAAGGTCTCAGTTGCTTCACCGGCAGAGTTTGTAAGTTTAACTAAATATGCCCCCACATCTTCTCTGCATGCTTCTTTTATTGTTAACACTGTGTTGTTTTCTGAACTTTCTGCATTTACTCTTGTAGTCTGCTTCAATGCCACATTGTCTTTATGCCAAAGCACTGCTGGTTTGGGTCGACCAACAAAAGGAACATCAACCTTTAAGTCCTCTCCTGCTAGAACACTGAAAGTGGTAAATAGTAGTTTGAAAGCTGGTGGAATGACAAGATCTTTTGCAACAACTGGTATACCCAGCTGGCGAGGATCACTGATACCTTTCTCATTCTGAGCTGAAACACGGAAGGTGTATTCTTCACCTTGGATCAGTCCTGTGATGGTGGCTTCAGTAACTTTTACTGTAGCACAGGTTGACCACTTCTCACTGCCTTTGCTTTGCATTTCTACAATGTAGCCCAGAATTCTGCTTCCACCATCATGTTCAGGTTTTTCCCAAGATAAGGATACGCTATTTCTTGTCACATCCAACAAAGTTATTTTCCCTGGTGGAAGTGGTCTTTCTGATACTTTTACGGATTCTGAAGTTTCAACTGGAAGGCCTATTCCATATTCATTTTCAGCTAAGACTCTGAAGTAGTAGTTGCAGCCTTCTTGCAGTGAATCAACTTTCCAGCTGGTCTTGTGGCAATTGGCATTAACAGTTGAATAAGCTTTTCTTGTTGATTCACGCTTTTCAACAATGTAATTTTTTATTTTAGAGCCACCATCTATGAGAGGAGGTTCCCATGTGAGTGTAACTGAAGATTTTGTAACTTCTTTTATTTTCAAATCTTGAGGTGCCCCTGGAGTATCAAGAACTCTGACATTCACAAATGCTGACTTACTACCTGAGCTGTTTTCAACTGTCAGTATGTATTTGCCACTATCAAATCTATTCACATTTTCAATGATAAGTAAAGTGTAAGAGCTTGTTGATTCAATGCTAGCTCTATCCAAAGATTCCCCATGTTCTCTTGTCCATTTTACTTCAGGTGCTGGTCTTCCTTTAATTGGGACAAAGAGCCTTAGAGTACAGCAGGCTCTAATAGTGACAACTTTACGTAGTTCTGCATCAAGTTCAATCTCTGGAGGTAGCATTCTTTCTTCAGCTTTTGGAGTCCCAGGAACAAGAGCAGGTTCTCCAAGACCTTCAGAGTTCATAGCATATATCCTTATTTTATACTCTTGATTTTCTTTCAGATCAGTGATGGTAAAAGAAGTGGCCTTTAGACCTATTGGTGGAGTTACAATCTTCCACTCATCTTCTTCAGGTAGTGCAATCTCAACCATGTAACCTGTGATCTCTGAACCACCATCATATATTGGTTTGTTCCATGCTATTGTAATTGAGGACTTGCTGCTATCCAAAACACGAGGATTACCTGGGGGACCAGGCTTAAATACAGTATCACAGGCTTTATAGAATGGACTGGTTGGACTTGGCTCACTGACTCCAGCAGCATTTTCAGCCATGACTCTGTATTCATATTCATGGCCTTCTGTCAGTCCAGACACTTTATAACGTAAGTCAGTAACAACCCTTTTGTTGCATTTCACCCACCGTAGACCAGCCCTGTCTCGGCGTTCCACAATATAGTTAGTTATTGGGCTCCCACCATCAGAATCAGGATGGCCCCAACAGACAACCATGGAGTCTTTTGTAATTGCTGTAACCTCAGGTGTTTTAGGTGGATCAGGTGGCACATATGGATTTACTGCAAGAACAGGTTCTGATTCCAGAGGCTCACCAACTCCATACTTGTTAACAGCCATAACTCGGAACACATACTCATTGCCCTTCAGCAGCTTAGTAACCTTCAGTTTAGTCACTGGAACTTCTGTGGCTACAGCTGTCCATGCCAATCTACTGGTTTCTCGTTTTTCAACCACATAATGGTCAATCTTTGCTCCTCCATCATCCAGTGGGGGTAGCCATGACACCACACATTTTTCTGCAGTGACTTCAGACACAGCCAAAGGCCCTTCTGGGGGACCAGGTCTATCAAGAACTTTAACATTGAAGATATGCTTGGCAAAGCCACCAGGATTTGTTGCAGTAAGTGTATAAGCACCACCGTCTCTTCTTGAGGAATCTTTATTGATAAGTACAGTAGAGAAATCTGCTATTTTTATTTCTAATTTTGCTGTGTCTTCAAGTTCTTTTTCTCCCTTTGTCCATGTCATAGTTGGTGGAGGGCGACCTGAAACATCAGCCTCAAGTCTGAAAAGTTCACCTGCTTTCAGCACTAAGGTGTCTTTGTACTTAGCATCCACTTTTATCCTTGGGGCTTCAATGTCATCTCTACAAGTGATTGCATCTGATGGCTCAGAGGGCTGACTAACAGCTCCACCGGCGTTCCTAGCAATCACACGGAATTCATAGGCAGCGTCTTCTGTCAAACCACTTACAGTGAATTCAGTCTCCAGTATGTTGCTGAAATTAGCCTTCAGCCAACGGCCATTAGGAAGGTCTCTTTTTTCAACAGTGTAGCCAGTTATCTTAAAACCTCCATTATATTCTGGTTTAGTCCACTTCAGTGTAACTGCATGTCTTGTAATGTTCAGAGGTATTGGCTTACCAGGAGGATCTATTGGGTCCAGAGCAAACACAGGCTCAGATGGCTTGCTTGGCTTACTCTTCCCAGCCAGATTTTCTGCTATTACACGGAATTCATATGCAATGCCATCGGTGAGTCCAGATGATTTAAAGATATTGCCTGATACCAGCATTTTGCTTACAGTCTGCCAAAGAATGCTGTTTCTCTCTTTTCTTTCAACATGATATCCCAGTATAGGACTTCCACCATCAGTAACTGGCTCATTCCAGCTAATGGTCATCGTTTCTTTGGTGACTGCTATCACCTGAGGAGTGCCAGGAGGCCCAGGTACCTTAAATGGGTAGTTGGCAACTACAGACCCTGAAGTAATGGCTGGACCAATTCCATATCTGTTTTGGGCTCTAACACGGAACTGATACTCAACTCCAGTAGTAAGACGAATGGCTTTAAATGTAGTACGTATCACTGTAGTTGCCAATTCAGTCCACGTGGTACTGTCAGTTTGACGCATTTCTATAACATAGTTACTTATTGGTACACCACCATCATCCAAAGGAGGCTCCCATGAGAATGTTAGGGAATCAGATGAAATTTCATCAAATTTGATTGGTCCAGTAGGAGGCCCGGGTATGTCATGAACCTGAACTGTGATTACTTCACTAACTTCTCCAACAATATTTTTAGCTGACAGAGGGTATTGGCCACTATCACTTCGAATACATTCATTGATGGTTAGTATGGTTGCAGTTGCAGTATTTTCATAATTTACCCTTTGTGTTTGCTTAAGTATCTGGTCTTCTTTCTTCCAAGTCACTGCAGGCCTTGGACGACCAAGTACAGGGATTTCTATCTTGATATTGTCACCAGCTTTGGCAATGACTGTTTTCTGATAGATAGCACGGAGGTCAAACTCAGGGAGCATAGTTTGCTCCTTGATAATAACTGGCCTGCTTTCTCTTGGGGCACTTCTTCCAGCACTGTTAACTGCCATAACCTGGAAAGTATACTCTTCATTTTCAGTTAAATTCTTTACTACACAGTCCAGTGTTTTTACAGTGGTGATGTGTGCCCACTGGTTGGTTCCTTTTCTCTGTGCTTCAATTACATATCCAGTGATCTTGCTGCCACCATCATGTTCTGGTTTTGGCCAAGCTAAGCTAACTGAGTTCCGTGTTACATCCATAATATTAAGGCTCTCAGGTGGGGATGGTGCCTCAGAAGCTCTTACTGGTTCTGCAGTTTCAGCTGGTTCACCAATACCGTACTCATTTTCAGCCAGTACTCTGAAATAGTATTCACTACCCTCAGCCAAATTAGGAACCCTGAAGGAACACTTCTGGCAGTTGGTTGTGACTGTTGAATACGCCTTCCGAGTTGATTCACGTTTCTCAACAATATAGTTTGTTATACGGGAACCTCCATCTACCAGAGGCATATCCCACTGGAGGGTGATGCTGTCTTTGGTTATTTCTCTAGGCTTAAGGTTTATGGGTGGACCTGGTGTATCCAAAACTTTTACATTTACAAAGCCAGTCTTCTTACCAGCAGCATTTTCAAGAGTCATTACGTATTTTCCTGCATCATATCTGGTGCACTCTGTGACAATCAACAGTGTAAAGGAGTCGGTATTTTCAATACTGGCACGTCCTTTGAGTGAAACATCATCTTTTGTCCATGTAACTTCTGGAGTTGGACGCCCTTTAATTGGTACAAAAATCCGAATAGTTAATCCAGCTCTAACAACAAGTGTTCTTCTTAGCTCAGCATCTAATTCAAAGTCAGGAATCTCTTCTCGGTCTTTGATTTCCACACTTGGAATTATTACTGGTTCACCAACACCTGCAGCATTCATGGCAGAGATTCTGAAATTGTATTTGGCTCCTGTTTGCAGATGAGCTACAACAAACTGAGTGATTCTTAGAGCAGTCCCTATATTGTCTTTTACCCATTCTTCTTCTCCTTCCTTTTGATGCTCCACTATATAGCCAGTGATCTCAAGACCACCATCATAGTGAGGCTTGCCCCAGGCTAAAGATGCACTTGTCTTTGTAGTATCAGTCACCCTTGGATTTGAAGGTGGACCTGGTGGGTCTGAAAAGCAAGGAAAAGATAAAACATTACATCACAGAGGAGGCCATTCTTATGCCCTCTGAATGTGCTCCCCACCTATCCCACCCACCCCCAAATAAGAAAAGGCATGTTACTAACATGCAACATCTTTGCATAGGACTGAGTTTGAAGTGTCGCTTGGTGGTCCAACTCCTGCTCTGTTTTCTGCACTGACACGGAATTCATATTCATTTCCTTCCTGAAGACCAGTTACTTTGCATCTAAGATCTGAAACTGGTTTCTTTGTTGCTCTAACCCATCTTAAACCTTTCTTTTCTCTCCGCTCCACATGGTAACCTGTGATTTCACTTCCACCATCATCAACTGGCCTTTTCCAGGTAACTGTGACAGTATTTTTAGTCACATTTGTTACTTCTGGTTTACCAGGAGGGCCTGGAGGACCTGTTAAGGAAGAAAAATTACAGTTAAAAAACCAAAAATTAAGTCTTTAGAGATTAATAAAAACTCACTTGAACCTTTCAGCTTGTTCTACTTACCAAATCTATCCACCATTTTAACTGGTTCTGATTGTACTGGTTCACCCTTGCCATATTGATTTACTGCTGAGACACGGAAAACATATTCATTTCCTTGAATGAGCTTGCTAACAACATGCCTACAGGTTTCAATATTTTCAGCAACCAATGTCCAGAGCAGTCGACTAGTTTCTCTCTTTTCAAGAACATATGATTTGACTGGTGATCCACCGTCTTCTGCAGGAGGTGACCATGTAAGAGTTGCTTTTTCTGCTGAAACATTGCTGATCTCAATAGGCCCTGGAGGTCCTGGTATATCTAAAACTTTCACTTGTACACTCTCCTGCTTAGTGCCAAAAGGATTGGTTGCAGTGATTGTGTATTCTCCAGAATCTTTTCTGGCTGCATATTTGACAGTTAGAGTAGAAGAAGTTGGTTTGGTTTCAATGTGCACAAGCTCTGAAGGTCTAAAATCTTTTCCAGCTTTTGACCATGCTGAAGTTGGAGGTGGTTTGCCACGGATACTAATAGCAGACAGTGTAATGGTGTCTCCTGCTTTTACTGTTAAACCTTCTTTCAAAGGAGGATCCAGAACAATGCTTGGTGCCTCTGTCAAAAAAAAAAACAGACCAAAAAAATCCTGATTGTTACAACAAGAACACAGGGGGGTAAAAAAGGAGATTTGGTATTAATTATTCAAATAAAATTCTACCTATTCAATACCATCTACATACCATACTCATCCTTGCATATTATGGTTCCTGTGGATTCAGATGGAGGACTGATAGCTCCAGCTGTGTTCTTTGCTCTAATTCTGAACTCATATTTGGAGCCTTCAATAAGGTCAGTTACTGTAAATGCACAGTCTGGAACATTCACGTGATTAGCTTTTGTCCAAGTCTTTTTGGGTAAATCACGCTTTTCAACAATGTAGCCAGTTAATTTATGTCCACCATCATATTTTGGTTCTGTCCAAATGAGTGTTACTGAGTTCCTGGTTACATTGATAACTTCAGGTTTCCCAGGGGGATCTAGAAGAAAAAATAATAAATAGCGGTCAAACAAAAGTTATTTAAAATCTCAGGATTTTCCTTTTTATTCTCCCGATGACTTACCAATAGGATCAAGTGCCACAACTGGTTCAGATGGAAGACTTGGTTTACCTACTCCAGCCATATTGATTGCCATTACTCTGAATTCATATTCCAGACCTTCAGTTAACCCTGTCACTCTGAAATCTTTCATTCTTATTGGTGTTGTATTTGCTCTCTTCCACAGAAGACTATTTCTTTCTTTAACTTCAATGTGATAACCTAGAGGATAAATGATAAGATGAAAATATGGGCAAGGTTTCTAGAAATCTTAATTTCTCATGGCATTGTGAAACATCATATTTCCTGTATTGCATGATGCATAGGCATTGTGCAAGCAAATGTCTTAAAAAAATCTGACCAAACTATTGTTTCTCAGGTAGTATTTGCCCAGTGTTTAATTTTTAAATCTTGCTGAAAAAACGGGAAGCAAACCAGTTAAATCAATCAATTGATCAATCAATCACTCAATTTAAAGCATAAACACCTGATAGTTTTATCTTACCCTTTGCCAGAGAGAAAGAACTGTTAAGAACTGAAATACTAGGGATGTTTTTGGGGATGTACCTGTGATTGGTGATCCTCCAGTTCTTCTGGGATCAGTCCAAGTTAAAGCTACAGATTCATGCCGAACAGCAACAATGGTGGGGGGTGGAGGAGCATCTGGCACATCTATACAGTATTGAAAAAAGGCAGTAGCATTAAAAATTATTATCACCCCTTTAACATTTTTTCCCCATTTCATAAATTATAATGGATACTTACCAAATGGATGTTTTGCAATGACAGGGTCAGATTTAAGGCCTTCACCTACTCCATATTTATTTTCAGCCCTGATCCTGAATGTATATTCATTTCCTTCATGAAGTCTTGTAACTCTAAAAGTTGTTTTCTGGACTGCAGAGGCACAAGTCACCCACTTGTTATTTACATTATCTCTCTTCTCTAGAACATAGTTAGTGATTTCTGAACCACCATCATCTTTTGGAGGGCCCCACTTTAAGGTTATGGCATCAGCTGTGACTTCTTCAAATTTCACTGGACCTGTTGGTATGCCAGGTTTGCCAACAACTTTCACAAAAATAGTGCCTTCCTTACTGCCAACAACATTCTTCAGAGTTATTGTGTATTTTCCAGCATCAGCTTTCTGGCAGTCATGTACTACGAGAGTGGTGTTAACTGCTGTAGATTCAAATGCAACTCTTCCACTCTCAGTAAGTGCTTGGTCTTCATCCTTCTTCCAAGTTACAGTTGGGACAGGCTTGCCTTTCATAGGGATTTTAAGACGGAAATTGCTACCTTCTTTAGCTATATAGCACAAATCAGGTAGATCTCTTAAGTCAAGTTCAGGTGCCACTGTAAAAAATAAAGGAAACCAGTTATTCAACAGTGCATAAACTTTGTGGTAAAATTAAGATGTGATTTAAAGGTATCTGATTTGTATGTATGCATAGCAATGACAGTATGTATAAAATAAATATAATTTGGGTAAGTGAAGTATTGATATAATGATCTTGACTCTCACCAACATCATCTCTTGCTACAATTGTGAGCTCTGATGGAGTTCCATATCCAGCATCATTTTGGGCTCTCACTCTGAAAGTGTATTCCTGTCCTTCTTTTAGGTCTCTCATTGAAAAATGGAGGTTCTTTCCCCGCATGACTTCTTGCCATTTATCTTCACCAATCAGGACCTCAACAATATATGCAATAATACGGCTTCCACCATCACTGATAGGTTTTTTCCATACCAAATTGCATGATGATTTTGTTACAGCTGAAGCTTTTAGATCCACAACTGGCCCAGGTGTTTCTAGAAGGAAGAGAATCATACTAAGTGTCCAGTCAAGCTAAAAATAAACATTATTTAAACAAAAAAAAAAAGAATAAAAAAATAGATGAAGTGGATCCATTTTTCCTACCAGAAGCTTTAACAGCATCACGAGTTTCACAGGGATCACCAATACCATATTCATTTTCAGCAAAAACTCTGAAGAAGTAAGATTTGCCTTCTTCTAAGTTAGTTATCCTGTAGCTTGTCTTTGGACATTCTGTTGTTACTGTGGACCATGATTTTCTTTCTGCATCACGCTTTTCAACAACATAATTTTTGATTGGACTGCCCCCATCTATTAGAGGAGGTTCCCATGTAATGTAGGCAGAATCCTTGGATGCTTCCTTTACAATCAGGTTAACTGGAGGGCCCGGAGTATCTGCATAAACACAAGACCACCGTGTTTGATATAGTAATAAAAGTTTAAAAAATCAGTTAAAAAGTCAACAAGTATATTATAATGGGGAAAACCCTGAGACTTACCAAGTACTTTCACAACAATGGTGTACTCCTTTTTGCCACAGCTGTTCTCTAGACTTAGGACATATTTTCCAGCATCATATTTATTTACATTTTCACAACGCAGGAAGGTATCAAAATCAGTTGACTTGATATCTAATCCTTGTCTATCTCTTAGGTTGGCACCCACTTTAGACCATGTAATTTTTGGAGGTGGACGTCCTCTTACGGGCACATAAAGTCTCATTGTGACTCCAGCACGCAACACAAGGACTTTCCTTAGTTCTGCATCAAGTTCTCCTTCAGGTGGAACTGTGTGTTTAACAAAAGAATATGTAATTAAAGCATCATCTTTAAGGCTATCACCAAAGTTCCTGTTACAGAAAGTCCCTCTTTACTGGCATTTCACTAGATTAACCATCTTCTCATGCCTGTGATGATGTTAGTAAGCGTCCTGACTCCTGTTTGAAGGTAATTTGCAAACTTGGCATTTTTTGCACTGATTTCCCTTTTTTTTTTTTTTCCTGCCTTTTCCACCATTTATGTTAGAAAGTCTCCTAGTTTTTTTAGAACTCAAAGGAGTTCCAAAGCCTCCTAGACTCTACTGCTTTTCTTGAGCAAGACAGTTCTGTGAAGCAATGCTTTGGTACAACAGCAAAATGCATACAAAAGCCAACATGGCTTTTACAGAGTAAATGACATACAATCAAATGCCGTGTCACACAGCTGCTTAGAATGTAATCTTGGCTTCCAATTATTTAGAAGACATGAATATGACAAAGTTTTAAGAATAGAAAAGAAAGCTGAAAAGTTTAATTTTAAGATTAGGGAAAGAAAGGTATCTTGATGAACTCAAATAGGAGACAGAAGGCTATAAAGCATACAAATAAAAAACCCAGACACTAGCCAAATTCTACTCTGTTCCTAAGTGCCCTGTTCTCTTCCAAATTAGCTGCTTTTAGCCCACATTTTCTGAGTAATAACATTCCAAATTAATCTCTGCCTGTGACCTGTGACAAACTCTATCTTTGGAAATCATCCCATGAATTAAAGTCAACTAGGTAATTGGTTTTCAGTGAACATACTTAAAATGTCTTTGGCAGTATGTTTATCAGGAACATCACTTGGGTCGCTGTATCCAATCTTATTGACAGCATAAACGCGGAACTGGTACTCTGTATCTTCCATCAGTCCTGTTACCACAAATTGCGTAGCCTGTAAATTCTTTGGTACATTGCATCTGACCCAGTTGTCTGTGTCAGCTCTTTTTGATTCCACCAGATAACCAATTATAGGGCTTCCTCCATCATATGCTGGTTTGCTCCATGACAGGCTTATTGAATTACGAGTAGTATCAACAACTTTCGGGAAAGCAGGTGGGCCAGGAGGATCTGAGAATTAAAATAGCGTAGTTATTGTACCAAATGCTGTATGATGGTATTTGGAAATAATAATGGAAAATATCTGAGATTTTAAGCTTACATTGAGGATCACGAGCATACACTGCTTTAGATGGTGCGCTAGGCTTGCCAGGTCCAGCTTTATTCAATGCTATCACCCGGTACTCATATTCTGTTCCTTCTTGGAGTCCGGTAGCTTTAACAGTTCTTTCAATGACAGGCTTTCTGTTCACTTTTGTCCAGTTAAGAGCCTTAGTTTCACGCTTCTCGAGGATATAACCAGTTATTGGGGATCCACCATCATCAGCTGGTGGCTTCCAGCTAACAGTCATAAAGTCTTTCGTTACATTGCTAATTACTGGTGGATCACAAGGTCCGGGTACATCTGTGGAGATTTATTTGAAAATTATATTCACATTCAGAACTGCACACAAAAAGCCAGTGACTTTTGAAACTATCCTACAAAGCACTTACCATAGGGATTCTTAGCAACTGCTGGTTCAGTCAAGATAGGGTCTCCAACACCGTATTTGTTTTCAGCACATATGCGGAACTGGTACTCATGTCCTTCTATTAGTTTCTCCACTGTGCAGCTAGTAATGGGTACATTGGCACTGACCTGGGCCCAGTTCGGCCTGCTTGTTTCACGCTTGTCTACAATGTAGTTGGTAATTTCTGAACCTCCATCTTCCAGAGGAGGCTCCCAAGAAAGCATTGCACGATCTGCATACATATGTTTGATTTTGACGGAGGCTGGTGGACCAGGCTTATCTAGAACAATTAACATCACGTTATTACAGCTCTATCTCTTGCTATATAACTTAATCATAAAAGTATTTGCTAATAGACAGTCTTTAGCTTACCAAGTACTTTAAGCCTAATGGTTGCTGACTTTGATCCACTTGCATTTTCAGCCGTAATAGTGTAGTCTCCTGTTTGCTTCCTGTTAACACTGAACAACTCAACTGTAGCAAGATTTCTCTTAGTAGTTATCTTAACACCTTCAGATGGCTTTAAAACTTCTCCTTCTTTCTTCCAGGTGATTGTTGGCATCGGCTTGCCATATACATTTGCCTCCAGGCGCACATTAGATCCAGCTTTTACTGTAAGCTGTGATTGCATAGACAGATCCAACTCTATTCTGGGAGGAACTGAAAGGAAACAGTCCAAGGGTTAATCAGTATAGTAAGAGATAAACATCTCATTCTTGATATGAGATTTACTTCAACATGCACAGACTCTTATCAGAGTTATCAAATGCTTTTACATTCCTTACCATTTTCTGGATGAATGGTCACTGGATCAGAAGGTTCTGAAGGTGGGCTGATGTTAACTGCTGTCTTGGCAATTGCTCTAAATTGATACTGAGCATTTTCTTCCAAACCAGTAGCAGTGTACTCTTCTAGGGGTATTTGATGTGGAGTTGTATTGCACCGAACCCACTTATCACCAGGTAATTTGCAAGCTTCCACAAAGTAGCCAATTAGTTTGCTACCACCATCATGCTTTGGTCTTGTCCATACCAGTGATGCAGTACTCTTAGTGACATCAATAACTTCAGGTTTTCCAGGGGGATCTAAAGCAAAAGAAAACATTTTGTAGTCTGTTTTTTTTTTCCAAAAGAGAGCTAAAATATTAAAAAATGGCTTTAATAATGCTGGATCCTATTTACTGCATACCCACACACAGTGCACTCATGGTAAAGCCATAGTAAGCATAAAAAAAAAAAAAAGGGCAAACCGAAGATCACAAGGAGTGGCAGACATATTGCAAATTATCAGAAAAACAGTAGTTTGTAGTGGTACGTTTGGCTTACCAACTGGTGCTCTTGCTGTGACAAACTCAGTTGGTTTACTAGGTTTACTTGCTCCAGCTCTGTTCAATGCATAAATTCTGAAAGTATACTCAAGACCTTCGATGAGCCCCACACAAGGGTATTCTGTGGAGCGCACAGCTGTGTCATTAGCTTTCACCCACAGCAGACTGTTCCTTTCCTTGCGCTCAATGAGATAACCAGTAATTGGACTGCCTCCATCACTATCTGGCTTATCCCAAGCAACAAAAATGCAGTCCTTATTGACTTTGGTAATTCGTGCATTCTTTGGTTCACTAGGGACATCTAGAAAGAAATACAAACATATATATCAATTGTATGTTTTCTTACTAGAAAGATTAAATAGAGAAACGCTGCTAACAAAAACTGGCATACCAAATGGGAACCTTGCGATCATCTTGGCAGAAGGAAGCGGCTCAGAAATCCCAAAACGATTTTCAGCACGAACGCGGAACATATATTCTTCTCCGGGAATAAGTTTTCCAATTCTACAGGTTGTCTTTGTGACAGAAGATAAAGCTGTTACCCAGTCCCCGCGGCTTACATCACATTTCTCAACTACATAGTTTGTAATGTTACTGCCACCATCTTCAAGAGGTATATGCCATGAAAGAGTGCAAGCATCAGCATCAATTTCAGAAATATCAAATGGAGGCTGTGGTGGACCTGGTTTATCTGTACAAAAAAAGCAGATTAAGAAAGAAAGGGATGAAAGAAAATGGCAACCACTGGAATATACTAAAACTAGCTTTGTATAAAGCTGGATTGAAAAACAATGAAACGGAACATACCCATGACTATCACTCTGATTTTCTGACTATCAGTACCAGAGCTATTCTCTGCAGTAAGAGTGTAAAAATCAGAATCTTTTCTAGTCACATCCTTTATGATAAGGACAGAAGACTTTTCTGCTTTATGCACAGCAAGGCGACTGGATGTAACTACATCTTGATCTCCTTTCAGCCATTTACAGACAGGCTGAGGTTTCCCATATACATGAGCTTCAATTCTCAGTTTCTTTCCAGCTTTAATGTGAACGTGATCAGGCATCAAAATCTTAGGTGGGACTGTAAAAGAAAAAAAAATCAGACATATAAATTCAATTTCTGTGATATATTAATTTACTTTTTCTTATTTTTTCATGTGAAACATCTCTGCTTATTTTTCAAGAGGAATGACCAGTAGAAATGAACAGATGAATTTTAATTTAGGTTCCACTTATGGACAACTGCAGGGAAATATCTATTCCAGTCTTACTTTTACATTCTTGTACAGTTTACAAGAGAATATTTATGAGTTTGGATTGCCTTCGCACACACTTATGTAGATATTTGTAAACTATTAGTGCTTGAAATGTAATTCCTCTTTATATCTGGAACTTGTTGCTCACTTATTGCTGACTTTCTACAAGACAAACATGAAGGAGAAGAAAAGAAACACTGACGTTCTGAACTCAACCCACTTGCACAGTCAATCTTTTTGTATCTTCAAATTATTCTTTTCCTACTTCTTCTTTTCCACAAAAGCTATCAAGTTTCTTCCAAAAGAAACGTGACAGCTTGTTTGGTGTAGTCTTCCCACCATCGGCCAGTTTTCATTCTCCTTTTCCTGTCTCTCTCTCTTTCTCTTCCCATGTCACAATGCCCTTACCTCTACGTCTCCTGTGCTTCAGGGACCCTGCCACTTTAAATAGGCCAACCTGCCCTCCCTGCCTTTTGCTTTACATTCCCAATCAACTTCACAATATAAGCAACTTGTTTTCCCTTACATTAAAACAGGTGGCACTTCTGGCCCCATTTATCTCTAAAACTACCAGTCTGACTCTTTTTCATTTTAAGTTCATTGAAGGTGTTTATTATTTCTCCCTAATTCCTACTTTCTGGTTCCAGCTGAAACCATACCTGAAAAATTATTTAATAATTCTGAATTAGTGGTAAAATCTCATTCTTTCTGAGCTGTCAAAATATTCAGTACAGTAAACCTTCATCATCCAGATAACTTCATATGTTTTTCTGTGAGAACTATAATTCTTCCTCATTTTATTATTAAAGCAGTATATTGCAACATAGGCAGTATTTAATTTGCTACTTACTGAGTTGTTCTTTAATTTCAAATGCTCCTTCAGCTTGTATTGGCAAACTTACTCCTACAGCATTTCTAGCTGCCACTCTAAAGTTGTACTTCTTTCCCTCCTTCAGACCAGCTACAACAATGGAGAGATCCTTGACAACTGAATATTCTGTCCAGCGATCCGCTGGTTGGTCATCTTCTTTGTAGCTAACAATGTACCCATCAATTTTAGAGCCTCCATCACGCAGTGGTGGCAGCCAGCCTAAAGTAGCACTATTCTTTGTAATTTCAGTAACTTCAAGTTTTCTTGGTGGATCAGGTTCACCTTTCAGGGAAAAAACAAACAAACAAACACATTAAACACTGAATTTCCAAGATTTTCTAACTCTTGAGTATTTGTTGGATTATTGGATGACAGCCATGCTAACTCAACAAGGGCAATATACAAAAGAGCAAAAATCTTAATAATTGCAAAGGTACTATATTCATAGATCATATTATTTTAAAGGAACTGGCACAAAAATATTTATGTTTATCATTGAGTAGTTAGTAGCATTGTCCAGTTTAGAAACACTAACTTTCAAGAAACAAAAAATCTTATTAAAGTTAGCAAAAAAACCATAAAATGTACATAAAGGCATACTTACTTAGAGGATCTGTTGCTAGAACTGGTTTTGGTATGTCACTTGGAACACCTGCCCCATATTCATTTACTGCTGTCACTCTAAAATAATATTCATTTCCAGGTACAAGGTTTGCTATTTGGAAACTAGTTTTCTTTAGTTCTGCAGTGACTGTTGCCCAGGTCTTTCTGTCAGCCTCACGTTTCTGCAGGATGTAATGAGTCACTGGGCTACCCCCATCATTCTCTGGAGGTGCCCATGAAAGATGGCATGACATCTTGGTGACATCTGAAACCTTGAAGTCTGACACAGGTCCAGGAGTATCTATAAAGAAATTTCAATTTACATTAGACTTTTTGTCTTGAATAAATTAAAATTAAAGGGGGCTAACAGCTTTTTATATAGGGGGAGTTAGTGTTAGCTGATACCGTTATGCTCAAAAACTGTAGGATCTGGGGGTCATAAATAATCCTGCAAGGAACATTCAATATACTTATAAAATTGTCTCATTACTTACCCAGGACTCTGACATTCACAAATACAGCCTTTTCTCCAGCTGCATTAACAAGTGTCAGTGAATATTTGCCTGAGTCATCACGTGTTGAATCAGGAATGACACAGAAGGCCATAGTGTCAACCAGATCAACTAGTCCTTTTCTGATGACATTATCAACACCCATTCTCCTCCAGGTGACTTTTGGTGCTGGGCGGCCCCTAACAATGGCAAAAAGCCTGATAGGGCATCCAGCCCTGACTGTGACTAACTTTCTCATGCTTGCATCCAACTCAATCTCAGGAGGTTCTGAAAGTCAAAATTAAAGAAATAAAATACAAAGTTTAGCATGTGTAAGAAACTAAACCTAAAGCAAATAAAGGTTGGATGTAAACACTGATAAAGTGGATGGGAAAACTCACCAAGAATTTCTTTGGGAGATACAGCTTCTTTCAGTTCAGCTGGCCGACCAAGGCCAACCTGGTTTTGGGCAGAAACTCTGAACTCATATAATTGCTTCTCATCCAGGCTGGTGGCTGTAAATTCTGTGTGAATAACCTGGGCAGCAACATTACATCGTTTCCATCCTGCTTCAGGATCAGCACCCTCCACTTTTGGTCTAATTTCCACAACATATCCAATAATTGGAGCACCACCATCATACACTGGTTTTCCCCAGCCCAGGGTTATGGAAGTCTTTGTGCTATCAACCACTCTCAAGTTTGTGGGAGGACCAGGTGGTTCTGAAAGACAGAAAAAATTATAGATAAGAACACAGCTGTACAATTTAGTCATCTGCCATGTTACATTAAAAAAATATGAAAATTCAATGGTATTTTACCTATTGGGTCTTTGGCTACTACAGGTCTTGATGGCAAGCTTGGTTCTCCAAGTCCGACTTCATTTTCAGCACTGACGCGGAACTGATATTCATGACCGGGGAAGAGATTAGTTACCTTCTTGCGTCTCTCTGGGATTGCAGTCTTAGTAACAGGAACCCATCTTAGTGATCGTTTCTCTTTCTTCTCTAAAATGTATCCTGTAATTGATTTGCCACCATCGTATTCTGGTGGATTCCAAACTACAGTCATCTCTTCTTTGCTAACTCTTGTGACATCTGGAGGGTCGGGGCGTCCAGGTCTATCATATTTTGTTTTTGCAATAATTGGGTGTGTTTCTGTTGGTGGACCAGTGCCCATTTTATTCTCTGCACGCACTCTGAATATATATTCATTGCCTTCAATGAGGCGTGTCACTTTTGCATAGTTTGTTAGGACAGACGAAGAGAATGTAGACCAAACCATACGCTTGCTTTCACATTTTTCCAGGATGTAGTTCTGTATTTCACAACCACCATCATCTTCTGGAGGGTCCCAAGTAACAGTACATCTATCACTTGAAATGTCCGTGACTTTTAAGTTTCTTACAGGACCAGGTTTATCCAAGACAATAACAGTAGCATATGCCACGAAGTTACCAGCTGTGTTAGTTGCAGTAATCACATATTTCCCGCCATCACTGCGCCTTGATTTTGTGAGAACAAACTTCGATGTGTCAGAAGTTGTTTCAATACTGACTCTTGGAGATCTGGTGAGATCCGTGGCATCTTTGTCTTTTGTCCATACAACTTCAGGCTGTGGTTTTCCTCTGACTCCAGCCTCAATTCTAATTGTGTCACCTGCTTTCACAGTTAAAACTCCACTTAACTTCAAGTCTAGCACTGGCTTCTGCAGATCTTCCTTCACAACAACTTCCTCTGTTTTTACCCAGCCACTTTCACCAGCCTCATTCTTGGTTTGAACTCGGAATTGGTAAATCTTATTTTCCACACATTTATCTACCATGTAGTGTGTCTCCTTAATGCTGCCTTTGTGAACCCTTTCCCATTCATCTGACTCTTTCAATTTTCTCTCAACATGATAACTTAGGTTGGGACTTCCACCATCATAATCTGGCCTTCTCCATTTCAGATACACAAATGTCTTCCCTTTCTCTGCAATGTGAAGATTTTCTGGCTCTCCAGGCTTGTCAATAGGATTGATGGCAAGGATGGGAGTCTTGGTCTCAATGCAAGGACCCGGACCTATTTTGTTTTCTGCACAAACTCTGAAGAAGTATTCACGGTTCTCTACAAGATTTGCCTTTACTAATCGTTTAGTGATATCAGAGGAGACAATTGACCATCCCCTTTGATTTGGTTGGCGGTACTCTACTATGTAATTTGTAATTTCAGAGCCACCATTATCCACTGGACTCTCCCAAGCAATCATACAAGAGTCTTTTGTGACATAGCTTATTTTCAGGTTCTGACATGGTCCAGGTCTGTCAAGTACATTAACAATAGCAAAAGCTTGAGCCTGTCCACAGCTGTTCTTAGCTGCTATTACATATTTGCCATGATCAGCTCTTTTGGCTTCTTTCACTTGCAGTTCAACATTTGGTAGATCATGGAGTATCTCAACATGCTTTTCTTGGACTAGTACTTTGCCATCTTTAGACCATGTTATTTCAGGATCTGGCCTGCCTTTTACCTTACCAGTAATACGTATTGTTTGACCTACTCGGACAGTAATTAAATCTCGACAGGTCACATCTAGGCTTATTTCTGGAGGAGAAAGGATATCCTTTGCAAGTACAGTTTCTGGCAGTTCTCTTGGTTCTCCTTCTCCCACAATGTTGACAGCTTTTATTCGGAACTTATACTCATTTCCTTCTATTAATCCAGGTACTCTGAAAGCACACTGTCTAATTAGTTCATCCTTATTAATCCTATTCCACTGTGTAGTTCCAGTTTTCTGACATTCCACAATGTATCCTAGAATTGGGCTGCCACCATCTTTGAGTGGCTTTGTCCACACAAGATCAGCTGTTTCTTTAGTTTTGTCTTTTAATTTTGGATTTATAGGTGGTCCAGGAGGAGTGATTGGACGTGATGCTTTTATTGGATCAGAGCTTGGAGATGGTTTGCTTAAACCCACCATGTTTTCTGCAAAAACTCTGAATTCATATGTGTTGCCTTCAAAAAGACCAGTGACTCTGTATTTCATATCAAGTATAGGTGTCTTGTTGACACGCACCCATTTACCAGATGCTTCCCGACGTTCAAGTATATAACCAGTTATTGGAGTTCCACCATCAGATTTTGGTAGGGTCCAAGACACTGTTGCAGCATTTTCTGTAATATCATAAACAGTTGGTTTACCGGGTGGGGATGGTGGATCAAACATATATTTAGCAACTGTTGGTTCTGAATCAAGGGGTGCACCGATGCCTATCTTATTTTCTGCACGAACACGGAAAATATATTCACAGCCTTTCTGCAGTCGTGGAACCTTAATTTTTGTGTGACTTGTTCCAGAGCTAACCACTCCCCAAGTTTCTTTCTTTGATTGACGCTTCTCAACAATATAATTAATTATAGGACTCCCACCATCATCTTTAGGAGGGCGCCAAGAAATAACCATGTGTTCTGGTGTTACTTCAAGAATATTAATAGGACCAGTTGGTGGGCCAGGAACATCCAAAACTGTAAGGTGCAGAGCCACAGTTTTGCTGCCAGCTGCATTAGATACTGTGAGTAGATATTCTCCTGTATCTTTTCTTATACAGTCTTTGATAGTAAGCACGGTTGAATAATTGTCAGTCTCAATCTTGTATTTGCCATCTGGTTTAATTTCAGTGTCATCAGTAACCCATTTTGCAGTGGGAACTGGCACACCTCTCATAATTGCTGGAAGTCGCACTGTGGTGCCAGCTTTAACAACAAGACCTTCAATTAACTTCACATCTAGTTCCACAGATGGAGGTACTGAAATGAGAGAAAAATAGAAATTCATTTAAGCATTTCAAGGGAAATGCTTAAAGACAGACAGAAAGAATAAGTGAAACAACACAAAAAACCCAAAAATTACCTAGTTTTTCTTGACACTCTATTGGTATAGTTGTATCGGGAAGGCTGAGACCAACAATATTCTGAGCTTTCACACGGAATTTGTATATTTTTCCTTTTTGTAGGCCTGTAACAACACAGTCTAGCATAGGGACTGTCTGGAACTTTGTCCATTCATCTGCACCCTCTTCTTGATATTCCACCAAATATCCAGTTATCTCAGCACCACCATCACGATCTGGTCGATTCCAAGCAAGGGAAACTTCAGTCTTGTCAACATCTACATGATGCAGATTCTTTGGTGGCCCTGGAGGATCTTTTAAAATAAAACCCCAAAATGGTTACTAGGATGAAAAATCTATGGTATCAGTGTATTATGTCAGTATCACATTGATACTAACAGGACAGTCTCCAAAGTACCAATAACAATATTAAAAAAACCAAATTGTGTAACTGAAAAACACTTACGCAGTGGATCTATAGCTTTAATAGGCTTGAGTGTTTCCACATATGGACCTCTACCAAACTGATTCTCAGCTGCAACTCGGAATTGATACTGAGTGCCTTCCATCAGATATTTAGCCATATGACTGCGTTTCTTGGAGGATGATGAGATGGCTACCCACTGTGCAGAAGCTACATCTTTCCTTTCCACCACATAGTTGGTAATGACAGAGCCACCATCATCTTCTGGTTCAGTCCAAGTGAGATAGCAAGAGTCACTTCTAATATCACTCACTTTCAGATTTCTGGGTGGACCAGGTTTATCTAAAATCAACAAAAATTAAATCCGTTATTTATTTGATAACCAAAGAATTTCTTATAAAGCTTAGTAAATTTCAACATAAAGTAATATATTTAATGTAATTTTTAGTCCTTTTTCTACTGTGTATTTTTTTTAAAACTTTGTTAATTGATATTTTCCAGAAATACCTTTATTTCCTAATCTCTGATTATAGAATAAGAAGGTGTGGTATAAAAGGAACACCAAAAAGATTACCTAAGACCACGACTTTTACTGAAACAGTCTTTGAACCAGCTGGATTTTCAACTGTCAGGGAGTACATTCCACCATCTTCATGGACTGTGTTACGAATTTCAAGCTTACTACCAACTCCTGTAACCTCAATATCAGCTTTGGGTGAGACTTCATGATCATCTTTCTTCCAAGTAACTTTTGGGAATGGAACACCTTTAATAACAGCACTAAGTCGCAGGGTATCTCCAGCTTTTACATGCTGTTCTCGGGCCATATTAGCATCAAGTATCAACTCAGGAGGTTCTGGAATCAAAAAGATAAGTTTTTAAAAAATGAGGAAAAAAAAATGTTCTTAGGTAAACTTATCTGATTTTATTAAACTCACCAAGCCTGTCCTTTACTTCTACTGGATCACGAACGTTGGCTGGATCAGATTCCCCTGCTGCATTGACTGCCTTGACCCTGAACTTGTAGGTCAAACCCTCAGTAAGACCAGTGACTTTGTATTTTGTTTCAGGACAAGAATCTGCTGTAAGATTAGCCTTTTTCCATTCTTCATCTCCAACTTTCTGATACTCTATTAGGTAGCCAATTATCTTGCCATTTCCATCATGGCGCGGTGGTTGCCAAGATAAATCAACTGAATTTTTAGTTTTATCTACTGCTTCTGGATTAACAGGTGGACTTGGTTTTGCTGTTAAAAAAAGCAAAAAAAAAAACCAAAACAAAACAAAAAAACCAAAAAGGGAGAAAAAAAGAAACTATTAAAATCCTTTTCTAACTGAAATTAGGAGTGCATTAAATTTTCAATGAGAAATGAAATTTGATACTTCACCGATTGGATCTCTAGCGAAAATTGGCTTTGATGGTGGACTAGGATCACCAACACCAATTTCATTTTCTGCTGAAACACGGAATTCATATTCACAGCCTTCAAGGAGGTCAGGTACTTTGAACTTTGTGCCGGGGAAAATTGGGTCTTTGGTAGCTCTGACCCATCTTGTAGCCATTGTTTCCTTCTTTTCTACAATATAGTTTGTTATCGGCTTGCCTCCATCATACGGTTTGTTCCAAACCACTACTGCAGAGTCTTTGGTAACATCCTTAATGATTGGTTGCTCAGGTGCATCCGGAACACCTGGGGTGGGGAGAAAAAAAAAGAGCGTATAAGCATTATAAACAGAATGAAAATTAGAGTATTGAAGTAAGATTGTAAATGAGAAACATACGGAAACGGTCCTTGGCTTTCATCTCATCAGAGATGAGAGGATCACTTATGCCATAAAGATTTTCAGCATAAATTCGAATTTGATATTCTCTTCCTTCAAGCAGCTTAGGAACTTTGCATGTTGTCTTCACTGTGGCAGATGTAACTGGCATCCATAGGTCTTTGTGTGTATCCTTCTTCTCAATAATGTAATTTGTGATTTCACTGCCTCCATCATCTAATGGAGGTTTCCAGGAAACTACCATATGATCTTTATAGACTTCATCAAATATAACTGGGCCTACTGGAGGTGATGGGCGATCTGTTTAAGAAAAAATAAAGCATACCCACGCTTTTATATAAACTTCACATAACAACAAAGACTGAACAGTGTCAATACAGCAAATATAGTATAAAATGAGAAACCTGACATCACAGTTTTAATAAGGAAATAAGACCTCAGGACTATTCCTCTTTAATACATGTTTGACTCACTTGACTTAATTCCTTAATGCTTATAAGGTATTTGGTGATTAACATTTTCTACAGTCTTGACATTCTCTTAAGTGCATGTAGAGATATTAAACTATTCATGCTTAATAAACCAATCCAGATTTAACTATGTACTCAAAATTATTTAGAGGCTTTTCAGTATAATTGAGAATGCAGAAAATCAGATTATTGTAATAAAGAATACATTTCAATATCTACATTTTATATAATTCAGTTAATTCAAATCACTAATAAAATCAGAGACAATACTGTTGTTCAGTAAAACCTACCAACAACATTCACTTGACAAAATCCTTTTCTTGATCCTGTGCTGTTCTCCACAGTCACACAATATTTCCCTGTGTCTTCACGGACAGATTTTAATACCCCCAAGCAAAGAGTTGTAGGAGTTGTCTGGATCTTTATACGGTCATCTTCTTTCACAACGATATCATCCTTTAGCCAAGTAACCTTTGGTGCAGGCTTGCCTGAGTAACGTCCAGTCAGGCTGAAAGCTTCACCAACTCGAACAATAAGCTTGTCTCTAAAGTCAAGGTCAAGTGTGGGAGGAGCTGAAAGACAATATTGAAAAACGTGATGCCCAAAAATGTCAGCAATAGTAAAAAGAAAAAGTAAGGAATCAATAAATGGGAACACTGTTTTGAAAAGAAATATGAAAAAGTTACATACCAATTTCATCCTTGCATGTGATTGGTTTCGTGCAAAATGATGGCTTGCCTTGCCCCACAATATTGCAAGCACTCACACGATACTCATAGGTGTCACCCTCTTTCAAGCCTTCTACAGTGTATTTCCTATCAAGCATTTTCTCCTTTGTAACTTTGTGGAATTTGTCTTTTCCAATGAGACGGCTCTCTAGGACATACATGGTGATATCTGAGCCTCCATTGTATTTTGGAGGGTTCCAAGTTAATGTAACAGAGTTCTTGGTAACTGCTTTTACTTCCAGGTCTTCTGGACGGTCAGGAACAGCTGTGAATAAACAAAAAATATTGTAAATGCATTTTTCTGTGTATTCAGAATACTCCTGCATATTCATCTAATATGACAGTTATCCAAACTTAGAAATATTCTTACTTATTGGATCTCTAATGACAATCTCTTTTGTTGTCTCTGTGAATGGACCCATGCCAATTAGATTCTCAGCTGCAATTCGGAAAAAATAGGCTTTCCCTTCAATGAGTCCCTGAACAGTAGCATTCTGTCTTGTAACTGTGTAGCTCACTGGAGTCCAAGCTCTGTGGTCAGCTTCACGTTTTTCAATTATATAGTTGGTAATAGGAGAACCACCATCATCTTCTGGAGTAAACCATGACAATTTACAAGAGTCATTGGTTAGGTTCTCAGTAAGGAATGGCACTCCCACTGGACCTGGCACATCTGAAAGCAAGGGAAAAAATGGAGTATTTAAGTGTACATGCTGAATTTACGAACTTATACTAGTCACAAAAATTACAGTTGCTATTTACCTAGCACATCAACAATAATGGTCTTCTTCCTCTCACCACCGTCATTTTTAGCAAGAAGAGTGTATAAACCCTGGTGACTCCTTTTGCAATTCTTGATGACTAAAGAAGAACTAATAGCTGTTTCTTCAATTTTGGCTTCTTCTGGCAAAGCGCGGTCATCCCTGGTCCAAGTCACTGTTGGAGGTGGTTTTCCTGAGACATATGCTATGATTCGAATTACTCCTCCAGCATGAACAACAATTCTGTCTCTGACACTTGCATCCAAATTAATATCAGGAGCCACTGAAAGAGGTGAACAAAAAAATTTAGTGAGTGTTTTTCTCACTTTGAATTAGAAGTACTAAAAATGTAAATGAAAATGATAAATACCAATTCTGTCCTTCATTTCAATAACATCTGTGACTTCTCCAGGTTCTCCGATGCCAGCAGCATTCACTGCTCTAACTCTAAATTTGTAAAAACATCCTTCTTTTAATCCTGCCACAACAAACTTGGTTCCTCGAATTTCTTTATCTTTTACCTGGAAAAAAATATTGTAATGTCAGCTGACATCAGGATATCATCAATTTCTTTGCAAAGTTTGAAACAAGTCTTACATCAGATATTATTTCAGATTTACAAGCACACAATAGTATTAAGCATACATGGACCTAGCTCACATAGAATTCTTCAGAATTTGTGCAAAGAAATACAGGACATGGACATACAAGCTATTTTGAAGGTTCATCTTTTGATAGTTCTACAGCGAGGGTTGCCAAAACAATTATCATAGCCTGGTCTCAGAAGAGTTACATGTATTTTTGGACACATAAAGTCATGTAAGTGAAAGTGGCAAAAAAAGGAATTCTGTTCTTTTCAAACCGCAATACGAAGGCTCTTTAACTGGAAATTAAGGTATTAATTAAAATGTACCCAGATGTTTATGGACATATAAAAAATTCCCAAGGTGCACACCAGTTAATTTTTCAGTAATGTATTATTGAAAAAAGGAGGAAAATGTAGGGGCATAAAATGCTTTGGCACTGTCTGATACCAATGAAACTTACTTTTGTGCCAGTTCTAACTTGGTCTTTTGGGTTTTTTAATAATAAATTACCTATATACTTTCTCACATCTTTAAACAGAAATTATTGAATTCTAAGTTTAGGAATTGCAAAGTTAACTTGATATGAAGAAGGGGCAAGCACTAACTTTTAAGTTTGGTCCTATATTTTAAACATATGAAGATAATTATTGTGCAAAACTGCAAACTTTTAGAAAATAACTTGCATAGTGAAAATGTATAAAGAAATTTTTTTTCCTGCAGTAATTTACTTTGACAGACACACAGAAAAGAAATGCAGATTCTGTAACAGTTTTCCACCTACCCGTTCCCATTCTTCCTTTCCTTCCTCTTTATACTCAACAATGTAGCCAGTGACCCTAGAACCGCCATCCTTTATTGGCGGAGACCACTCCAGATCTACAGAAGACTTTGTCCAATCAGTAACTTTTGGTATAGGAGGGCCAGGTGGGGCTGAAAAATATCATCACACAGCATAACAATATATTGTGTGTTCTTATTTGAATATTTTCATATTTTGGAAAAAAGAATCTAAAATATTTACCAATAGGATCTCTAGCAAGTGCTGGATCAGATGGCATGCTCGGTGGGCCAACACCAGCTGCATTGATAGCTGAAACACGGAACTGATATTCAGAGCCTTCAATAAGACCTGTGACTTTGTATGAAACCCCCAGTGTCATAGGCTTGATAGGATCTCGGTTAACCCTGGTCCATCTCTTTCCAGTGGTCTCTTTGCGCTCCAACCAGTAACCAGTAATAGGAGAGCCACCATCATGCTCTGGTTCTTCCCAGTTTACAGTCATTGAGTCACGCGTTATACTGCTAACTGTTGGCTTGTCACAAGGTCCAGGAACAGCTGGGGGAAAAAATTCACACGTATCTTGTAAAAAATATGCTAAAGAAATATGGAGATAGCCAGAATGCAGAGCAGCTATGCACTCACAGAGTCACCACTGCACTAGGTAGTTACCTATCTGCACAAGATTCCTTCCCTCATTCAGTTTCTCATCCCTATTCAGGTACAGATAGTTCTGAGAAAAATAAAGTATCTTTCCTTTAAATAACAATTGCCAATTTTTTTCCTTGCCTTTCTGGATCACTATCTCATTTCAGTGCCCAGCCTAACACTGGATGTTTTAAGAATTATTTTCTCCTGCCAGCTTAACATTCCTTCTGTGTTAAAGCTGCTCTGTCTAATCTTTAAAAAGTGAAGGCAGGAAATAGACCCTTCCTGAGGTTATGAGGTTAATACTGTCTCAACTACAACAGAATGACATAGATCTTACCAGTTAAACACTTATTTGTATATTTAAACCTTAAAAATGTTAACATTGTATTTTAGTATGTACCAAGGAGGACAACAAGTTTTTTGAAGTGCTACACATGGTTTTAAGAACAAAGTACTAATGGTAAAACTCTTCAAGCTATTCTAGAAAATTTACTTAGTGAAGAGAAAAAAGTAGTAGTGGTATTTAACAGATTCTATACACATACCAGCATATGGAAACAACTGCCATCACTTGAAAGTATATTTCTACTTACTGAAAAGATTTCGTGCTGTTTCTGGCTCACTATCCAAAGGTTCTCCAATCCCGTATTTGTTTTGTGCCATAATGCGGAACACATACTCATGGCCTTCCATCAGCTTGGGAACAGTGAATATGCATTCCTTAGGCTCATTAGTAACAGGTACCCATGTCCTCCTATTTGCTTCTTTTTTCTCTATAACATAGTTTGTAATCTTAGAACCACCATCATCTAATGGAGGAAGCCATGATATTGTCATTTTATCGGCCAAAATGGATTCAAATTTAATAGGTCCCACTGGAGGTCCAGGACGACCTAAAAATGACATTTTAATAAAGAAGAATTAATTCAAATGCTACTAAAGTAAAGTATCTATCAATTGAATACTATCAATTTCTGTAATGTATAAGAGTTCTTGATATCTACCCAAAACATTCAGCCTCATCTCCTTTGAAGCAGTTCCCAGATCATTTACAGCTGTTATAGTATATAAGCCTGTATCATTTCTCCGAGACTGTTGAATTAATAAAGTGCAAGTATCTTCATCAACAATCTTGTTGACATGTTGATCATAGAGCACTGGTGATTTGTCATCTGGTTTCTTTGTAGAGGCTTTTAGCCATGTTAATGTGGGGAAGGGTACACCCTTTATCTTGGCCACAATTTTAACATCTGTTCCTTCTTCAACCTCCATAAATTCTTTGAGCTCAATAGATGGTGGACCTACAATGAAATGTTGAAAAAATAATATAAAAAATAGTTCATACTTTTAAAATGAAATTTGTATTTACTGGTATCAGTTAGTACTTACAGGTCTGGTCTTTGACAACAAGTGGGCCAACAGTGGCTGATGGTCTGCTAGGACCTGCTATATTTACAGCTTTGACTCTGAATTCATATTCTCCACCTTCTACAAGGTCCTCAACAGTAAATTTTGTTTCTTCCACATCACGTCTGTTGCATTGCTTCCAAGACTCTTTCACTTCTCCAGTACGATCCCAGCGGAGACATTCAACATTATAATGCGTAACTGGAGCTCCACCATCATTCTTTGGTGGTTTCCACGTCAAGCTCACTGTGTTCTTGGTTACAAGGCCAATCCTTAGTTTAATAGGCGGATCAGGAGGATCTTCACAAACAAAACAGAAATGTGAATAAATCCACTCTACGGTACCATCTGGTTTTAAAGGATTTGTTTTAATTTAATTTTACTTACGGATTGGATCCCTGGCTGTGGTCCGTTGGATGGTTTCTGCAGGAGGGCCAACACCAAAACGGTTTTCTGCACGTACCCGGAAGAAGTACTCTTGGCCAGATATGAGATCAGGTACAACGAAGGAGGTACTCCCACAGTTTGCATTGACTTTAGTCCAGGCCTTCCCATCAATAGTTCTTTTTTCGATAACATAGCCTCTGATTCTGTCTCCACCATCATCATCTGGCATCTTCCATGAAAGTTTACAGCTACCCCTTGTGATATCACTTACTTTAAGGTCTTTCGGTGGACCAGGGACATCTGTTAATATAAAAGCAGAACAGACACAATTTTAGATAGTATGTAGAAAAACAAGACTAAAACCTAGTATTTGAATAGTTCAATATATACAAGTCATACCAAGCACATTGACTCTGACATGCACTGTTTTTTGTCCTGCTTTATTCTTTGCTGTAATACTGTATCGTCCAGAATGACTTCTGTTGCACTCAGGGATGATAATTTCTGAACGTGTATCAGTTGCTTCCACCTGTGTATTATAAGAAGAAAGAGAAGTTATAAATCAACTTTAAATATTTATGTTTGAAAAATGCAACAATACTGAGGTTAAAAAAATTGTTTGCTTTACCTGAGCTTCTTCAGGTACGTTATGACCTCCCTCCTATAAACAAAGGGAAATGATGTAAATATAAAAGGGAACAGGCCTAAATGTCTAGAAACAGCTGTAGAAAAAAAAGTTATCTCTTTTACTAACCTTTGCTGCTGTTTTTGCTTTTCCTTCATACTCCCAAAATGTTTTTGGAACTGGACGACCCTTGATAACAGCTGGGATTTTAATTGTTGTGCCAGCACGACAAGAGAGTAAATCCTGTGCTCCAATATCAAGGAAGATTTCTGGTTCCTCTGCAAAAATATTTAAATATAAAAATTTTAAGAGTTACTCAGAGGATATCTCTGTCAGCATGTAGCTGAAAGCCCCCTGAAACATGTAAGAATGCAAGTTTATGCGATAAAGATTGGGTGTGCAAAAAGGAAACTGGGGAAGTATACAAATAGAAAAACTTGTTGCAGTAATTTCTTCATAAAATACACAGTATTTCCTTAGTATGACTGTAGGTGGTTATCGATTTTCTAATAGATCATGCTCTGGTAATAGTCATCATGACACTTTCAAAAATGTGTGTCAATCTTTCATTAAATTTTTGCATAATTGTTTATTCTGTTTGACTTGTTTGGCATCCTGCTTGAACATTCACAGCAGTAAGTGGCATTTAGATACAAATAACTAAATCAATTCCCAGAACACCTACCTAGAATATCTTGGATAGGTATTTCTGATGTTGCAGGACTTGGTTCTGATTCTCCAGCAGCATTTACAGCTTTCACCCTAAATCGGTATTTTCTGAGCTCTTTCAAGTTGGGAATAACACATTCACAAGTAGGGAAGAGTTTGTCTCCTTCATTCACCTTCTTCCAGTCAGTACTACCTTCATCTTGCATTTCAACAATATATCCTTTTATAGGACTCCCACCATCCTTTTGAGGAGGTTTCCATGCAAGAGCTATGGATGATTTTGTTTTGTCTTTGACCTCTGGGCAAGATGGTGGACCAGGAACAACTTGCAAAACGAGAGTAAGTAAAAATTACCTGAGAGTTAGTGTCTTCCTGTATTTTTTTGAATAGTTTCTAGAAGAATGCCAATACTCTAATTTTCTTCTCTCATACATAGAGTGTATAACCCCAGAACATGCATACTAATAGCATATGCTACCTATATTATTAAGAGATACTTAAGGTACAAGGCATAAATATCAAACTCTTTAAAAATTAAGTAAAAAAACAATATAAAAATATGATTCTGATCTGAAATTTATTTGGCAATATCTGCATTGGTGTAATCAGAGTATTAGGCACATAAAAGAGATAAAAAATTTAAATTACAGCTAATTATTTTTAAAATGGTGACAAACACCAAATCAGGAAACTATTTGTGTCAGTATATTCTTTTTGGTTTAATGAAAACAAACCATTTGATTAATTGCACTAAATGAAAAATAAAAAATAGTAGCACATCTTTAGTTCTGTTGTGATAGAGTCCTTTAACATAGTCATACAAATTATATACTTACATATGGGATCTGCTGCTAAGGCTGGATCTGATGGTTCACTGGGAGGGCCAATTCCAGCAAGATTTTCAGCCATAACTCTGAACTGGTACTCAACACCCTCAATCAAACGAAGCACATTGTGCTGTAGACCTTTTACTGATGGTTTTGTTACCGGAGCCCTGTTGACACGTGCCCAGTACACACCTCCCACTTCTCTCTTTTCTAGCCAGTAGCCAGTTATTGGGCTGCCACCATTGTCCAAAGGAGGCTCCCAAGTCACCAGCATAGATGATCTGGTGCGTTCTAAAATCTTTGGCTTTCCAGGAGGTCCAGGAAGGCCATAGGGATCCTTAATAACAACTTTTTCTGAGAGGCATTCATCACTTATTCCATATTTGTTTACAGCCCGGACTCTAAATTGGTATTTTTCATTTGTTGCAAGATTCCACACCTGAAAAAGAAGATTTAAATCAATACTTGGCTACTTTTGGAATAAACTTACTTGGAGATATGCAGTGATTTTCACTTTAAATTCTGTCTTGGAATCTCATTGGCATACTTCTGTTTATTACCACAAAGCTATATATGATGTCCCAAGGATATTCTTATTTTATGTGCATAGGACCAGACATTAAAAAAATGTCATCATGTGTGGTTTTGCAGTTGGTAAAGTTGAATAATACTGGGTAATGGAAAGGAAGATGTCTTCTAGCTCAGTTGAAGTTAGGTACCAAAAGCGAACAAATTTCTTTTGTTTTGTTATATGAGGGATAACACAGATACATGGATGGCCAATACAAATAGTAGCCATTCATCCAGTAATTCTGGAGTTCAAATGGAGCATGAGCACAGGTGTCTTTGCAAATAGCAGTATTCATTAGATATGTAATATTATTTTTTACGCATACTATATACTACATAGTACTCTATGGCTGAAGAGCAGCCAGGCAGAAAGGGACCTGGGGGTGATGATTGACAGGAGGCTGAACATGAGCCAGCAGTGTGCCCAGGTGGTCAAGAAGGCCAATGGCATCCTGGCCTGCATCAAGAACAGTGTGGCCAGCAGGAGCAGGGAAGCGATCCTTCCCCTGTACTCAGTGCTGGTGAGGCCACACCTTGAGTATTGTGTTCAGCTCTGGGCCCCTCAGTTCAGGAAAGACATTGAGGTGCTGGAGCAGGTCCAGAGAAGAGCAACGAGGCTGGTGAAGGGACCTGAGCACAAGTCCTATGAGGAGAGGCTGAGGGAGCTGGGGTTGTTTAGTCTGGAGAAGAGGAGGCTCAGGGTTGACCTCATCACTCTCTACAACTACCTGAAAGGAGGTTGTAGCCCGGTGAGGGTCAGTCTCTTCTGCCAGGCAACTATCAGTAGGACAAGAGGGCACGAGCTTAACCTCTGTCAGGGGAGGTTTAGGTTGGATATTACAAAGAAGTTCTTTATAGAGAGAGTGATCAGGCATTGGAATGGCCTGCCCAGAGAGGTGGTGGATTCACCGTCCCTGGAGATTTTTAAGATGAGGTTGGATGTGGCACTGAGTGCCATGATCTAGTAATAACAGTGGGATTGGATCAAGGGTTGGACTTGATGATCTCGGAGGTCTCTTCCAACCCAGTTAATTCTATGATTCTATGATTCTATAATAGGTAATAAAGATATTTTATAAATTACCCCATATCTTCTCTCAACGGCGCCTGTGGAGACTTCTTCCCACTCAGATTTCTTCTTACTAGCATCACGTTTCTCAATAATGTAATGGGTAATTTCACTACCACCATTATCAAGAGGTGCATCCCATGTTAAATAGCATGATTCTGCTTTAATATCAGAAACAGCAAGGTTTCTTGGTGGAGCAGGACGATCTGTATGAAAGCAATAGAGCATAGAACTACATTAAGAGAAAGGCAAAAGCATTTTATTAGCAGTCATTTAATTAAAATGTTGCATCCTTACCATACACTTCGACATGCACATTGCGAAATGCAGTGCCAAGACGATTGGTAGCTCTCACAGTGTAAGTGCCTTTATCATTCCTCACTGTTGCAGGCAGGATAAGTTCAGTTTTTGCTGCACTTCTAGATACTTCTTCCTTGGTTATCTTAAGTGCATCGGATGTTTGGTCAATTAAAACTTCATTCTTGTCCCATTCAATCTTTGGCATTGGCAGACCTGTCACATCAGCAGGAATATTAACTGGTTCTCCTGCCTTGACTTTGATAGTATCTCCTCTCACAGCCAATCGCAATGTAACAGTTGGAGGTACTGAAAACAAGAAAAGTGACAGAGTCAAGATGGAGATAAAACAGAAATTTCCTTGAAGTGTTCTGAAGATATTTGTATGGATTTCTTTAAAGCAGATATACCTTCATCATCTTGTATGACTACGTTGAGGGGCAATGACGGTTCACTTTCTCCAATTTCATTGACAGCTTTGACACGGAATTCATACATATGAAGTTCATCAAGCTTTTCAACGAGAAGAGATGTTTTTGGACAGAGCCTTGCATTAACTCTTTCATAATCTTTTGAATCATGTCTCCTCTTCTCAACAATATATCCTATGATGGGACTGCCACCATCACTACGTGGAGGCTTCCAATCAAGTGTAATGGTTGACTTTGTTCGCTCTGTGTACATGAACCTCTCAGGAGCTGTTGGAGGACCTATTTACACAGACAAATTAAATGAAAAAAAAAGAAAAGAAAAAATCAGAGAATTTTAAATTGTGTAAATGCAGTAGCTCTAGCTTTTTAAAACAATAGCTTTTGTATGCAAAGAATCTGAGTATAATTATGGCTAGTATAACATTTCTCAAGTATGTGGAGAAAAAGGTAATAAGTAGTGTCTCAGTATGCAACAGTATTTTGTTACATAAAGAACCATAGTTGTTTCACAGAAGTGATTTAGAAATCTGACTGAAGCAACTGATCTAAGGCAGATGCCTATCCATGTAATTAAAAAGTAAATACAACTTCTGTATAGAAGGCAGTTCACACAACAATATTGGTTTATTAACTTGACTTTTTTTCTTTTAACCCATAAAATTAATTGTCTTACCTAATGGGTCAACTGCAAGAATGGGCCCTATTTCAACAGGTGGACCGGTACCAAATTTGTTCTTGGCACTAACACGGAATTTATATTCTTGCCCTTCAACTAGACCTGTAATATCACATTTAGATCTCTCCGTGTCTACAGCTAGTCTCCATGTATGCATTTTGGCATCCTTCCGTTCAACAATGAAGCCTGTGATATCACTGCCGCCATCATCTTCAGGATCAGACCAGTTAAGTAAACACATCTTTCTGTTTGTAACCACTGGCTTTAGGTCAAGGACTGGTCCGGGAACGTCTGAAAAACAAAATCAAACAAAATATGGTGAGGCCCATGCTAACCAAAAGAAATGCTTAGTTGATTTGAGAAAATATTTTCTTTACCAAATACTTCTACTCTGGTTCCTGCAGATTTCGAACCACTGCTATTGGTAGCAGTAATTACATATCTTCCATGGTCTTTTCTCAATGCATTCTTAATGGTTAACTCAGATTTTGTGCCAACATTTTCAATAACAACTCGATCTTTATCTAATTCACCGTCCTCCACAGTCCAAGCAATAGTGGGAGTAGGACGTCCTGTCACAATAGCGGGAATTTTAAGAGTTTGCCCAGCCATGATCTGAATGCCTGCTTTGACAGAAACATCCAGTTCAACAGTGGGAGGCTCTGTGAAAGAGAGAGAAATACTTCATTAGCTGAAGGGAGGGATTCAAACCCACCTTTTAAGCAGCTAGACATTTCTTGAAAATAATACAATTGCAATACCTTTAGGTTCTGCAACTGTTGTGGGTTCGGTTTCCCCAGGTGGTCCTTCACCAGCTGCATTGAGAGCAGTAACACGGAGTTTATAGTCTGCACCTTCTCTGACTTCTGTAACTGTGTACTGTCGAACCTTAATGGGTTTCTCTGTACAGCGTGACCACTCATTTACTCCCATCAGTTGTTTGTACACATGGTAACCAGTGATATCTCCACCACCACTATACACAGGAGGTTCCCATTCTAGCTCAATAGAAGTTGCAGTTGTATCAGCAACCCTTGGAATTGGTGGACCAGGTGGCACTATAAATAAATAAGTGTAAATTAAAGTTAAAGGCTGTGAATCCTATTTTGTCACAAGTATGCTGTTAGCTTCTGCTAAGCTACTTACTTATTGGATCCTGTGCAGTTTTTGGATCTGATGGCGGACTAAATTTACCAGGGCCAGCTGCATTTTCAGCACATACTCTAAAGATATAAGTTAAACCTTCCAACAGTCCTTCAACTTTTACTTCCAGAGCATTCACAAGGTTTCTGTTGACTCGAGCCCAGTGAGTACTATTAATTTCACGTTTTTCAATCCAATATCCTATGATAGGGCTGCCATTATCTTTTGGTTCATTCCACTTAACCAGCATACTGTTGCTGGTAACATCTTCCACATCAGGCTTATTAGGTGCATCTGGTGGAGCTGAAAAAAAAAAAAAATTGTTTTGTCATCATTGCCGTCTCTTCAGAGTTAACTCAAAGCTAAGAGAGAACTTAGATATAAGAAATTACTAATTTAAAGTAATTAACTGTTTTTCTGCTCTCTTTCTTTAGAAACTTTGGACCCTAATGGCAATCAGTAATCAAACTTTTGGTAAGAATACTCATCTATTAAACACAGAGAATGTCACTGATCAGAAGCTAAGTGTTTTAAGTGTAAAGTTTTATGACAGTGATCATCATTCTTAAATCTTTAATATTTCCAATAGTTCTCTTTATTTCAATGTGTAATAAATATCACATTGTTCAAGTTTTTTCTGGGGAACATTCACCTACATGAAGCTGAGTATTCTAAGAGTCTGTGTAGTTTTATACTGGTTTTCTGAAAAAGTTGTATTTCAAAATTAAAACTTACAGAAAGGATCTTTAGCTGTCATTGGTTTCGAAACACATGGTGGCCCTGCTCCAACTCTATTTTCAGCAAATACACGGAAGAGATATTCTTTTCCTTCAATCAGTTTTGTAACATGGAATTTGCAATGCCTGAGTGTTGAACTGACAGTGACCCAGCCCATTTCAGCTTTTGTATTGTCTTTCTTTTCCAGTACGTAGTTTAGGATTTCACTTCCACCGTCATCAAGGGGAGGCTCCCACTTGCAAATGACAGAATTTTTCCTTACATCTTCAAATACAAAGTTGACTGGAGGCCCAGGTGTATCTGTCAGTAAACCGAGAAAAATGGTCAGTATTCACCATTTGCACTTCTTACCCAATACTCCGAACAGCTAGGTGTTTTAAGAACATTCTTTACATACCTAACACATTGACTTCACATGAGGCTTTTGCAACACCATGATCATTTTCTACTTTAATTGTAAATGTGCCATGGTCAGCTCTGATGGAGTCACGAATTGATAGTACAGACTCCCCTTCTTTATGGTTGTCAATGCTCAAACGTTCTGGCAGTGACAGCTGGAAAGGTTTCTCTTCTGCAGCTTCACCCTTCTTCTTTGGTGTTGTTACTCTCTTTTTGATATCCTCTGGTCTGACAATTTCATCATTCCTCAGCCAAGTGATAGATGGGTAAGGTGACCCTGAAATATGTGCCTCAAGTATGATCTCATCACCTCTTTTCACCTCAAGGCCAGACTGTAGGTTTGCAGCAAGGAAGACTTTCGGAGCCTCTGTAATAACACAGAATGATAAATAGAGCATAGAATCTTCCAATATGTTTGAGGATGTCTGGCAACTAATACAAATGATCAAATTAATAATTCATACCAATAGGGTCCACAGCTTTCACGAAAGGAGTAATACGAGAAGGCTCACTGATGCCAGCAGCATTCTCAGCACGAACACGAAACTGATATTCCTTTCCTTCCTCGAGGCCTTTCACTGGATAAGTTAGTAAGGGTACCAGATAGTCATTGCATCTCTCCCATCTCTCTTTGCCCTTAGCGAGTTTTTCTATTATATAGCCCATAATTTTGCTTCCACCATCAAACAGGGGTGGTTTCCATGTAAGTGTTACTGATTTGGATGTTGGATTATGGACCTCAAGGTCAACAGGTGGATCTGGAGGCTCTGTAGAAGAGTAGATCAAAAGAGGGGTCATATGATAAAAGAAAGGATGAAGGTATTAGTTAAAATTCAATTTGCTAGATTATTTAGTAGTAAGACAGACAGACTTACGTTTTGGGTCTTCTGCAATGATTGGATTTCTTAGTTCAAGATAGTCACCTCCTCCAATCTTATTGACAGCTTTAACACGGAAGTAATATTCACAGTTTGGGATAAGATCTTTGACTTGCCATGAAAGCTTATTTTCACCAGACATGACTGGGATATATGTTCTACGACCTGCTTCTCTGCGTTCCAGAACATAATGCAGAATAGGAGTACCACCATCAAAGTCTGGAGGTTCCCAGGACACTTTGCAAGAATTCTTAGTTACTTCGCTTGCCTTGATGTCTTTACACTGTCCGGGTGGACCTGTTTTAAATAAGAATAAAAAATTAACTGAATAGATGAGTAACTGTATTCATATAAATATGAAATCATGTCTTTGCTTTGCAGAAAGCAGACCAAGATCACAAATGTTGACTACACACCATGTATGTGAATTTATGTTCTCAAAGAGTCAGAATTCTTAAAACATTTTTACATTTATATGTTAACTATTCAAAATAATTGGGCTTTGGGCAGCCACTGAATAGTTAGAGCAACTTGGGGTAATGGTTTATCATGGGATTTTCTAACATTAATGTCTGTGTGGCAATCTACATGTGTCTGAATTGAAGTGATTTGTCCAACTGGCAGAAAAATTATCTTTCTAGTCCTTTCTTCTGTCAGCTGCAGGGCTGAAATGAAGGTAAGTATATTTCTTGGAAGGGAAGAATCTAGTTACCTATGACTTTGACATTGACTGAGCCAGTCGTTGATGCCAGCTTATTCTCCAGTGTGATAGTATAAACACCAGCATCAGCATGAACACTGTCTATGACTTCGAGCAATGCAGAGGTGTAGTCACTCTTCATTGTTGTTCTGTCACCAGCTTTCAACTCTTTGCCATCTTTGTGCCATGTTATAGTTGGGGATGGAACAGCTCTGAAGGGTATAGGGATACTTAATTTCTGTCCCTTAACAACAACAATGTCACGAGTTTGTAGATCAATGGTCGGATTGCCTGTAAAAGGAAGCATAATATTACTAGTAAGTTGCCAAACACCATTCTTTTTCATTATGCAGATCTGGAAAAAAAAAGGAATCTATTCTTACAGTCTGGGTCCTTGGCAACAACTTTTTCTGAGATGTCTGATGGCTCACTAGCTCCAACAGCATTGACAGCTCTGACTCTTAGCACATATTCCTTGTCTGGAACCACACCTTCCTCCACTTTACATTTTAGATCTTTTATGGGGCGAGAATTGATTCGCATCCATTTTTCTGTTCCTGCTTCACACATCTCAACATTATACCCAATAATAGGACTTCCACCATTCTTCTCAGGAGGTTTCCATGCAATGCAAATGTGATTTCGGCCTGCATCTGTGACATGTAAATCCTGAGGAGGTGAAGGAGGGCCTGCAGAAATGGAAAAGTTATTGTGTCATTTTTCTCTCAAAGTATCTGTTCCACACAGTACGCTACTTCTATAATCCATATACTGCATATTATACTACTACTTACTTGTTGGATCTTCAATATGAATGAGGTCAGTTGGTTCACTGGGATGACCACAACCAGCTTCATTTTCTGCACGAACCTGGAACTGTACATCTGTGCCTTCAATGACATCTGTCACTCTGAAATTGCAATCTGGACCAGCTGTCTTGCCAGCTTTTACCCAGCGAGTGGCCAGTTTTTCTTTCTTTTCAATAACATATCTGAATAAATGGGGGAAAATACTATCAGGCACTTGAAATAAGGAACAATTCAGACTTCTTGTTCAATAAAATAGATAAAAAGAGATTAGAAGAAGTTGGACAGTGAACAGTAAAGAGAGTAATGGGTAATGGATTCAATTAACTTTTCTTCACACATTAGTCACTTAGTCCTAGTAGGTCTCAGCCCCTATTAGGGCTGACATCACTGACAAACCCAAGTCTGAAAGCCAATAACTGATCTGTGTTCTGTGTTTTAGAACTGAAATAAACTGTGTTCTCAGATTTTAGAGAGCTACAGAGGCAAAAGAACCTCCAAGCTATACTTGTATCTTTGCTAGTTTGAATCTCAGCAGTTAATCCATTGAGAATATTTGTAGATATTATTACTCAGTTGTCAAAATTCCGCTTAGGACAGACTATGGCAAAGTAATGCAAATTAAGTGGCTTATGTTGCTTCAGGAAGATCTCTGCAGTTGTCTGTTTCTTTAACATGAGTTTACTGTGATTGGGAAAAGTCAAAATCTAAAGAGGAAAAATCCAACTGGCATTCAAGATTAATTTCAGAGTACAGACACTTTAGAAACCAAATTAAAGACAAATTAGAAACAACCCAGAAGAGTAAACAGTCTTTTTGAAAATTGTTATAAAGAAGAGAATGAACAGAAAACAGGTGAGGCTTCATTTTAGCTGAGAGCATGCAGTTTGAGGGAGAAACTAAGCAGAAGGAAAATGCAATGATATTACTTAATAGATGAGTCCAAGTGGCTACATAGATGAGTCTAAGCATGTTGACACATATTGTTCATGCATATTAGGTATTTTATATGCATAATTTCCGCATTTTAAAATCAAACCCTTAACTGCTTTGACCATATGGTTTCACTTACATTCATTTACCTCTTTTTCATATAAAATTTGTCCATTTAAAACCTTAACTTTTTGAGAGAAACATCTTAATTCATTAAAAGATTTTCATCTACAGGAACCTACACAAACGTAAAATGACCTTACCTTTGAATTGGTCTGCCACCATCATTCTTTGGTGGTTCCCATTTCAAATCAACATGACCTTTTTTCACTTCAACTATTGTAAGGGCATATGGAGGCCCAGGGGTAGCTAAAACAGAAAAAAGACACACATTAGGAGACTAGGAATTCATTATATGTGAGCTACTGATCACTCAGTAAGCAAATCAAAACTTACTGAAAGTATCTTTAGCAAGCACTGAGTCTTCAATTTCACAGTAGTCACTCTGTCCAACGGCATTTTCAGCAGCCACACGGAATACATACAATGAGCCTTCAGTCAGTGGGCTCACTGTGTACTTGGTATCTTTCACTGTTGTATCAACTGTCTGCCAACCTTTTCGCCTTACATCTCTTTTTTCAACAATGTAGTTGGTAATTGGGGAACCCCCGTCTTTTTCTGGTACTGTCCATTTAAGATCTGCTGTATTTTTAGTAATATTAATAACTTCAAGCCAGCGAGGTGGTGAAGGAGGATCTGAAAAATAGAAAAAGAAGGTAAAATAGGTCATTGTAATTCCCATGGAAGCCAGGGAATACACCTAAAGTATTAAAACTTCGTATTTTCTGAGCTGAAGCAGGGCAGATTTTAATATTTCATAAGCCTTTCAATAGTTTGTTTGGTACCTATGGAAATAGGTAGACATGGGTCTTTTTTAATGACAGAGACAGTATATCTGCAGCAGCAGCACATTCTGAAACAGTACTCACAGAGCCTCTCCTTGCACAGCACGGGGTCACTGGGTTCACTGGGCTCACTCTCGCCAGCCTTGTTCACAGCTCTTACACGGAATGAATATTCTTGTTTTTCCATAAGATCTTTGAGGAAGTGTTCAGTTGTGGGAACTCCTTCAGCCACTCTCACCCACTCATCTGTTCCAGTCTTTAACAGCTCAATGACGTAAGATTCAATCTTTGCCCCTCCATCATGTTCTGGCTTTGTCCAGTTCAGGGTCAATGATGTCTTGCCAATATCTTTCACAGTGGGCTTTCCAGGAGGCCATGGTGGATCTAGACAAGAGTACAATATTAATTATGTGATTGAAAACAACTTTTGTTTGATAATTAAACTATTAAAAATGTATTTGTTATACCAATTGGATCTTTCACTAAGATTGGCTCTGTTTCCTTGCTTGGTTTTCCAGGTCCTGCAAGATTCTCTGCCAAGACACGGAACTTATATTTCTTCTTATTTGTAAGACCTTTTACTCTGAAAAAAAAATAATTTAGCTTGATGAAACCAAAACTAGATATTAATTCATGTTTAAAACATTATTCTCTCTATTCTTCATATCACAGTTACTTGGAAAATCTGAAAATACTTAAATTAATGCTAATGATGTTTTATGAAATGTTGAACATTTGAAATAGGCATATTGTCAACAGTAAAATAGAGAATCATGGGACAGAAATTAGTGTTATAAGAACCATCTTTCATTTTTGCATGTGCTATGTTTTTTAGTTAATAAGAGTACCAGCAGAAAAAAACTCAAATTTTTTTTGTTTGATAATTGAAATGGCTATATCTGCTATTTTAGACTATCTTATGAATAACCACATAGCACAGAAATTATTAAGCATAACATTTAAAAAAATAAAATACTTGATAAACTCTGCTATAAATATATTTCTCTTTAAAACTAATTATCAAAAAAGTATGCCACCAGGTGGTAGTTGAATCAAAACTTAGGGAAGTTAGAAAAAAAAGAGTAAGAACAATGTAGAACTTGTTTAAAAGACTACTCTTTCTGTTTCTATGACAAATTTCAGCTTAAATTGACTGTAGTCTTACTTGAATGTTGTATCTTTCACTGGCATTTTATTGCATTTTATCCATTTATCCTGCTCGGGATCATATCTTTCAACCCAGTAGCCAGTTATGGGGCTGCCACCATCTTCATCTGGTTCGTTCCATGTTAAAGTGACTGAATCTTTAGTGACCTCTGTAGGCTTGAGACCTGTTGGAGGGCCTGGTGGATCTGTATAAATTAATTATTTAAAAACAAAACAAAAAACGAAACAATCAGATGTGGGCTTTTTTCTCCCTATTAAAATATTGTGAAAATCTAACATTAACTTAATTAACTAACCAAATGAATATTTGGCAATGATGGGGTTACACTGTGCTGGCTCCCCAATACCATACATGTTCTCAGCACTGACTCGGAACACATATTCTTTATGAGGAGTTAAGTTGGTAGCTCTGAATTTTGTATCCTTAATAGTTGATGACAACTTGTCCCATATTTCACTGTCTGTAGCTCTTTTCTCAAGGACATAGTTGGTAATTTTAGAACCCCCATCATCTCTTGGAGGATTCCATGTTAGAAGGCAGGATTCGTTTGTGATTTCTGATACATCAAATGCAGCTGGTGGACCAGGTTTATCTGTGGAGGATAAGATGTGAATGTTAATCTTCTGCTCACATACTGCAGTAAATTACTAATTATTTGTATGAACAACATAGAATACGTGCATACCGAGAACATTAACTTCAACAACAGCAGTAGCACGTCCACTGGAATTTACAGCTTCTATAATATAGGTTCCACTGTCACTCCTTTTGCTGTCTGTAATAGTCACTGTAGACTGATTAGGCTGGCTTTCAATGGCGATTCTTTTGTCAGGTCTCAAAATTTGATCAGCCTTGGTCCAAGTAACCCGAGGCTCAGGCTTTCCAGTTACTTTAGCTGGTAGCTCAATTTTAGTTCCAGCTTTCACAGTAAGTCCAGCAAGAAGCTTCACATCTAAGAAAATTTCTGGAGCCTCTGATTTAGGAGAGAATAAAAATGTTATTATAGAAATAGTATTTCAGAGACTGGTAAAAAGAAAGCAGCTATTGTAATTCAGCAGGTGAAGTAACTACCTTTTGCATCAATGGCCTGAATATCATCAGTTGGCTTGCTTGGCCTACTAGCTCCTATTCTGTTCAGAGCCTTAACCCGATATGCATACCACTCTCCTTCCATGAGCTTTGTTACTTCCATTCTGTTTAAAAAAAAAAATCAATCAGATATTTAAAGTGATGACGATGGCATAGTTAGTTGAAAAGATGTATCTACTGATTTCAGTTTACTTACTTGGTTTCAATAACAGGTTCCCCACATGTCTCCCACTTGTCTGTGCCACGTTGAGATTTTTCTACCAGATAACCTTTAATGCGGGCACCACCATCAGATTTTGGAGGCTCCCAGGTTAGGAAGATTCCTTTTGATGTTGGATTTCTCCATTTAACATTTTCTGGTGGGTCAGGCACCGCTATTAAAAATTAAAACATTTAACATTAAACACATTTAACATTAAAACAATTTTACATCTTATTTTGATGAAAATCAGTAAGATTTCAGAAACAGAAAATTAGCAGCAATATGCTCACTTGCTGGTGTTGACATATTTACAGGTTCATCAATATATGCAGGTTCTCCAGGGCCACATTTATTGCATGCAGAAACTCTAAATAAATATTCTTTTCCTTGGACGAGGTCAGGTACAGTGAACTCATGGTCAACAATATGATCCATAACCTAAAGAGCAGAAAGGTTCCAATGTGTTTTCAAAATTTATTTCCAAAGAGTGATTACTAATATAAGACACAAAACTCAGTAACACATGTGGAAATAATATAGCAGTAGAAATTCAAATGATAGAGAATGAACTTACTTTGCTCCATGTTTTCCGGCTTACTTCACGTTTTTCAATTACATAGCCAGTAACTGGACTTCCACCATCGTCTTCTGGAGGTTCCCATGACAACTGTACTGTAGTCCTGAGTACTTCTAAAACTTGAAGTTCTTTTGGTGCACTTGGAGGAGCTAGATGCCATAGAAATTGCATTAATTAGTCTGTAATTAGTGTTTGATAGATGATTTCTATGTAATATATCTGCCAGAGGACTTAGTCTTGTTAGTCATTCTTCCTTAAACAGCAAAGTTGGATGTTGAAAACCAGAGAAGACTTTTTCTGAGGATGGATTTCTAGTTTTTAGTTATATTTTAATGTACTTGGTTTACTGGACATTGTGAGATTTCACATTGTTAACCTAATTAGATATAAGCAAGAAAAATATGGAGTGTTATTGCTAGAATATATACATGTCCACTTACCAATGACATTAACATTAATTTCTCCTGAAACAGATGACACAGGATTTTCTAATGTTAAGTAATAAACTCCCTTGTCTGGACGTTCACTCGGAGTAATGACAAGTTCTGCAAAGGAGGCAGTGGTCTTCATTGTTACACGATCACCCTTTTCTAAGACTTGGTCACCAAAAGACCAGGTGGCAGTTGGAATAGGATAGCCAGTGATGGGAACACGGATCTTGATTGGCTCTGGAACAATAACTTCCAGTCCATCCTTAAATGCACTTAGGTCCATTGTAGGTTCAACTGGAAAAAGCGGAAAATGGATTCTATGAAATATTTTCAGTTGTTATGAATATGGGTAATGATAGCTGTGTTGAGAGGCTGATTCTGACTGTATCTCAGCTTGCAGGTTGGAGCTGCCTAGGCCTAGCTTTGGCTTACCACTGCCTACTTGTCCTGAGTAAATGCTTTTCTTTTTTTTTTTTTTTTTTAAAATATGTGAGATGATAAGGGAGACTAGCATTACCAAGAGGAATATCTAATTTACCCTTAAATGTAAAAAATATGTATTGTTTAATTTTTTTTCCCAGAGGTCTTCTCTGCCTTTTTCTCCTTCTGTTATTTCCCATCTTCCACAAAACTCAATCAGGAGACAAAAATTCATGCCTTGTTCCTCAGGCAAGCTAATAGGCCTCTACCTAATAATACAGATAATTATCTGAAGAATTCATAATGGAGGAGAAATGGCTCATAAACTCAAATGTATAAGGTGTGGCAGTTATCTGGTGAAAAATCTTCACATATTATCCACAAGATGCTCTTTAATAATGTGCCTTATCTGATTGTCTTTAATAAATAGAATATGGCTTACCAAAAGTATCATCTGCAGTTAATGGCCCAATAGCCTCTGCTGGGTCAGACACACCAGCTGCATTTTCTGCTGAGACTCTGTAGTAATAACTGGATCCTTGTTTCAATCCAGTTACCTAAAGAAGCACAAATAATAGTTTACTAACTCATATTAAAGATGACCTGTACATTTTAAGTGTTGATGAAGAGAATATCATACCTTAAAAGTGAGAGCAGGTACTAGTTTTGGGTTACAACGAATCCACTTGTCTGTTCCTTCTTCTTGCCTTTCAATAATATAGCCCAAGATTGGACTTCCTCCATCTTCGAGAGGAGGTTCCCATGTGAGCTGAACTGATGACTTAGTTTGATCTGAATGCTCAAGGTTAATGGGAGGACTTGGTCTCTCTGAAAAAAAATTGCAACCAATACATTTTTGCCACTGAAAAGGAGTATGGTTCTGCAAATCAGCTTTTTATATCTTACAGTACTGTTTCTAAAGCCTTTGCATAGCTTTTTCTCAACCAAATTTCTAAATTGAGTTGGATCCTAACTTCAGAGCAAAAATATTGGGAGCTCTTACTGAACCAAATGGTAACAAGGTACTCCTGATATGTTTGGAGGACAAAAGTAGCAAAAATCTAACTGTACACGGTATTTGCAGCACACGCATTTCTCAACTGAACTTTTGTGCAGCCATGGCATAAACATCCAAAATGTCCCTGTCTCATAATGCAATCACAATCATGCATACTGGGCATACTTACCAATTGGGTCCATAATTTTTACTGCACGTGTAGCAGGACTTGGTTTGCCAACTCCAACCATGTTTTGAGCTCTTACTCTGAAGAAATATTCTTCATTTTCCACAACATCAGTCAGGAGGGCTGACAGTTCATCAGCTCCTGTGGTCATAGTTGGTTCCCATCTGATGGAACCTTTGTTACGCAGTTCAATAACGTAGCCAGTTATCGGAGATCCTCCATCATACTCAGGTGGTTCCCAGTTAAGTGTGGCTCCAAATCTGTTCACATCACTAACTTCGACATTTTGAGGAGGACCAGGAACATCTGCATTTTATTTTAGGGAGAAAAAGGAAAAACAAGGTATGTGGGTTTTACCTATTTTTAGAGTTTGTTCTGATTTTCTCACGCTGCTATCAAACACTGATTTTTTGATAACTTCTACTCACCAAATTTGCTCTTAGCTTCCACAGGTGTGTCTGTTTCCACTGGCTCACCAGTACCCACTCTGTTGCGTGCACTAACACGGAAGAGGTACTCAGCTCCTCCTTTTTGAAGTCCAGTAACAGTGTATTCACAATTTTCAGCACGATCTGTGACCGTAATCCAGGTTTTACGCTTAATATCACGTCTTTCAACAACGTAGCCTATGATTTTACTTCCACCATCACTTTCTGGTTCTTGCCAGGCGAGACCAACTTCACCATCATAAGTTTCAGTGACTTCCAAGTTTCTAACTGGACCTGGAACATCTAATAAAGATATGACAATATTTCAGTATTGCATCTTTTTTTCCCCCCTCTGGCTAGAAAAGAGGAGGCCAAGGGAAGACCTCTTTACAATCTACAGCTTCTCCCCAGGGGCAAGTGGGAGGTATGATTCTGTGAAATAAATTTAAGCAGAATTTTAATAATAGAAATACTTACCAATGACCTCTACATTGATGAATGCTTCTGCCTGCCCATGTTTGTTTCGAAGAATAATCTTGTACCTTCCCTTATCTGATTTCTTTGCTTCAAAAATTTTGAAGGTAGTGCAGTCAGTCGTTGTATCAACAGTTGTTGTGGGCAGACTTTCTCCTGCTTTTGACCATTCAGCTTCTGCTCTTGGGTAGGCATCGTATGGGACAGTCATAGTTAAAGGTTTCCCAACATCAACGACAAGATTTTGATCACCAGTCTTGATTTTAGGTGCAGCTAAGAAAGATGAATGTGACAAGTAAGCTATCAAGACGAATGTGACTTGTATATATATATATATATATATATATATATAAATCATATATTTGTGTTGTCAGCAAAGATGCTAACATAGAGAAGTAAAAGGAGCTGTTGTGTAAATTCTTCTTATACTTATATACTTATATAAGTATATATATACTTATATACTTATATAAGCAAATCCTTCTTATACTCATTGGACAGCCCAGAGAAAGAAATTCTCCTGTATTGTGTTCTCCTATAAAATCAGGATAGAGGAAGTTGCTTTTTGAGCATTAATTTAATTATTTTATTTGTCAGTCTGCTAAAGCAGTCAAATTGGGAATTAAATGTCTTATATATGACTGAAATAAGTAGGCCAAATAATTTCCATGTTTTATTAGTGACTTAATGAAAAGGTTCTGTCTTGTTTAAGCTCAAATAACACTCTGACATTGAAGTGATCTATATTTCCTCAACAGTTGGATCAGCATGGTATAATAAAAAATATTTTTTGCTTGAATTATAATTCATATAGTTTAACAGACTTGTGCATTCCTCAGGCTGATTGTTGTATTCATTTTAGTTCAACTCTTTAAAAGGACAAAAATCAATTTACTTAAACAATTAATTCACTAATCCAAGATTTTATAAAAGAAACACAAAGCAAGCAACTTACCGGCTAATTCAAGCTTAGCTCTAGCTTCCTTATCTTTGGCGATAAATCTGTATTCCCCTTGGTCACGGGGCTTTATCTCGCAAACCTGCAGCCTGTGGATCTTCCCTTCACTCATCATCTGATGTTTGTCACCTTGGATGATAATCATGTTGTTTCTCAGCCATTTGACCTCCACACCATCTTTGTTCAATTCAGCCATGAAGATGACATCTGCACCGGGAGCTTCATAAATATCTTGTGGTGGTCGGATAATCTCAACAGGGATTTCTGAAATAAATATTAATTAATTGGTGTTATTTGTTTATTGATTCTACTATTATTAAACAATGAAGAAATAAATCCTATTTGATTTTACAAATACCTTCAACAAAAAGTCTTGCCCTAGATCTCCTGTCATCCACTCCACAGGAATATTCGCACTCATCATCTAGTCTACAGTCTTTTATGATTAACCGGTGCAGATTTCCATCCTTTTCAAACTGGTATCTTTATGGGGGAGAAAAATAAGTGGCATTTTAGCTTCCAGACCAAGCAACAAAGTAAAGCATGTTTGACACATTAATGTGTTTGACACAATAACAAGTATAATAAAATGTACATACTTTTTGCCTTCTTTGATTTCTCTTCCATTTCTGTACCATTTTACACTGACTTTCTCTTTGGAAAGCTGGCATGTAAAGACAGCATCATCAAATTCAGTGACAGTCTGATCCTGAAGATGTTCAGTGAAGTCTGCTGGTGCTTCTGTGATGAGAAGTTCTGCAACAGATTTGTCTTGTCCAGCAGTAACAGTGTATTCACCTTCATCTATAAACCCACAGTCTTTAATGATCAATGAGTGTTTGAATTTATCAATTTTGTACAAAATGCGCCTGTCAAATGTGATCTCTTCACCATTCTTTGTCCATTTGAGAGTTGCATTAAGGCGATTGACTTTGCACCAGAATGTGACAGTTTTCTTTTCCATGGTCTCAATGTCTTCAAGGGGCTCAATAATTTTGAGGTCCTCCTCTGTTATGACAAAAAAGAAAACATTTTTACATCCTCATATGAAACTCAATGTAGATAATGAAACAATTTTAATATAGTGCAAGATATTTACCTAATACTGTTAAGGCAGCAGAGCTTTTGACCTGTTCACCTCTCTGGTTTGACAGTGCAATGCTGTAAGTAGCTTGATCTTTCAGCTCTGCATCTCTGATTCTGAGAGTGTAAACTAAACCCTTCTGAACAATAATGTACTTTGCACTATCAAATATTGCCTCATCATTTTTGTACCACTTCTCTTTGGCACCTTCTTTATTAACTTCACAGTTGAAGATAACTTCTTGACACTCATTAACTTCTTGGTCCTTAAGAGGAGTTATAATTCTGAGTTTTTCTGAAATTGAGAAAATAGAAGAAATAAAACTTCACGTAGTATAAGGAGTGCAACAAAATATGCACCTACATATTGATAAAATAAAGCTTACCAATCACTCCTAAGTGTGCTGCAGCTTTAGCTTCACCAACCATGACACTATACATTCCTGTATCTCCTAGAATAGTGTCTTTAACCACAAGCGTCCTCTTCTTGCCATCTGAAATTATGTCATACTTTTCACCAGGCTCCAGGACTGTGTCACCCCTCAGCCACTGTACTTCAATGGCCTCTTTGGATACTGTACAGACAAATTCAGCTTTTTCTCCTTCAAGCACCTCAAGATTTTGTGGTCTGGTAAGAAATTCTGCTGCAAGTTCTGAAAGAAAACATTTTTGTAGATATGTATAATTTGATTTTATTTTTACTTGTGAATTGAATAAACCAAGTTGTGTATTCTTACTGGTTTTGATTTCCCCCCTCCCCCCAGAAAACAAGGCCCGCAAAGTAAAATTCTTACCATGCACAGTAAGTTTTCCTGTTGTACTAGAGCTTGGGAGCTTGCAAGTATATTTGCCAGCATCTTCCGGATGAGCATTATGTATAAGAAGAATTCTCTTTCTGCCATCAGAAATGTGTTCAAATCTACCACCATCAGGTACCTCTTCGTCTCCTTTAAGCCAAGTGACTTCAGCATTAGGCCTTGAGACTTCACAGATCAATTTTACAGTGTCATTTTCATTTACTTCAAGATCAGGAAGATTTTTTGTGAAAACAGCCTCCTCCTCTGCAAGAAGAATTTTGAAAGATGATTAAAGTTTGTCATAAAAAACCTCTCACTTTTTTAATTATTCATGTATTAGATTCTAAAACACTGTGTTTACCTATCACCGTAAGTAGGCCTGAAGTTCGAGCTGTTTTTGCTTCACAGGAATATTCAGCTTCATCATCAAAGACACATTTATTGACAACAAGAATGTGTTCTGCTCCTTTGGAAATTATATCATACTTTTTGCCTTTTCTGATTTCCATGCCATCCTTAAACCACTTCACCTGTGTCAGAACAAATTATCATGGTTATTAGTAGTAGCATCCTAAGTCGTGTGTTCTTTTATAACAACAAAATAGAGTTGTCTCCTCTAGTTGAAGGAGTACTGAGACTAAAAAGTATTATTATTGACCTTGACACCTGGACGAGAAATTTCACATTCAAATCGAGCAGATTGTTTTTCTTTAACCTCAAGGTCAGTTAGGGGTTTCAGGAACTCCACACGAATAGCTGTAAGAGAAGAAAAAATTTTTAGTAGAGGAAAATCTACAGTAGAGAAGAAAAAAATTGCTGACATTTATGATATTATTATTAGTCATAGACATTAGTACATAGCTTTTATAGCATCTAGATATTTTGTAGAAAATTAAATTACTCACGTTCTACATTGAGAAAACATGATGTCTTAAAATCCTTAGCATCACAGCTATATGTTTTTGCATCGTCCAGTGTGCAGCCACGGATGATGAGTTTTCTGACCCTGCCATCAGAAATTATATCATACTTCTTTGATTTATGAATTTCTTCTCCATTTTTGAACCATTTAACTTTTGCGTTTTCCCTGGAAACTTCACATTCCAGTGTTGCAGTGGCCTCCTCTTCAACAGTCTGGTCCTCAAGTGGTTTAGTAAATTCAACAGGGGGTTCTAAAAGAAGACAGATTTTTTTGATAGAAAAAGATCTAAATTACAGCCAGTCTTCTGCTTGTACAGAACAGTCCTATGCTATTTACTAATTTTCCTTGACTGAATAATCAAAAAGGCTCCTGTGTGTCTCTGCTTAAGGTTTTGTTAACAGGCATGGTTTTGTTTATTCTGTTAATTTCCTCATTTTAAGCCTATTGTAAGATTAGACTGAATGATATCCTTATCCATGGGGATTTTACTTACAAATCATCACAAAGCCTTGCAAATCAGTTTCTTTAGCTAAACCATACCCATGTCATCTCAGTGACTCTAAAATTACACTCTGACCTTAGAGAATTTTTTTTCAAGTTTTTCCTTGAGTTACTGGATTAGTGTGCCCCCTTTTTTTATTTCTTAATGGTACATAGCTTGCAAGTGTACAAGTGGCTATACAGACAATGTTATGTCACTTGACTGATGGTACAGGTATGCTCTTATAGGCTTCTGGATATTCCAAAGAACAGAAAAAGCCACCAGGAGCCATAAAGGTCAGTATTTGTGGGTCCTCTGGAGGCCAATTGATTATTCAAGACTGTCATAAAGCCCTAGAAGTCCTAATGAACTAGTTCATCTCCCACAACTTATACATTTTCAGTAATTTCCCCTTTCTTCAGCTCTTCTGTGAAGCACAGAGATTTTAACTAGGTGGTTTTTTTAATCAGGAAAGTTACCTACCAGTCCAATATCAAATGTATGGTCCTCCTAATTTGATATATGGTGTATATTAACATCCTACTCTAGGGTGAATAATGAATGGCCCATTAATACTGATTATGGTTTAACTAAAATGACTGACTTACCTTTCACAAAAAGATTTGCTTGAGTTCTGAAATCTTTTGCTGTCAGTGATACCTCTCCTGCATCTGTTAATTTGACGTCTCTCAGAACAAGGGTGTGAACTCTCCCTTCAGCACGTGTCACAACCTTAAAAAGTACATAAAACCCCTTTGTGATTATCTACAACAAATATTTAGGAAATATTTCATGAAATAGCATTGCTGGTTTTTATCTGTGGAGCTTGGTTGTCCATTTTTATATGAAATTCTGATACTTTCCTCTGGTATATACTAGATGTAGCTCAATCCTCAGTGCTTTGAGGATTTTGAGTCTGACTTGAGATCGTGCCTATTTTGAACAGATAAAAAAATTATCAAATCTATGGGAAAAAGTTGGTATTACTGCTGGCTACATCTAAAGTAAAAACTTATAGAGATATAAAGAGGTTTGGCACCTCCCCACACACACACTCTTCTGGAAGTGCAATTCTGACTTTACATTCTGCCTAAATGATTAATTTTTGTGCAGAAACTACTTTTTAGTAATGACTTTGTATTGGGCTACTTCTACAAAAACATCCCTTTTCTCTAGGAGTGGACCTGGGGGTCCTGGGGGATTCAAGGGCACATCCTGATTGCAGCCATCAAGAGGACTGCTACTTATTCATGCTGAAAATTTTAACATAGCTCTTGAATAATTCTTTTTATCTATTTTCGGAGAAGTATGTGATTAGGTAGTAGATAGTGCTTTAGAAAAATAAAGACAAAAATCAAGCTTCTGCTAAGGAACAAGGATAAAATATTGAGTTGCTATTGAGAAGGCAGTCCCTTTTGTTTCAGAGGGAAGGAAGGAACAAAGAGGCTGTCCTTCCTCCCAAATGGTCACTGTGCCCCTGAAAATTATCTCTAGTGAGTATTCATCTGAAAGAGAGACTGAGATAAAGCCCAGTATACATTTGACTAAGATAAATAGCAAAGATAAACAAAGAAGTCACTTCAGTCAATAAAGGTTATATGTGTGCAGCTGAAAAGGTTTGAATTAGCAACAGCTAAAATGAAACACTTCTACAATTAGATTGATTCTTGAAGACAGTTGTAAATATGTTTCAAGAGAGTATTTTAAATAGGTAGAAAGCGATGCATTAAGTAAACATATGGTTTACTCTCAATTTCTTCTTGATAAAATCTTAACTGAAGCCAAATGACAGTTTTGACTGCCCAGGTAAACTGAATGAAAATCTCTATTTTTTTTCATGTAATTAAAATGATAGCTCAGACAGATAGGACCAAAATAATGTTCCATCATACAGAATATGGAACATTAAGTATTTTTCTTGCTAGGCAGTAATAACTATCAATCCTGTGTGCTGATCAGTGGTTTTTCACATTTTTATTCTGAAACTCAGAAATAATTACCTTGATTTATTTCATGCCTGATCTACTGAGTTTCAACTTTGTTTATCTACCCTTAAGTGCGCTAATAGGGTCCCCATCATCACGTTCTGTTTTTCTTTTCCTATTTTTATATTCTATTTCTTTTATGAAATACTTTTTATTTATGCAAATTTGGTGAAGCTTAGAATGATCTGTCAAAACCTGAGAATAATATTTTAAAATTTGTATTTAAAAGGAAAAAGAAAATCTACACCAAAGCATTATTAACAGTATTATTACAGGTTCTGAAACTTTGCTAGGTCATGTAATGCCTTGAAAGTTTGCTTTGTGTGAGGTTTCCAAATTCTATTTTCATTTGCTTTGTTTTCTTTAGGCCTAGTATGTAAAAAGGAAGTCTTAAACCCAGTAATAATCCTTTACATTTCTTAATGTATTTATTTATGTTTCTTTATTTATTGCCCTTACCACTAATTTTAAATACTAAATTGATTGCATTCCAGGCTGCTCAGATCTCAGAGTTAAGAGCCAGCACTTGATGAAGGCTTAAAAATAGCTAGTGAGAAGTGCTTGACAAGCAAATCTGCCCAGAGAGTTATCTGGAGAGCCAGAACAAATGCCTGAAATGGAATTTGAATCCTCTTAATCCCCTTATATGCAGAATTGGACTGCAACTCAGCATTTGGGAGGAAAAAAAGCTTTTCCTGATAGCACCTTTCAAAATCCTCTCACTGTAATCACAAAGTAACCCAAGAAAAAATTACTCAGTATCCCTGTGGCTGAGTCTCCAACAGAATCAGACATAAAAATCACTGTTATAACGATTGATAATTTGGAACCTTAGTTTCCCTTTCTCTAACAAATACTTGTAGTATTCCAGAATACTGGAATTTCTGGGAAAAAATTGCTATATCTGATGTAGTGAGGATTTACCCTTTGGCACAGTAGCAGTACAATATTGCTGTATCTTAGTACTTCTGATGGCAGAAAATAAATAAGAAATAAAGAAGGGGAAGAGACTTGAAAGAGAAGAAGGAGGAGGAAACATGAGGAAAAATAAAGTTTAGTTTCTTTACCTTATCACTGGGCTCCAATTTCTTTCCTTGCAGGAACCACTCTACTGGGATTCCCTCATAAGAGAGTTCGCAATCGAAGGTTGCTGATTCCCCAGCTGTCACTGTTACATCCTTGAGGGGTCTCAGCAAGCCAATTACTCGAGCTTGGTAAGGAGAAGACATAATTTTCAGATTAGTCACTTCTACCCAAAAGAGAGCTGCTGCTGCCCTATGTACTAATCTCCATGGTGGCTTCCCTCAAGAGAGACAGACATCGCTATGCTGCTCTTTAAATTCCCTAAATAGAAGAGGCCACCCTGGGTTCTTAGGGGAGGGCTGGTCACCTACAATTTCCTATTTGCAGAGCGTGTTTCTTTAAATTGAACAAGGTCAGCAAGAAAGTTGCTGTGCATCTGTCTCCCTGCCAAGCCTTGCATGCCTGTTGCTAGATAAGGCATGTGTTTTCCAAAATAGCGAGGGCTAGGATTGGAGTGGGAAACAAGTGGTCTTCAACCGTGTAGTCTGTCCCTGTCCATCAAGCTCTTAACCCTATCCCCAGATATCACTGTTATCCTATCCTCTCCAGCTAACATGATACTTTCACGCAGTAAAGCCTTTGATTGCAATACTTTGATTTCATAACAGCATATGATGCCAGACCATGAAGCAGCCTTCAAGGCCATCTCCTGATTTTTACTTCTCCTATACAAATAAGTTATAAACAAGGTTAAAAAACATATAGGACATTTCTAAACTGAAAAATTAAGATGATTTGAGTAACTAATCCTTGAGTTGCTATACTTGAAAGGATAGCTGCGGATGCAATACACTACAGAGGTTTTCCACCCATTCCCAAGAGGCAATGAGTACCATGTTTTCACTTTATCAATTTCAGTTTAAAAGACACTTACGTTTCACTCGAAGGTGAGCACCAGACTTGGCATTTGCTGCTTGGAAATCTACTCCACCAGCTTGATCTAAGCGCACATTGTAGAGGGTAAGGAAGTGCTTTTTGCCTTCTTCCTTGATTTCACATTCCTGCAAAGATAGAATTGAAACAATTTTTTTGTACTCCTCACCACAAGAGTCCCTACTTTTCCTCATACCAAGCATTTGTTTTCTCCTTTTCCATTCACAAACTTAGGCCCACTTCCATATAAAATACACCTTAAAAACATTCATTCATAGGCCCTTCCTTTCAAAGTCTCTTCCTAATACAGTCTGCTTCCTCTTTGAAAGAAAGAGCAAGAGGCACCACATTTGTGTGCTAATTAACTAGCCAATATAATAACATGTAGATCAGTCAGACTGTTACATCAAGGAATTGCCAAATTATTGCCAGTTGTGATTGTATTGTTTCTTTATTTTCCAGATCCTTCCAGCAAGGAATTAGGAATATTTGATTAAGGTCTATACCATTTGATACTAATTTTAACTGTCACAGAAACAAAAAAGAGTATGAAAATGTGATTTACATCTATTTAAACCAAACATAACTCAAAAACTAAAGGTAAATGCAGGCAATACAGAGTTTCTATTTTTAAATGCCATTATGTTTAAGTGAATGATACAAGTGCAATGATACATTGCACTTTGGATACGTGATTTTTAGGGACTAGCAATAGAGAATATACCTATTTATGTAAAATAATTTATGGTTTTTTATATAACATTTTGGACTAAGTTTGTACTACATTTTAAAAGTTATGAATGAAAAAACACAGTATTTTTATTAAAGTGACCCTTATTGAAAGCATAAAGAAATTGCTTTCAGTTTCTGAAGCCACTCTCTCCCTTGCACCCTAGCTCCCTGCAAATTTTTGAGACACACATAAAAAACATCCTGAAATATTTGCTTACGGCTGATTCAGTAAGGGGTTCTCCTTTTAGCTTCCAGTTCCCATGGATCCCTTCCTCGGAGATTTCAATATCGAAACGGGCAGTCTCTGTCTCGATCACCTCCACACTGTATAGTGGTCGTACAACCTCAATATCCCGGTCTGCAGGAAAAAAAGTGATTGACTCCCTCAGTGCCTAGCAGATCCCACAAGGTCTCTACTACAGAGCAGCCCACTAAAATCACCATACCTTCAATATTGAGTTTAGCAGAGGTTTGATCAGTACCACAGTCACAAGTGTACTGTCCAATGTCTTTCTTCAAAGCTTTCTTGAGAATAAGGATTCTCTTTTTACCATCAGCCTTAATAACAACATTCTTTGATGCAGTAATTGGATTGCCATCCTTCATCCATTTCACTGGGGCATCTGCTTTGCTGATTTCACATTGTAAGATTACTTCATCTTTCTCTACGGCAGTGTAATCCTGCAGCTTCCCGGTGAAGTAAGGGTCTCCCTCTGCACCCAAAATTTAAGATGGTTCAGTTTGAAGTTTTAGTCTTTCAAAAAAACCCCAATTAGTTACTACCATAAAATACATTTTTTATTTACGTCTTGCAAGAAGGATTAAATATAGTCCTTATAAAATATTTCACAGGTCTGGTTCAAGAAAAAAAACAATAAACATCTAAAAAAAATTTCTTTTGATGCTCTAGGAGTTTCAGAGCACTGTTTAAGTTATCTAATAACTAACTTTGCAACAGTTGCATGAAATTTTAAAGTTATTTTAATCATCCTTAGTGAATAAGAAAACAGAGACCCTAAGAAGAAAAACAAATTGTAAAATTTTCAAAATCACCATGTAGATTTAGGCCAACCCCAAGACTTTCTGATTGTCATTTTGTATGAATAAGTCTCTTCTGACAATATACATTAGGTAAATTCTTTTGGGTATTCTTACCAAGGACAGTGAGTTTAGCTTCTGAGGATTTGCCCATAGCTTCTACTTTAATCTGAGAAGTGTCATCAATAGTAAGATCTTTGATTGCGAGTGTATGGAATTTGCCATCATCTGTCATTGAAACCACTTTGCTGGTATGTAATCGTTGGTCATTCTTGAACCAGATAACAGAGATATTTTCATGGGAGAGTTCCACAGTGAACTCTGCAGTTTCTCGTTCCTTTTTGGTTACATCCTTGAGAGGAGTAATGAATTTCAGGTGGATACCTATAACAAAGTAACATTTCATTAACAATAACATTATCAATAAAATCTATTCAAGTACTATGATGCAAAACTTTCCTGGGAAGGCAAAGTCTAACAAACCTTCAATAATTAGCTTGGCACTTGTTCTTTTATCTTCAGCTTCAAATGTATATTTAACTTCATCCTCAAAGGCAACAGATTTAATAATCAGAGCATGCTTTGTTCCATCTGAAACAATTTCAAATCTTTCATCAGGAGTGATCTCTTCTGTTCCTTTCAACCAGCGGAAAGTCTTGGGTTCTCTGGACACCTCACATTCAAACTTAGCTTCATCCTTCTCAAAGACCTTCACATCACTTAGTGGAGTGATAAAGATGAGAGGTAATTCTGAAATCAAAGAAGAGATCTTTCACATCAGAGATAGGTTCATATAGAACTTTCTGATGCTAGATTTGTTTTAATGCCCTGAAACACACGTGGAAATATTGGCCAAATGCAGACTGTACCTTTCACTTTCAGATTAGCAGCACTTTTAGCATTAGCAGCTTGGAAAGACACTTCTCCAGTCATATCAAGGTTGCAGTTATGAAGGACAAGAATATGTTTCTTCCCATCTTCAATGATTTCACAGTCCTGGTGATAAAAAAACACACACACACACCCCAAATATGAATATTTTAGGAAACCACCAAAAAAGCATTATTATTAAATATGGTTTTCTACTGTAAATTATGGTCCAAAAATAAAGAAGGGAGCTTACAGGTGAAGGTGTTAGGGTTTCTCCCTTTAGCTTCCATATAGGATGGACATCAGGCTCAGAAATTTCAATTTCAAAGCGTGCTGTTTCACCAACAAATACTTCCACCCCATACAATGGACGCTCCACTTTAATTATGCGAGCTAAAATAAAAATTTAAAAAAAAATCAAAACAGTTCACATCTGTTTAGTCACAAACTCCATACCATAAAAATGTAATATTGGAAAGGATCTCAACTCTCTCCCTATTCCTTCAATGCTATGATCAATATGTGTTTATCTAACCTGTTTTCAAAAAGCTGCAAGTTTGGGCAGGCTACAGCATCCTTCACTAATATGTCTGAAAATTTAGTTATTTTTAGTAAGAATATTTTTCCTAATAACTAACCAAGCTATCTGTTCAGTGAACTAAACTAACTGGTTTTTTTCCTGACTGTAAATTGACATAGAGACTAACATATCATCACTGTCTTTACAAAAGCCATTTATATATCCTCAGATACACTGTCTCTAGTAAATACTTTTAATAGTTGTAAATCTAATTATTTCAGCTATTCATTGTGACAGCATGCTTTCTATGGGCACATTTTTGGTCTTTCACTCGAGAGAGTGTCTGTCTGTCTACAGTATTTTACAAAGGTTTCAGTACTTTCATTTAGCCAAGACAAGATAACTTACATTCAACACCGATATTAGCGCTTGTCTTGTCGGTTCCACAGTCACACTCATAAACACCCTTATCACTCTCTGCAGCCTTCTTGATCTTCAGGATACGGCGCAAGCCATCCGTTTTTATGGAAATTCTGTTGGAAGCTACAAGTTCTTCACCATTTTTGTACCATTTTACTGGCACATCTTTGCTAAGTTCACACTCCAGAGTAATATCATCTTTCTCTACAGCACTGTAGTCTTGTAACTTCACAGTGAAATATGGATCGGCCTCTAAAAAAGGCACAGTAGATATGTAAATTAGTAATATGATTTTACTAAAACATCAATATTTTGTCCCTTTCTACTTATAAAAATTGTTAATTCGTATCATATAGCATACTTCAAATTATTTATGCATTACCTAAGACTTTGAGGTTGGCTTGTGTGTTCATGTCCTTGACTACGGCCTTTATTTCAGAAATATCATCAAGTGTTACTTCTCTCATTTCTAGTTTGTGAACTTTGCCTTCTGAAGTAATAAAAACTGTTCTGCTTGTATGAAGTCTCTTGTCATTTTTGTACCATTTCACTGGCATGTCTTCATGAGAAAGCTCAAACTGAAAGTGAGCTGTTTCCCCTTCTTTCACTGTTTGATCCTGTAGAGGTGATATGAACTTCAGCCTCACACCTGTAAAGTAGACACATAAATACCATCAGAAAAAAGATTAATGTAGTTCTAAAAGATATATTCTTTATCCATTTTTTATTCTTTTGTTCGTAAGAAACTTGCCTTCCACAAACAGTCTCGCTGTGCTCTTCTTGCCATCCACTTCAGCAGTGTACTCTCCCTCATCATCAAACTGTGAATCATTGATAACAAGAATATGCTTCTTTCCATCTGCAATGATGTCAAATTTTTCTCCAATCTTGAGTATATCAGTGCCCTTAGACCATATAACATTGGCTTCTCTCGTAAGGACACACTCAAATCTTGCTTGGCGCTTCTCAGGAACAGTAACATCTTTTAGGGGCACAGCAAAGTCCAATTCAATTTCTAGAAGCAAAACATAACACATCATTTGTAACGTGCTCCACATGAACTCTGTTTAAGCTGGGATCATACTCCATGGTGCATCATACCTTTGACTGTCAGGATAGCTGTAGTAACAGCATTAAGTGCCTGATAAAGGACTTCACCAGCTTGCTCTAACTTGACTTTGTGTAAGGTTAGGAAGCGTTTTCCTCCTTCAGCTTTGATTTCACATGTCTAGAGAGATGAAAGAGCTTGGTAAATACATTGCCAATGCCTTACTGCTACGCTTTTTAAGAAAAGATTTTATAAACATTTTATATGCAGTAAAGAGTCAGGGAGAAAGACTGAAATTGCTTTTCTAGGAAAGTTAACACTTTTAGTCAATAATTTAAAAATTGAGTACATTTGTTCAGTATTTCACATTTCTTTAGAATGCCAGAATAGTTCCTACAATGTAGGTAGGATATTTCTATTATTGTCTGAATTATGTGTTGAAATCCCTTAAGTAAATGAAGGTTTTCAAAACTTAGCTTTTATGGCATATAATCCTTACTTAGAGAACCAGTGTTTTTTTTAATCAACATAAGGCTTAGCCTTTCCACGTTCTGGACTTGAGTAGCAACGACACATCTTGCCATAAAGACTCAAGAAACATGTTCACAGTGTTTAATTTAAATAAATCGTGGTTTAAAATTCAAGGATGCTTACAGGTGAAGGTCTCAGGATTTCTCCTTTCAGCTTCCATTCACCAGGAATATCATCCTCAGATATTTCTGTATCAAAGTTTGCTGTTTCTTTCTCATAAACTGTAACATCCTCTAATGGCTTCAGAAGTTCAACTTCACGTTCTAGAATGCACAAATAAACGCATATATAATTAGGTCAAGTTTTGATAGAGTTTTATAATTATTCAGGTTACCTTTTTTGTTTATTTAGACATTTTTCAACATTGGCCTATGAGCTGATTAAATAAAATTAAAAAAAAAAAGATTTCTTACCACCAAGGGTCAGTTTAGCTGGGTATCTGCGACCTTCAACTTCCACTGAATATTCTCCAACATCAGCAGGGCCAGCATTCTTGATTTTCAGGAAAATTTTATTTCCTTCTTTCAAGATTTCTGTCTTGTCAGTGGGTTCAGCAGGAATTTCCTCATCTCCTTTAAACCACTTAATGTTTGGTGTATCCTTGACAATGTCACAGCTGAAAGTAGCTGTTCCTTTTGGTTTAACATGCTGGTCTCTTATGGGTTTTACTAACCAGTCCCTTATAACCTCTGCATGACAAAAAGTTACATAGGAATACAGCTTAGTAGACTTTTACAAAAAATATATGTGTCATAAAAAGAAGAAAGAGAACTAACAGATTTTGTATTACAACAAGCCTTTAATAGCTGTAAAAATCTTATCTGTCCATTTATATTGTAATACTACAAGAAGAACTTTTCCTGATTTTAAAACAGCCCAAATATCCTAGAGAAAAAAGAGAGTATGTTTTTGATTGCTTACCTACTACCTTAACACAAGATGAGCATGACAGTTCAGAGTCTTCCACAGTAACAGTGTAAGTGCCAGCATCAGCATCATCTGAATCAGCGACCGTGAGAGAATGGGACAAACCAATAACACCCAGAGCAAACTTCCCAGGCTTGGCTATGATGATCCTACCATCCTTTCTCCAGACCACATTTCTTTCTTTGTTAAGCTCACACGTCAAGTACAGTGGCTGGCCTTTAATGACAGTGGTTTCTTCTTCAAGTGTTTTCACAAACCGCACTGGGAGTTCTGTGGGAAACACATTATTTTGAATTGTTCACTTATATACAGAACATGTGATGCAAAAATACCTTATATAATAATATGTGCGGTGAATGACAGAAACAAAAGGATGCATCTACCAACTACTGTAAAATTACAAAGCACCAGTTCTTCTAGTTAGAGGAGTAGCTAGCCTAAATTATTGATAAATTTCAAACAGGAAATACCTTCAACAATGAGTTTGGCCGTAGAGGTCTTCTCTTTGTTCCCCAGTCGTAATACACAAGTATATTCACCAGCATCAGACAGCTGGACATCAATAATATGCAGCTTCCTATCTTTGCCATCAGCAATAAACTTGTGTTTTGGGCTCTCTCGGATGTTACTTCCATCTTTCATCCAGCTTGTAATTGCAGTGGATGGTGAAATAAGGACTTCAAAGATTGCAGAAGACCCAACAGACTCAGCTTCTTTTAGCACAATATCTTTCATCTCCTTGACAAACTTCAGTGGTACAGCCTTAAGTTGGTAAGTGAATGGAGGCTCTTCAGGAGGTTTTTCACCACCACTGCCTGGCCTGAGTTTCCTTCTTTCTGCATCTGCTGGTGAAGGTGTCTTCTTGGCTGTAATTCAGATTCAGAAATGAATAAACTAATCCTGATTCACTGCTTTTGGTTGTAGGTTGGGCTGATTTTGGTTGGGGTAGATTTAACCTTCACAGAAGCTAATAAGGGGTTGTATTTTGGATTTGTGTTGAAAGCAGTGTTGATAATATAGAGATGTTTTTGTTATTGCTGAGCACACTTGTGCAGAGTCAAGGTCTTTTCTGCTTCTCATTCTGCCCCACCAGTGAGTAGGCTGGGAGTGCACGAGAAGTTGGGATGAGACACAGCCAGGAAAGCTAATCTCAGCTGACCAAAGAGATATCCCATACCATATGGTGTCATGCTCAGTATATAAAGTTGGGGTGAAGAAGGAGGAAGGGGGGACATTCAGAGTTATGATATTTGCCCTTCAAGTGAAGGAGCCCTGCTGTCCTGAATATGGGTGAACACCTACCTGCCCATGGGAAGTGGTGAATGAATTCCTTGTTTTGCTTTGTTTGTGTGTGCAGTTTTTGCTTTGCCAGTTAAACTGTCTTTATCCCAACCCACAAGTTTTCTCACTTTGACCCTTCTGATTCTCTCCCCCATTGCACTGTAGGGGAACGAGTGAGTGGCTGTGTGGGGCTTGATTGCCAGCTGGGGTTAAACCATTATAGTCCTTTTCAGTGCCCAGCGAGGGGGTTGAAGGTCTGGAGATAACAGATTTGATTGGAATGGGTTAGATTGAATTTAAATCTGTTAGTGCTGTTTAGCTATTAATCAGCAGGCTCCTGTGCTTGCCATGGAGCTTGCTTGCCTGACCATATTGTGAGAGTCTAATGCTTGCTAGCTCCTGCTTTTTGCTCTCGTAGTGCTGCTGTAGTGCTGCAGTGCTGACCATGCCACTCTGCTGTGCCTGGGAATGACTTGATAACAGGCACTGTGATGTGCCTGGGCTGAGCAATGGCCTGGTCATCGCTGCTGTTTGTGTGTGCTGCTGTGCTGGACAGTGCTCCAGTGCAAACTCAAGGCAAAGGGACTGTGACCTGTGGATGAGTCCACAGTGGAGCAAATATCGCCCTGCAGCCTGTGAAGGACCCCATGCTGGAGCAGGTGGATGCCTATAGGCAGCTGTGACCCCAAGAGAATCTTACACTGGAGCAGGACTGGTGATCCTTGTGGGGGCACCACATGAAGAGCTGCAGCCTATGGGAAATATTCACATTGGAGAAATCAGTGGAGCGCTGTCTCCCGTGGAAGGGATCCCACACTGAGGCAGGGAAACAGAGGTTCCCCTGCAGCCCATGGTGTGGACCATGGTGAGGCAGGCTGTCCCCCTGCAGCTCATGGGGTCTGATGGTGGAGATTGTAATTACTATAGTAGGAATCCCATGTTGCTAGCTGGACTAGGAGCAATGAGAAGAGTTCATTGCAATGTTAAATCCTGTAATCTGGCCCAAAAGGACCAGGGCTGAAAATTTTAATGTTAATGATTCATGAGGTTGTATTGAATAGTGTGGGACCTGAAAATGATGTAAATGGTATAGAATAAGGGGTGGATAATGTGCTAGTTTGGGCTGTGGGAGAGTTAGTTTTATTCACAGTAGCTTGTATGGGGCTGCACTTCGAACTTCTGCTGAAAACAGTGGGAATGAGTGGCTGTGTGGTACTGGGTTGCCAGCTGGGGTAAAGCCATGACAAGGTTTGTAGTATCCTACCTTTGACTGGACTGATACCCTTCGGAGCTTCCTCTTTTGGTGGCTTGGCCTCTGAAGTAGAACAGCAAGGAATGCAGTTAAATAAAGATACTTACTAAGACAAGCATTTATTTTACATATCAGATTTCTTCTTCCTTTAGTTATCCTATATGTACAAAGGGAAGAAGATATAAACATATGTATATATGTTTATATATGAACTTATACTGTCTATATCTCAATGGTAAGTTCAATATCTTGAAACATGGGAAGCAGTAAGGACTAAGAGGCAGCTTAGAAACTCCTAACTCCTCTATGTATTGTCCTGGCCCTTCTTTTGTAAAATTTTGCCATTCCTTGATACTAGATTTAAGATTAGGCCCTTGATCAATACCCACCTGTCAGCCAAAATAGTTCAAGGACCTATTAAAATTATATGTTGGGGTTTTTTTCAGAAAAATCAAACACTTTTACTAATGAAGACAACAGAAATACAAGCTGTGTAAATTAAGTACCTTTCAGGACAATGTGGTACTTTGACAAGTGAGGGATGTTCTGTAACCTAATTTGTGATGAATCATCTCAGATTTTGAAAATATTACCCACGCTATGCTGCTTCTCATTATCTTTTTGTGAAAGGGAATATAAAAATACTTTTAATCGGAGAATGATATGAATGAAATGCAGGACAGATTTTAGTGCAGTGGATGGAAAAATGAATACTATAAAAAATGAGTGAGTTTTTCTGAGAAGATAATGGTGGACAAATGATTTATATGGTCTTATAAAAGTGTAAGACTAAGACAATAAACAATAATCACACAGATGTATGTACAGACAGGTAAGACAAGTATATCAAGAGTGGCTGAATGCCAAGACAGCCAGCTGACAGACTATGATGGAATTGTGAATGGTGTTACGAAAACATCACAATGGCAAGTGGTATTTTCCTGAAGCAAATAGTACAAGCATGTCGTGGAAGAATTCGGCATCAGTCTTCCTCACCTCTCTTTGCATGAGACTTTGCAGGAACATCCAGAACTTCACATGATTGTCCAGGTGCATCCAAATCCCTGTTTTCACTTGAAAGTCTAGTGGCCTGCTCAATCAGATGAGCAGGTTCTGATTTCTGGTATTCTTTCTCTCCTGCTTTCTTGGGAGTTATCTTACCTATACTTGAGGAGTAAGTAACTTCTTCATTTGCATGTATTCCTTTGCCTGATGGTAATTTGTCTGAAAGCTTTCCCTTCTCTTTTGTCATGGTACCAGTTGTGCTTTCCCCAATGCCATGTTTAGCTGATGTTTTTTCATCTGCTGTACCTTCTGTAGATTTCATTTCTTCAATTTTATCTTTTCTGTTTTTGTGAACTAGAGCCTCCTTATGTTCAACTTGCTGAAATTGTTTTTTATCTTGACTCCCTGGTGGCTGAATAGCAATGTTCTCTTCTGTCTCAGATCTGTCAACTACTTCATCTTTGTCTCTCTTTTCATTTTGTCCTGTGAAAGCTTCACTTTTGATCTCTTCTGCTGTAAACAGTGTATCAAATTCTTTTTCCACAGGCAGCTTTTCAGGGACATTTGATTTTCTAATTTTGTCTTTTTTTATGTGAGTGCTGAAGATAGTTTTCTCCCCCTTCTCTGGTATAATCCTTTTGCCTGTTTTTTTATCACTTAGCAGTGCTTTCTCAGTCAACAATTGTCCTGAACCCTCCTCATAATGAATGTCTTCTTTCTCTGTAGAATGTTTTTCTCTTACTTTCCTTTCTACTACTTCTGGCTTAAGAATAGATGGTTTAAAGACTATGGGAGGTTTTTCTCTGGAAACCTCCTCATTGTCAATGAAGTGTTCTAGGTCAACATCTTTTCTCAATGCTGGTTCAGCCTCCTCAGATAGATCTAAGGAATGTAGTTCTGGTGGTGTAGAGTCCAGTTTCTTACCTTTCTCACAATCTGGAATATCTTCCATTTTCTTTGCTTCTTTGTTAAAAATCTTATCTATAGAAATTTCAGCTACTGTGCTACCAGATTTATTAATCCATTGAGTTTTACTTGGTATGCCATGCTCCTTCATGGATTCTCCAAGAGGAACTTCAGATATCTCTAGAGTAAAACCTCCTCCCTCATTTTCATTTCTAAGCAGAGGAGTTTCAACTATTCCTGCCTCTATGATATCCTGTACAAATAAAGTTTTATCCTTAATGTGAAATTCTTCAGGTTGCAAACTTATTTTTGATTTTTTCTCTTTTCCTAAAAGTCCTTTCCGGTCCCTGGGCTGATAAGTTTTTTTGGGTTTGGGTACATAAGTTGACTCCATTTCTCCTTTTCCATGCTCAAGAATCTCTCCTTCATGAAGAACACTAGACTTTTCAGAGTCTTTCTCTACAGCACCTTCCCTATGAACAAGTAATTTTATTTCATCCTCTTTTTCTTCACCAGAATCTCTTTCCACAGGTTCAGATGATATAGGAATCAATTTCAGTTCCTCCTCAGGTAGTGATAGTTCATCCTTTGTACAAATAACATGATCTATTTTGGCTTCCAATTTCTCATCTGTAGGAGTAGTCTTTCTCGAAACTACAGGTGCCATTTCTGCTTCCTCTTCTTCAGAGGCCAGGATGAAATACTTAAGAGCCACTTTCTCCTGCTCATCTCTCTTTGACTTCAGTATTTCATCAGCTGTTTCCAGTGAGATTTTGTACTCAAGTGGCTCTATTGTCTGAACTGTCTCCTTAGGACTTACTTTCTCTTTTACATGTAAGTGTTTTTCAACCAAAATCTTCTTTAACACAATTGACTCAGGCTTTTCTTGTTCCACTGGGGGCATTTTACCTCTGTGCTTTAGTACAGATGGTGCATCAGGTTTTTCTGAAGCTACAAAGGTTTCACAGGCAATTTAGAGAGTTAAAATCCATAAGAATAAGGATCAAGAACAATATTTTTAAGATTTTAAGACAAATTTTCCAGCTATACCTGAAATAAAATTAACACAAACACTTTTTCTCCACACAACAGAAAATTTCCAACATAATCACAAAAGAAAACAATGGCACACATGAACAGAAGACCTGTTAGTATTGTCTCACCACTATTAGTATTGTCTCATTAAATTACCAACTTAAATCCAGTCCAGGTTAAAAGTAGCAGAAAATAACAGCTATCTGGCCACTGATGAAAAATGGGTTAATTATGCCACTGCAGGCCTGGCTACATCACCACATCAATGGCCAAGAGACATTCATGACTAGGTTTCTCAACTACCCAGGATCTGTAACATGAGGTCCTTCGAACAGTGGGCAAGCAGAATGTACATAATTTCTGCTGGCAGACCACAGGTTCAGAGTGTTTCAGAGGGACTGGAATCTTCACAGTTTGTTTTGGTTTTTTTTTTCACAGCAGGCTATGATCCGAAGTCCTAAGCATATCAGATGAAAGTAGCAATACTCTACTTCTTCAACACCACTGCCAGTTTTCCTCAGGACTTCAATGACAAGTAAACTAAACAGCACAGTGATTGTTTAGAAACGTGTAACTTCCCTTTTTCTTCACAGAAAATACAAGATGCAATTCAAAGACAGACATCAGGACATAAACAACATCAAGGAATCAACAGAAGACACAAATTTCATTGTAGGACAACAAATCAAGATAGACACATCACCATCCAGAAAAAAGAACATAGATTCATCGCCACAGTATATCAGAGACATTTTTAGATTAGATGACAGTACCTATAGTAATAAGATCCTTGAATAGGGCCTCAAATCTTCCAGTAATGAATAAGTTATTGTATAGCTCTTCATTTTTTTTTTTATCCTGAAGGTATTTAGGTATCTCAGAGAGAAAAACCTTACAAATAGCATAGAATAAACATAAATACCTGCTTTCTTTCCAACAACTGGGGTTGTCACTGGAGCAGTAACAGCAGGTGCTGGTTCTGCAGTTGGTTTTGGAGATTTTAGAGCTGTAGGGAAGAAAAAAAGAGTTCTTGCTTTAATACATTGTTTTGTTTTAATACATTATTTTGTTTGAAGTTTGATGTTCTTTAAAATGTTTTGTAGACAGAAAGTTCCAGTCTTATTAATATCAAAGGCATTTGTTTAATGCGAAGACACTTTTAGTATTCAGCTGCACAGGGTCCTGAGCCATCTTGTCTAGCCAGTGCTTTTGCCAAAAAGAGTTTGGACCAGATTACCCTTGATGTCCCTTCCAACCTGGTATTCTATGATTTTATGAATGTCCTTCCAGCCAGAAATCTCAAAACAGAAAAAGCTTCATCAATATTCACGATTAAAGAATTCTTACCTACTGCAGGTTTAGGTTCAGGCTCAGGAGGTGGCACAATTGCTTGCTTAGCTTCTGTCATTTCAAACACAGAAATTACAAGTAGGTTAATTTACATGTTTTTTAATCACATTGAACATTGAAAGTTAGGAACAACAACTGAGAGAGATAAATGAAGACAGATTTTATTAGTTTATATTTTATTTGGCCGAAAAGCAAGAAATTAACTTGAGATGAACTCTTGGAATGCAAGATACAATGGAAAAAAAAGATGAATTTTTCAAGCACTGAAGAATTAAAGACAACAAGAAATCCAAAAGAATGCAAAATGGTTAATCTTGACACAGTAGTTATGGGCAGACTGGATGACAGCAATGCATTATGTTAATACAGCATGATATTCAGCACTGAATATAATTTAGTTGCTGCAATAAGGAAAGAGAGCAACACACGTCTGTACCTTTCGATGGTTCAGGTACATGTTTCTCCTCTTTTTTTATGGCAGGTATCTCAGTTTTCTTCTTAGGAACTTCTGGGACTTTAAAATAATATTTTAATTTTTTAAGATATAGTGAAACATCTTGAATCCCCACATATAGTAACCTCCAATGCATTTAAAACTTTCATTGTTTTCACACATAAAATGTTCATAGGGTTTAGGAATATGTATTTCTTAGAGTGAGATTTGAATAAATTTGAAACAACAAATGAGGAAAGAGACAAGTATTTGTAAAAGTTACATAAAAGAATGCTTGGATTAAGTGTTTTATTGTAGTTACATTTTTATGAGTATTATAAAATATTTGTAAAGTTCTTTTCTGTAAACAATGAAGATTGAGAAACAATCCCAACATGTAGAATTCTGACCCAAATGTGAACGCCAAATTTGGTTGTGCTTTCAGCTCAGCTTTAACTTACATAATTAGATCAATGCAAGGCATCGTTTAAAATCTCACTTTTATTCCTGAATTTAAGAGAATCCCACTTAATAGTGGGATTTTTTTTTTTAATTATAATTTACCAAATAGATTTCAGTGCAATCTAGTACCTTCAGGTTTCTTAATTTTTTCTACTGGTGTAGGTACTGGTTTAACTTCTGGTTTAGGCTCTTTTTCTGGTTTCGGTTCTTCCTCTTCAGGTTTCTTTTTAAGAACTTTGAAAGAAAAAAATTTCAGTTTTTAAAGCACAGTCAAACAAAGAATAAGACAGTGAACTAGAAAAGATTAAATGTATATTATCAACCATAAAGAAACAGGAAAGTAAAATATATAGTTCAATACAAATGCAAGATTTTTGTAACTATTCGAAAGTCTTTTAAAATATAATTCAGCTAGGGCAAAAAGAAGGTTTTATTAAGAGCAGTCAATCTGAGAGGAAAGATGTCAATGTTAGTTGTCTACAATGGAATAAAATTTCTTATAATGTCATATTTATTCACATATTTAAATGATGTATTACTATATGTAATTATGAATTAATAACTGCAGTTAAAGATGATTTTTAGGGAAAAATGCAGGAATATTATTAAACTTCTCTCAAATCTCCATCTGGGATATCTAATCAGACTGAAATAACTGATGACTGAGGGATCTGAAAAATGGCATTTCTATATTTTATTATGTTCTATGAAATTTGAAGGTTGGTTGCAAGGTACACAGGCACAAATCATCTGTCTGTGGTATTTCAAAGAGAACTGGAATTAGTGCTTATTCTTCTAAGCAATAGTTGAGCACAAAGGGATTCAGAATGCCCCAGACTTTGCAGGAAAGTGGATTGGTGTCCAATAGTGCCAGAGGGTTCTGTGATCTGTGCAGTACTTCTATGAAAACCATAAAACAGAGTACAGAGGTTACATATGTAACTTTAATAACATTTACACTGTCACTGTCCAGAGGCTGAAGACAGTGGAAAACTCTCATCTCTAGTGTAGACTTTAAAGAGAAAAGGGAAACAAAAGAGTTATAGGGAACTAGATTTTCAGTTTTCTGCTCTGTTTTCATTACTGATCCTTTAGATCTAAGAGCCTTTCTGGCTATCCTCACTTTATCCCTGCAACTACAAAAGCTTTTCCCAAGAAAAAGTTATCAGATAGTATTTGATCATGTAATTTTCCATACCACACACATAAAGCAATTCTACTTAGGCGAACATGCTGAACAAGGTTAATATGCTGGGTTTTTCACAACAGAGCCAAGTTACTATACCTCTTTTCAAAACAACTTCTTCTTTTGGTGGAGGAGTAACCTCAGGAATTACTTTGCGAGGTTTCTTTACAAGTCCAGGCACTTAAAAGAATATTGTTCCAGATTTTATTATAGTTCATAACATTAATAAGAGCTAACCAAAAACAAGCCTGTCCAAACATACAAATCAAATGCTGGCTCACTACTAAATATTAAAAACAAAGGTAAAACTGCTGATATGGAAGTCAATAGTTATACTTTCTGTATTATTTGCTTACAGCTTGCATCTAAGCGCATACGTAAGAGAAAGTTTTCATACAAAACAACAGAAAAGAAGTATGGTTCAAGAAAACTATAAAGGTTATGTATTCAAAAAGAGTTATCATAGTAGCATTTTTATTTCCTTTCCTCTTTCATTACAGGTTTATGTAACATATCTATTCATCTGAGCTGACTGCCTGTGATGTTCATATAGATCCAGTTTAATTTCTAAATTTGGAACAGCATTAAGAAGAGACGTTCACTGTTTAGCTGATTAGTTGATCTTAAACTCCTGTACCTATGAATAATATAAAGGAGTACTTGTAAAGTGGCTTGCTCAATACATTATTCCTTTCCATCTCTGGAAAGTGCCCTCTTCCAAAAATAACTTACATTTCAGAAAAATAATAAACTAGATATGTTGGGAAAATACTCTATATATTTAAACAGTATTTTATATTTTATTTCTCCCTAAGCAGAAAACCAAAAGAAGCATCCACACAAGTTATGAAACTCATAGAAACTCTCTCACTCTATGATTCTGTCTATCTCATCTCAAACATTGCATAACAAGAGATTAAACTGGACATAAATAGAACACAAACATATACAGCCAAGACAGCACTGCACTCTTGAGCATAATTTAACATAGACAGTTTTTTGATATATGAGCAAATTAAAGAAAAAGATACTAAGAATTACAACTTTGGACCCATGAGAGGCTAATTTAAATAAGATCCTTATATTAGCTAGGTACCTTTAGCAGGTGGGGGTTCCAATTTCGGAGGCTCACCAGGTTTTGCAGTCACAGCTTTCTTCCTTGATTCAGGAGCTTTAAAGAAAATGATGTGAATTTTACAACACACATAATTAGATTAAAAAAAGAAAAGAGCTTTCTAAAAAATCCAAACAACTGATTAATACTATCGATGTAACTGTTTAGAAAAAGTCAGATGGTCTGTAGGAAGCACAGTTGATTTGAAACCCATGTTCATATAGTAGCACCAGCAAATTATTGCTGGGGATTCTTTTCATTTGTAAGAACACGTTAAAGAGAGAAGAATTATGTTAAGGATAGAAGGACGCATTAACTTGGTTAAGATTGTTTTAATGAATTGGTTTTTTTCCTGTGACTTTTGAAAAGAATCCATGTAAACTGACTTGGCATAACACATGAAATATAATGAGAGACTGAGCATTAGTAAGGCACACCACTAGAGTGATAGTAAATTAGAAAAGAAGAAAATAAAGACATAAAATGATAAGTTTAAAAGCACGCTTTTCAAGATACATCAGTATAGTTTTAAAAGATCATATGCTTGAGTTTCCACTGTTATTTGTGGCTTCAGATGATTATACCTTTAAGTAGATCTTTTGCCAGTTTAATATCTTCTGTTGGTTGAGCAGGTGGTGGTGGTTTTCGCTTTTCAGGGACCTTCTTTTCAGGTTGCAGCACTTTAAATAACATTAGGTAGATTTAGAATAAATATACTACGATGGTAGTTATGAGAAGAGTAAAATACAAACCCAAAGACCACTATTTTCCATTTCCAGTGAAACCAGTGAAAAAATGTCATTGAATTAAATGGGAGCATGAAAGAGCCTAAGGTTATTGCTTCGTAGCATGCACACAGTACAATTATCCAAGCTGACTTAAAAAAGCATGTCAATAACATGAGAACAAAGGTGAAAACCAAATTATGAGAAGAAAATCTTGTGGATCAGAATGAAAGTGAAAGCATTTAAAATAATCTTTAAGTTGTACTTAGAATTAAATGATCAGAAACAATTTGCAAATTTTATCAACAAAGGAAAATACACAAAGCCCTACAACATACAGACATATGAAGAATGACAGAATGAAGAATGACAAAATGAAGGATGCACAGTGATGAAAGAAAGGTATCTGGCAGCCTCTAGGGGAGTACTTTGTATACCTTCCACTGGTAAAGTTTCTTCAACTTCTACAACTGGAATTTCTTCTGCTTCTTCAAGCTCAGTCTCCTTTATGATTTCATATTCTTTAAAGAATATTGACAGCTGGTGTAAGTGTTCAATTATAAGATTGTTTCACATGAACAATTATATTGATATAACTACAAAGAAAGCTACTCCAAAAGACACAGACAAATACACATTAGCAAAAATAATCACTCAGTATCTGTGACCTTTGCGGTAAATGCAAGATTTTGAGAAACTATTCTCTTTCTAAGAATGAATCTGGGTTACATGAAGAATAGTATTTTTTATGTATGCAGTATAAACTAAACATTAAATTTGTGGATGAGATGTAATAGGAAAGAATAAAAACTTCAGCGCTCTCAAATAATTTCAGATTACAAATATTAGGTTTGAGAGATTCCAATTTAGAGAGTCAATTTACTATTGACTTAAAAAAAGACATAATTTTTTAGGGATATCCTGTGCAGGAGCACATACTATAATTCCAAAAAAGAAAATATAATAGTAGATACAAGAAATATTGACTATTTACTATCTAAAATAGTAAATGAACAATTTATAAACATCACAATGGGGAAAAAAGGAAAA